TATCAATTATTTATTTTGTTGTAAATATTAATAATAATGAAATGAAAGATAGTATTTTTTAAAAAGATCTTTTTTAATTATTTCAAAATTAAATTGTCTTTTTCATTTTTTAAAAATTCAATAAAGAAGGATTTTATATATTGAAATCATTTCTTTTTGATATAAAAACATTATCTTTTTTAATTTTTGTTTTACAAATTCTTTTAAGAAAAGTTTTTTAGAATTCGAAATCGATAATAAATAAAGTTTATATATTATTCGATTATGAATTTGAAGGTTTTATAGAAATATATATAAAGCTTTTTGAATATAGATTCAAAAAAGTATAAACGATTTTTAAAATTTTGAAATAGAAAAAGAAATCTTAAAGAGTATATTCTTTTTTTATACAAAACTCAATTTATAAAAAAAGATAGACTACTTTTAGAATTAAAAATTTGATAGTATTTGAATTTATTAATAGAATCTTAAAAGGAAAATAAGAGATTATCAATTTAGAAATCCTTATTCAAAAAAAAGAAACTTCTTTGTCTACTTCTTAAAAACTATCTCGGAAAGAAAAGAAATCTATTTATTATATTAAATCTGAACTGAAAGACCTCCCCTCGATCCTTAAAATATAATTGAAATGAAAAAGGGCTTTACAATAAGAAAAGCCTATTACTAATCTTTTTGATATATAAAGATTATTTCCTTTCTTTATTCAAAAACAACAAAATCCAGTTTCCTTTATATTATCTTCAAAATCGAAAAAAAAACTATCTTTGCTTTCCCGAACCTTCAAACGTTTTTATTTGGGATTTGACGAATCTTTTCTTTTCTTGAATATACTTTCAAAGTCAAAGTTCAAATACTCGAAAATTGATAAGAGTATTAATAAAGACAAAGTTTTTATTGAATTATTTATTGAAGAATAAAGGATTATCTTTAAATTCAACAAATCTTCTTTTTCATTATTCAATTTTTATATTTATCCTAAAAAGCTATTAATAGTAATATTTTGTATATTTTATATTTTAATCAATTATTTTTTAATAAATAAAAGGAATATATATTTCTTGAAAGGAAAAAATATAAAAAAATTGGAATTATAAATCAAATATATAAAGGTTTTAATTAGTTAATTATATAACCTTCTATAATTAAATATAAAAGAAAAGCTTTTTACCTTTTCTTTTTATAATAATCAATTTTCTATATATATATATTTGAATCTATATAGTATCAACTCTAAAATTATTATAAATTCTATTTTACCCATAAATGATATATTATAATATAATCTAATTCAACTTTCTCTTTCAATTCCCTCCTTACAATATACTATCAGGACACACATATCTCGACTTATCACTTTTATAATATATTGAAACTTTAATCTTTAGTATATATTTTATCTATTCAAAAGTTATTTTTTTTCTCTTTCAATCTTTTATTAATTCCTTTATAATTCATTAAATCTTTTTAATTATTATCATAAAGAATCAATATATCTTTTCTTTATAAATAATTCTAAATGAATTCGATTTAATGATATCTTTTATAGTACTTTAAAGTATATCTAAATTTTGTTCGATCCAAGATTACAATTTTCCATCCCTTCTAGTCTAAAAGACTTTAGTTCTACGAGGGATACTTTAATTTTGATAAAATTTATAATTATTATTCTCATCTTGAATTTTAACAACGATTTTGAGTTTGAATAGAAAATATTGAAATTTGAATTTTGATAAATTATTTATAATTGAGGGTTGAAAATAAGATTATAGTTATTTCTTGATAAAGTGTATAGTTAGCTTATAATAATCGTCTTATATAATCTTCTCACTCTTAAAAAGCTCAGACTTTTAATCTGATCCAAAAGGTCATATAATAGACTCTATATATACAAGGATATGAATTGTAGATCTATACAAATTATAAATTTATATAAATTATAAATCTATACAAATCATAGATTTATATAAATTGTAGATCTATATAAATTATAGAATCAAGAAATTTTATAAAATATAAAGATTTATATAAACCAAAAGAGTTTCCTATATATAGTGTAAGAAAGTTGAAATTATAGACCAAATATATAAAGGTTTTAGCTAATCAATTATATAACCTTTTGTAATTAGATATAAAAGAAGAGTCTTTTATCTCTTTTTTTCATAATAATCAACCTTCTATATATATACATTTGAACTCATATAGTATCAACCCCAAAATCATTGTGAACCCTGTTTTACTTATAAATGATATATTACAATATAATCTAATTCAGCTTTCTCTTCCAAATTCCCTCCTCACAGCATGCTATCGGGACGCACGTATCTCGACCTACCACTTTTACAATAGAAGCTTTATACTCAAGATTAATCATTTAGTATAATCTATTATTAATTACAAATTACAATCATTGATATTATTTAAAACCTCTGCTTGACACCTAGTTATAAACCATTCAAGGATCCAGGCCACTTCCACATGATCTAGATCGCATCTCTCATAACATTAAATCAGATTTGTTTAAAGTTATAAGGCTTATATCAAGTTTTTTATTAGATTATTTACCGGGGTATTTACCGGGGTATTTTAGACCAATCAGATTGTTAAAATCGTGATTCATTTAAATAAGTTTTTTATTTTCTATCATTTATTAAATAAACCTTATATATAATAAGATTATAAAATCAATAAATTGATAATAAAATTATATTGAAATAAATAAATTTGTTTTTAATCTTATTAATCAAGAGTTTTATATATATGATAAAAAAGTTGAAATTATAAATTAAATATATAAAGGTTTTTAATTAATTAATTATATAATCTTTTGTAATTAAATATAAAAAAAAAGTTTTTGTTTCTTCTTTTTATAATAATTAACTTTTTATATATATATATTTGAATCTATATAATATCAATCTCAAAATTATTATAAATTTTATTTCTTTTATAAATAATATATTACAATATAATTTAATTTAATTTTCTCTTTCAATTCTCTCTTTATAATGTATTATTAAAATATATATATTTTAATCTATTACTTTTATAATATAAGATTTAATAAACTATTTAATCGATGATTATTTTGATAAAAAAGTATTATAAGATAACAATCAATCTATTTATATAAGTTTAAGTCTTATTAAAAAACAAAACAACTTATATACAAATATATATAATAATTGATTTTTGTAATCTTTTTACTCTTAACAAACTTGAATATATAATCTAATTCTAATTATATAATAAATTATAAAAATCTAAAAGAGTTAAGAAATTATATATTAAATCTATTAGATTCAAAAGATCTTATCAATATAAAGATTTATATAATTAAAAAAGAATTTCTTTTATAAAACTTTATATTCAAGATCAATTACTTAATATACTTTATTGTTAATTATAAATTATAATTATTGATATTATTTTAATATCACGATTTATAATTTTCATTATAATAATATTATTGATATCGATGATTTATATACTGATTATAAAAAGAGTATGATTTAATTGTTGCTTTCAAAGAGTCTAATCACTTACAAATAAAATTTTAGAATTCCTAGAATAAGTATTTTAGATAATTATATTAGATTAGAACAAGTGTTTTAATTAATTGATTATAATAAGATAATCACTTTAAAAGATAATGTATTTTAAGATTATAATTCCTGAAGGAAAGCTTCTAGAATAAATGTTTCAAGAAAGAAAAGATCTTAGGAAAAAAGAAACTTTAGAATTAATCATATAATATACTAGCTTTACTAGTCAGTTAACAAAGTTAGTATTTCAAGAATATTAATTATACTAGTCAATTAATATAATTAATATATAAGAAAAAAGATTAATATATAATCAGAATAGTTTTATAAATTTAGAAACTTTATACTCAACTTAAATATCAATTAGTTCATTTATATTTTAATTGATCTAATAACGAATTTATTTTCAAATAAATAATCAATGATTAATAACTTTAACTTATAACTACTAATTATACAAAACCTCAGACAGTTACTGCCTCGACTAGATCATTATAATATTTTAAATAACTATATTAAAATAGAACAAATGTTTTAATTAATTAATTATAATAAAACAATTATTTTAAAAGATATCGTATTCTAAAATTATAGTTTTTAAAAAAAAACTTTTGAGACAAGTATTTCAAAAAAAGAGAGATCTCAAAATCAATTATATAATAAAAAACTTTAAAAACTTAAAAAACTCTTAGAGCTCTAGATGTGATATACAAGAGCCTTATAAGAGCTAAATAAACAGGATCAATTATATTCCTTAGAATCTACAATTGAAGAACTATAATTTATAAAAAGTATCTATATATATATACAAAATATCTATATAGTAATTATATAATTGTATACTTTCTTCCTTAAGATGATTATAATATTATATTAAAAAGAATGAATTTAAAAAAAATATATATAGACTATCAGCTCACCGATAGAAATCACCGATCAATCAGAATCATATAATTATTCTTTATATAAGATTTGTAATACTAGAGGGCGTAGGCCTTTAGTAATTATAATAATTATTATAAATACTTTTATATAAATTCAATTTCAAAAATTTAAGTAATTTATTTATTTTATAAGTTTTAATAAAATTTCAATTTTAATTATTAATATTTTATTAAATTGTATTTATAAATTGAAAAATTTAAATATTAATTTTATTATTTTTAATAAAAAAATTAATTCAAATTAAAATGATCAAAAATAAAATATTATATTTATAATTTATATAATATTATAATTTATTAATTTAATTTTATAAAATCTATTATTAATAATTGAAAGATAATAAAAATATATAATTAAAGAATAATATTTATTTATTAAAATATAATAAGAGAGTAAAAATTAAATATATATTTTAAATTATTATAATATTTTTTATCTTTATTTTATATATTTATTTTATACAAGTATATAAGAAACAAAGAATATTAAAATATTAAAATATTTTATTCCTTTTTAATCTTTTAATCAAAAAGAGTTTTAATTTATTATTTTTTCTATTTCACTTATTTTAACTCTTAAATCCAATCAATCAATCATGACATTCCAGCCCATTCCACTCCATCATATACTCCACAGGATCCAAAATCTACACATGAGAAATAAAGTACTCTTATTACCACAACTTGCCTCCCTCAAAACCCCATCATCAAAAAAATCTCAACCCATCAACATCAACAACCTACAACAAAACCAAACCCATCAATCCCAAACCCCCAAGAACCCACCCACTAACACCAACTCTCAATCCCATCGCAGCACCCTTCTTCGAACTCGTCGCACTAGCCGCACTACCCGTCGCCGAACCCGTGGCACTCGACGAACTTGATCCAGTTCCAGTTCCTGCACTCTTATCCTTTGAAAATCCACAAAGACCCGTACCATCCATTTTTGCTGTAGGGAAGAGGACTCTAGGTGCTCCCTTGTCCATCTTTAAAGCGACAGTTCCTTTACTATTTGTAACGTAGCTGGTGCAGGTGACGATTTCGGTTAAATTGGTTCCTGCGTCCGCGGCTTTGTCAATGTTTAATGAGTAGGATCCTCCGTTTGAACCTTGATTGCTGAAGACGGAGACGACGTGCGCGCCGTTGGCTCCTTTTCTAGCTGCGTAGGTAGAGCCGTCGGTGTATAAGAGAACGGAGTTGTTGGTGATGTAGCCGGAGTTTACTGAGATGGCATGGTTTCGAATGGTGTTGAGTGTGGTTGTTAAAGTGTAAAGGTTGGACGTTGTGCTTGGGTTGTTTTCCCAAAGAGCTTGACGATTGTATGGGGAGTAGTTACCAGTGAGATGTTGTTCTTGTCCGTAGTAGTATTTTGGAATACCATCAGCGAGAATACTAAAGGCCATGGCGTTTGCTGCAAGCTATTGATATTGTTAGTATTCACATACAAATGTTAATTCAAAAAGAGAAAACTTACAGTCTCATCATCATTGTATGATGCAAAACGTGGTTGATCTTGATTCTCAATGAAATTTGCAAGATATTGTGTAGACGTGCAAGCAGTTCTCATACTGTTAATCATAGACACCAATCCTGCCATGTTTCCAGCAGTGAAAGCTTGAATGATGGTGTAATAGATTGGATAATTTTCCAATCCCTCCGTATATTGTTGATAATTGCAAGTGAAGGTTGCATCACCATCCTCTACTTCACCCAAAGGAAATATACCAGAGGCTTCAACAAATCCTTGAAAGAAATCATAAGTAATTTGTTTAGCACCATCAATACGAATTCCATCAATAGAGTAATTTGCGACGAGTTCTTTAATCCATGATCCAAGAGCGGCAGCGACAGTTGCATTTTGAGTTTTGATATCAGGAGTTGCAACACCGGTGTAACCTAACCAGCAATCTTGGTATTCTGTCTTGTTTTGCCAGTTGACAATTGGACAATATGGATTATAAGATGCCTCATCGTTGAATGGAGCTGGAGCAAAGACAGAGTAATCAATTTTCGTATCTGCTGTCATATTGTGATTTCCTATGTCGACTGCCATCTCACTAGCAACAACATCGACTAGGAGATACATATTTCTCTTGTGGAGTTCTGCACTCAAGTTCTTTAAATCGTCTGCTGATCCGAAATTTGGATTGAGATCGTAGAGGGACTGTGACGAGTGTTAGAACATTTCAATGCCAATTCCTCAAGCCAATTGAATGAACGCATAGAGAGTTGCAGGGAACCTACAGTTTGCCAATATCCATGAAAAGCTTGTCCATAAATCGTGGTACTGTTAATATTCAAATTGACGGGACTAATTTGAATAGCTGTGAATCCCATATCCTGAATATAATCCAAATTCTCCGTGATACCATTCCATGTACCTCCACAATAATTCGTGATATTACACGGAGCATCTGAAGTCGATGAGCGATGATATCTATCTGTGATGATTTGATAGATTGATCTTGAAGCCCAGTCATCACTACTCGCTGCTTGGGATAAACCCGCGAAAATAGGAACGAATGGAATGAGTGAGTACTTCATGATGAAGATGTTTCTGTAAGAAAATGTCGACGGTAAACGAATGTGTGACAAACGAATGGACTGAGTAAGAGGAACTACTCAAAAGAGAAGTACGATGCGTATAATACAAACAGAACGAGTGACTGAATGTATTCAAGAGGTAGAGCAGTCGCAATGATTTTCTAATCGACTGGAGAGGATAAGAAGCAGAAAGAGAGAAGAATCAAAAGATCAAAAGGAAAGGAAAAGGGAAAGACGATAATCTTAAGGCGAACCTTCCCCACAAACCATCACCCAATTGTCTATCCCATTTAGGAAATCCGTCCTTAAAGGACCGCGGGTGTTTTACGGGTATTGATATAGAATACGAGGCTTTACTCTGTAGGATAAACCCTGAGCCACCAGGAACAAAAGTCTTCCCGATGATATACAGTATCTGATGTGTGGTACAAGTCGAAGGAAGGTTACAGGACATGCATATGCATTGAGGATCATTAACTAAAATGGTATACTTACCAATCTTACACGACTAATCCATAAAAGATTCACGGGTATTACATGGGAAGTCAAGGGCGGAAGAGCGGCATTTGTTTTAATCCTTGGACTACGTATGCAAGATAGATACAAGTAAGATGATTGGAAGAATACGAGCAGAAGAGAACAATCAAGACATAGAAGAATAGAAGATAAATTTCCGATAACGAAAAGGAACTTTTAATTCCCGCTTTTGCAATTGTAAAGAAAAGAGAAAAAGCCAAGCAAAGCAAAGCAAAATAAACTTGCCACCGGCTCTTCCATTGGGCATTTCTCATCACGAATCAAAGCGTCGATCATGCACGCTGCTTTTTATCCGTCCACCCAAATATGATTGTTACATATTGTGGCATCTAGAGAATACGAGGATATATTTAAAGCAGCACCTATTCCTCTAACACGCGAAACCAATTAAATTGGATTATGACGGATTTTTGGATGAAAAACTAGGACCTAGTAAGTATCTATGTACCTTGAACCAAGACCAAAACGTAACTATAAGCCGGGTCCCAAAGAATATTTCGTATTCTGCTAACTCCTATTCTTTTTATCCTTGTTGTTGATGTTGATGTTGATGCTGTTATTTATCTACCAAGTAATTCGACTACTATTTCAGTAGTGATGGTAAATGAGTATAATAAAATCTTAGTAACTCCATCAATCATTCATCCATCCTCCAAACCCCCCTATAATAACCAAAACCAAAAACCCAACAAATAACCCAAACCTCGAAAACATAAAACCTCTGTAGTCACCTACCCATCACACCTACCCATCCATCATACCATCACATCCACATCCACATCCACATCTCATCTAACCTTGGCAAAAGCTTAGCAACGCCACAACCCCAGACAAACAATCACAATACTCCGTCCGTACGACCTACAGTACATACTCTGCCAAATGAAAATGAGCTAAGGGAAGGCCCGGAAATGAGGTTTACCGTATCTAGGTATCTATCTCTACCTTGTAAGATTACACCTGGTCATGAGGTACATGTGTGATTATAAGGATACTGTGATTGTTATCGTGTGTGGTGTGCGTACGCGTGATGTGTGCGGAATACAAAATACAGAATACATAAGAGAAGCTGGGGAAAGATTGGGTGAAAGAGAATAGGTTGGATGAGAGGTTCAAAAATCAGGGGAGGTTCAAAATCAGGGGAATTTAATAAATTGGTGATGTGTGTGGGTGGATGGTTACATTTTCATTTTTTTAGTTTGCGGGTGTTGGGGGTTGTTGGGTGAGGGGGCGGCAGTGGCATATTAAATAGGTAGGTAAGTACCTAGCTAGGTAGTAGATATGTAGTAAAGTTAAGCCTTTTTAGTTGAATATTTATTGATTTTGGATTTGAGGTTTGAATAGGTTTAGTGATTACTCCTAGGTATATGTGTGTGTACTTCTTTTACGATTTGGGAATTGGGTATTGGGTATGGTGCACGTGGTATCGAGGTACTCTTGACTCTTGACTCTTGATTATTGGAAAAGATGGGGATAGTAGAAGGACTGGTAGGGCAATAATACTAAATTACCTCCCTCCCTCTCTCACAGCTCAACATTCACATGATTCCTCCCCGTCATATTCTGACCCCTCCAATCCTACTAACCACATCTCAAACCCAAACCCAAACCCAAACCCAGTCCCTCCCCAAAGACCACTCATCCAAACCCCCACCAAAACCCCATCAACAATCCCATCACCAAACCCATCCACCCCCTCACAATCCCTTCCCCAAAACACCAGCTCGTCACCTCTCACCCTCACCACATTCCCTCCAAACCTCTGATTCCTCGCACTTTTCAACCCCGGAAGTGCATCGAGCGAATAACTATTGTTAAGAACTTGATAATCTTGCATTTCCGACTTCGCTACTTTTTGACTAGCCCAATGACCGAGGGTTTGACGGCTGGTCCAGGGTCCTTGGGAGGGATTTTCTATTTGTGTGCTGAGGGGTGTGTGGGTGGGGACGCCGTAGCCACAGGATGTTTGGACCTGTAGGGGAGGTTTGTTAATTTATTGTCATGGTTGTTTCCTTTTATTTTCTTCTGCTAATCGAGTTGCTTCTTCTTGAAGTCAAGAACAAATGGTATAATGGAAATGTTGCGAAATTTCACGAGTTTGAGGCCGGAGGAGAGATAACATACCTTCCATACGTCCAGTAAAATAATAGCTCTGGCACCATCTACTCTTGCTTTTCCCATCTTAGATAAGAGAGAGGAGAATTGAGGTGTGTTCCATTCAATTACATGACCTGTGCAAAAGAAACGCATGATGCGGGGAGTGGAGGTGAAGGAACAGAACATTATTGTTACGCGGCCATTTTCTTGATGGTGTTAGTGAGGATGGAGAAGGGAAATGAGGAGGAGCAAGAGGGAGAGTATAGGTAGGTTTATCAGAGAGGTAGAGAGGGGGAAGAGAAGTGAACAACGAACCATATATATGACTTATTGTCTCGATACCAGACCCCGTTGCATCGATACTGAAGGAGTGTCAGAACTACCATCCCAAAAATCATTACGTCTATGTAGGTAATAGAAGTAGAAAAACGCGCGCGGAAATAAAGATGAAAGGACTGCAACATAAATCCCAAGCCTCAGACAAAACCACAACCATCCCAAGTGTCATCCGCTTCCAATTCCTGGAATCATTCATCATCCCAACCACAGATACCTTTTCCCATCTCCTAATTCCCCATCACAAACCCCAAGCACCTTTCCCAAAGCTTTCTACTCCAAACAAACACATCTAATATAATAATAATAATAATAATAATAATAAGGAAAGACAACAAAAGAAAAAGAAACCAAAAAAACTCACTAAGCACAACTATTCGGTCCCAAAACCGTAAACGTCGCATCCCTAAACTCATCACATCATTAATTAATAAATAAATATTTCACCTCATCCATCCCTCCCCTTCCGCTCTCCTCCTCATTCCCCAAAAATTACTCTTCCACTCCCACAAACACCCATCATCTCCCTCCCTCTCCACCTCCCCTAGACCCGAAAGAAAGACTCCCCCAAAAGAAAATTCAAACTCACAACAACCCTTTCGGACTAACATTAACATGTCTCCCCCATCTCGGCGCCGACGCCGTAAAAAAAACCGGTTGAGCAATTGCCCACTCAGCGAATTCTGGTTTGATAGAGGGGAAATATTGAACCATTTTTTTTTAATTTGGTGGTTGATATTTTTGTCGGGAGAGATGCGACAGATAGGTAAAAAAAAGGGAAATGAAGGAGGAAAGGGGGTATAAATATGTAATATATAGTATATAATATATACTACTAGGTAGGTATTTGAGGATAGTAGATAGCAAGAAGCAGATAGAAAATCGAGGGAGATGTATGGGATGAATGTGTATAGATATAAATATAGATATAGATAATATAACCTTAATAAGACTACAAAGCTACCTATTGATATAAGACCCGGGAATAAGAGAGTATAATATAATATAATATAATATAATATAATACAATATAATATAATATGAAAGAGTCATCAAACAATCGAGTCATAAAATGAATGAGCTCCGAATCAAACGTCAAGCAAGCACATGAGTCTTACATGCATTAATAATTCCATCGATTGAGCGGGGTAAAGAGTACTCATTTCCCCAGATTTCCTCGATTCTTAATTGGAGGTCAATACTATCTCCCGAGGTCTTCAGCATATTATTTAGTCATCTACAAACCTTGTATCTTGGCATGTTATATGATACCTAGGTAATCTTATAATAGAATCCTGGATAATCAAGTTCACACGCGTAGAAATCGTTATATCGTTCGTCAAAATGCAACGACTAAAATTCCATATCATATCTTTTATACTACGCTTTCGTATACCATGCCATATATATCTCAATCCATCTCTCATCACTCATAAGATCTAAGATTCATAGATACCTTTCATTTCACATCATTCCCATGTGAATGTAGCCAGATCAAGCCCAACCAAGCCAAATCCATCATCTCGATTTAAATTAAAAAGACAGAAACCAGATTCAACTATTGTTGTACAGGGGTAATTTACCAAACAGACGCCTTTCGAAAATGCCAACCTTTAAAAACAAACGCCTAGGTGGATATCCAGTATACATCTCTTGAAATATGGAGAATGTATCAACAGTAAAGAACGTGTGTGTGGTATAATTAAAGGAAGTAATCACCAGCACCTCTTCTACCAGCTGGAACTGCACGTTGATCCTCTGGCACTGCGCTGAATATACTGAATTTGGGATTAAGATCTTCGCCAACGTTCATAATTGACGCGACATTGCCACATCGATAACAGTAGTTGGGAGCTGACCAGACAGTAACAACAGATTTTTGTGCAAAATGATACTATGTATTGTTAGAAAAATCTAGCAAAGGGAATAAAATGACATACCTTATATCCCTCGTTAACAAGTTGATGAGCACGAGCAATAAGTTTAAGACCATTAACATGATTAAACTCATTGGCAACTTTATCTCCGAAAAGCCATCCAGCTCCACGAGGAGAAACAGCCCAAGTATCGACATCCTCAGGATCACTCCAAACCAAATCACAAAAAGCTCCCTCATGGGGAATTTCTTGTGCACGTGCAACAACTCTGATTTGATCGACAGTTCTAATTTCTGGACTCAAACCACCATGAACGCAAAGGACCTCTCCATCAACTACGGCTGCAAGGACAAGGAAATCAAAAACTTGACAGCAAGATTTCCAAACTGAGGCATTCCCATATTTTTGTTGACATTCTTCGTAAAAACCATATACTTGTGTGATTTGACGAGATTCATGGTTTCCACGGACGAGAGTAATTTTATCAGGATATCTAGGATTGTTAGCAACGGGCCTCACAGAACGTGAGATTTTACTTACGTAGCTTTCAAGCACATCAATAAAGTAAAAGTTTCCAAACTAAAATATCCCCTGTCGACAAAATCACCGAGGAAGATAAAATTTTGGTTCCCATTTCCAGAAACTTGATTATTGTTGATATTGATACCAGAGTCAGCCCCAGAGCTTGTACTACGATTTGATCCACCTGCAGTACGTGGGCGTCCTCGAGGTTCATCATCTTCATCATCATCTCCTCCACTTGCACTTTCCATACCACTATCACTGCTTCGTATCTTCTTCTTCAGTTTTGGATCTGTAATTTGCGTAGGCGGTTCAAGCGCATCTGTGTTAATAACAGTGGTGGGGGCTTGAACATTTGTCTCTCCTGGCATACCACCAGCGATACGGAAAAGCTCGAGTAAATCGTAAAATTGACCATGAATATCACCACAAATAGTCACAGGTGTTGCGACAGGTTGTATATTTGACTCTGTCGGGAGAAGAATCAGTACGATATGACACTGGCGGGGATCCAAAAAGCATTACCTTCCATTAAACACTCCTTTACCATTTCGCAAAGTTGTTTCATTGCCCATTCTGGTAAATAATGACATTGCTTTGCCTCTGCTAACCATTCCTCAAGACCAGAACGAGGTCCCAGTTTCGCGGCGCCAGGGCGGGGTACTGTGGAACTCATTTTGAGTATTTTGATAAGGGCGAGGGCGATGGATTTCCCCTCTTTTCTTCCGTAAACGAAAAGTACTGTGTCGTGGCGTAAATTTTCTCGTCTTTGGAGAAACTAAGTGTCTTCTGAATCCTCTTTAAGTTCTTCCAAGTCTTCTAAATGGTCGCGAGGCTGCAGGTATACTTTGTTGAATCTGATGGCTTTTCAACAATTGTGATTCTGCAGTTTTCGCAATCGGCTTGTTGGATGCTCTTTTCACAGCATTCGTATTCTTCTTCGGAACTGTGGTGAGCGTAAGAGAGTGATTATTCTATTCGTAATCCTCTTGATAGAACGCACATCCAACTGAGACTGTACTTGGAATCATATTGTCCCACTATTCCAGATATCGTAGTATAACCGAAGATTATGATAGAATTTGTCTGAAAAGTGACCGTATTCTCGGTGGTTAGATATCCCGACCCAAAGGACCTTTGGCCTTTGGTGAATGCCCCACGTCTGAGCTTAATTCCTATCATCATCATCAATCAACAATCACATAAAACAAAACGGTCTCTTACTTACACAAACAAAACAATAACACACTGGATGGTTGCTCTACTAAATCCTTTTCGCATTTTCTTCATATCTATGTGCTCGTTAATAACTCGCAAGGTCTTCCGATTTGAGGGACGTGTATATTGATTACCCAGTTCGGTAGACATTTGGCGCAATACTTTGTAGAAAGCCGACCTCAAGTCTTATTGATTTTCACAGCTGTCATTCAAGATGGCTACTACCGCAGGATCTCGCAATCAAACAAACGGTGTTCTCTCCGTTACAACTACACAGACGTCGGGCAGTACTTCCAAGCAGACTGTTAGCAAACCAGCAAGTTCCAAGTTGAAGCTTATCGTCCGTAGGCTAGCTCCAGGATTGACGGAGGCGGAATTCTGTTCTGTTCTTGGTGATGAATGGAAGGTAGGGCAAGGAAAGGTTGATTGGTTTCAATTTAAATCCGGGAAAGATTCTAAAGAGTATGTATTTTCGCATAGTATGTGCCTGCAGGGCTGACAGATCAAAACAGTCCTTCCAAGCCATCCCGACCTTCTCGAGCATATCTACACTTAACAAGTGGTGACCACCTCTTACCATTTTCCGAAGTCGTGCGAAAATCAAGTTTTGAGGATGCAAAGAATTCATATACAGATTCGTGTCTCATTGGACCACCCTCCGTTGAATTTGCGCCTTACAGTAGAGTCCCTGCAGGTCTTAAACGTCGTACAGATGCTCGCGCTGGAACAATCGATCAGGATCCAGAATTCATGGCATTTTTGGAAGGATTGGCTAATCCGATTACCACAAAAGAAATTGGCGCAGAGGGCGAAGATTTTTCAACAGGAAAGCCTGAGAAAATTACTGTGACTCCATTGGTTCAATTTTTGAAGGACAAGAAGGCCAACAAGACGAAGGAATCGGCAGCAAAAGCAGCAAAGAAACAAGAAATTCCAAAGTCCAAGGCGAAGGAAGGATCAGTTCCCACAGATGATGGTAGAAAGTCCAACAAAGATCCTAAGACCGACAAAGTCGCGGCCACGCAAGAGGCTGTCAGAATTCTGAACAGAGAAGCTGCCAAGAAAACAGCTGCAGCGTCCTCCTCTACAGCTACTTCAACAAGTACTGAGAAGAACGTTCCCAAGCTTGATACTTCCAAAATTCCTGCCAATGAAAGACAGGCCGTTGTTGCTGCTCATGTTCGCATGCTACACCGTGATCTCGGACTTAGTCCCTCCCAGGCCCATCGCCGTATCAAACGTGATACAGCAAGTGCGGTAAAAGCTGAGGCTTCTGACAAATCCACGCCCACTCCTAGTAATACCGCGTCTTCCCCATCTACTCCTACAACTCCCACTGGTCCCAAAGTTCCCCCAGCCCAGCTCAGTGCCCAATCAGGTAGTCGAAGATCTAGAAGAGGTAATCAAAAGAATACTACTGAATCTTCTGCTACCAAGGGGCCGACAGCCACAGCTTCAGCCCCGACTACACCAATGGTCCTACTACGAAAGTTCACCACTCAACAACGACCTGAACAACGACCAAGTACCGCGACTTCTCAATCTTCATCTATGCCTCAAGCTCCACCGAAAGCGGCTCCGAAAGTCAATCCCCCTGCAGCTCCAGCCGCAGCGCAACCTCAACAAGCCACTCCTAATCGAGGATCAAAGGCTCAAGTGGACGTCCCACCTAAAGGTGCCCGACAAGCTTTTATAAAACATGCCAATCCATCTCAAGGTGTAACTGAACTATTATTAAAAGAAGCACTGGAGAAATTTGGTAAAGTCTCCATGGTTGAGATAGACAAGAAGAAAGGCTTCGCATATGCAGATTTCGAAGAACCCGAAGGTCTAAAGAAAGCAATGGCTGCGAACCCCGTTTCCGTCGCACAGGGAACTGTTCACGTTATGCAACGAAAGGGAAATCAATTACCACGTGCTGTCCTAGCCCCTAGAACTCCTGCTCCTCCACCTACTAGTCCGGCTTCTCGTGGTGGTAGAGGTGGAGCTATAGGCAGGAGGGGTGGTAGAAATGGTGGTGGGAGAGGTCGCACGGATGCTCCTGCTGCGGATTCTCCAAAGCCTTCTCCAGTTGCTGTTGCCCCCACAGGACCAGCTCCAAAGTGAAGAGATAGTGATCGCGAAAGACCTTTCAACATTTCATTCGAAAGCAGATTTTGGGCAACTCACCAGCCAACGGAGACACATGAGAAATTCTCGGAGATATGAGACTTCATCGCGATGTCTAGAATATCCTTCAAAATGCCTTCCCAACAGCTACACAAGCCCAAGGGCAGTCAATAAGAGATAGCTAATGCGTTTATTCCCAAAATGTCCAATTTTTGGCACAACCGTAAAGGCGAAAAATTATGTGGACAAGAAGCATGATTACAAGTATGAGCCAAAATTCATATGTAAGGAGGAGACGAGGAAGATAAGGAAGGATCAGTTCCTTCATAGGCAGGATCATTTGGCCCATAACACACTTAAGCGACTGCAAGTTGTTGATGTCATGTCTAACTTAGGGTTACGTAGCAGATCCTTGAGATAATTACAATTTTAAATTTGTCTTGTATGTAAATGTAGTGGAAGTTTTGTGCTTCACCGGCAAGTGCTTTAAGGATGTTGCACTTTTATATGTGGATGATTGTCTTTCTTTGAACCGTTCTCCCTCAATCAGGCGTTGTTTAAGAGTAGGCACTCAGTCCTAGCTATTTCGAACCCTGTACTTCCTATCTTATGTATTTCCTCATGATATTCACTACTCACTCTCTACTTTCTACTAGCCTCTGGGTCTGGAGATTAATAAGCAAGCGCTTTGCCAAAAGAAAAGGCCCTCTTATATATAATAGTCCTCAGCTTCCTTCTCCAATGTGGCAAGTTCAACAGAAAACAAAGCCATGCTTAATAAGTGGATGGCCCAATGAAAATTGTATCGCAGGAACTGCGCAAAGACGGGTACTTGCTTGAATGACAGGAGTGTGGACTGTTATGGAGGGACCACATGGTAGAAGATATCGCCTGAAGTTTGAAATTTGTTAATGTTTGTCCGTATTATTGTTGTTCTTATTCTTTTGTACTGTCGTCTAAAAACTCCTGACATCATTCTGTACATCATCCTGCACGGGATACCAGGTCCTCTTCCCGCCTTTGTGCGTGGCGAATCAACCGGTTTCATGATTCTACAGTGCTTCCTCCATTGGTGTAGGTAGTTTTCCGATACTCTTCAACTACCACCTCTCTTTCCGTTGCATTATTGGACTTGTTTAATGTTTTGATATAAGGCATCATGGATGTTTATATATGTGAAGCGGGTGTTCAGGATGTGAGACGATTTCTGACATTGAGTGTTGATGAATTATGTGCGGAAGCTCTTGTTGATTATACTCGCTCAACATTCCGCGAGTGCGGGGCGCAAAGCAGTAGTGGGCGTGAATTTATCTGGTTCTGTAAGGAGGGGGACGGGCTATATTAAATGGGCCGGAATATTCTTCTACAGGAATAAAAGAATTGTGATACCAAGAAGTGCTAACCGCAATAAAATGCAATCGATCTCACACTACAGCTACTGTGCCCTGGTTCACTGCGATCGCCATCATTACAGCTGAGAGGATTGAGACACTGAGTTCGGATTTGAGAGGTCAACTAGTGCAGCTGTGCGTAAGACATGAGCGATGATGATTGTTGTCACTTTTCCATACTACATCGTCTCTTCGGCAAAGTTTTTACTGGCAATAAGTCCTTATGGCTACTAAGTTACTATTTGCAAGATAACGAGGAGATTTCCTATATATAGCAAATTTTTGGCTACTTTTCTGCGGTGTTCCGAACTTTATCTAAGCTGCTGACGTGAAACGTCGCCCATAGTTATTTCCAGACATTTCGATCTTTCGTAATTTCTTAACCAATTTGAAAGCACAAAGGGCAGTTTTTATGCAGGAGAGAGTATAAATAATGTGGTGGCTACAGGGGTTCTTGTAGTGAATTGATTCTTAAGGTTCTTGTGCAATTGGATTTTTTTATACCAACTTCATAATTAAACAAATGTACCCCAATCAACACAAATCTATTAGTGTCTATCTAACTGAGAGGTACCTTTCAGGTTGGTGTGGGTGGTGTTAAAGCCGAAATGAAGGGGAATTTTACTAAAGCAGACACCTTATGTGTCTCAGGGTTACCGAGAGTGCTATATTTTTGACATTATGATCCTCCTCACCTCTTCCATGCTGGTTATGCATTCTTCATATCCGGGGGTCTGCTATATTTTTTCTCTTTAGGTAGTACCGTCAAAACTTGTGTATGGTGATTGCCTCGAGCTTAAAAGATACATGCCGTGTGGATACGGCGTTTACATGATACTGGTAATTGGCTACCATACAAGAATCCAGACCTTTGAGGCCATGTTGCAGGAGAAATAAGCTATAATACATAAATAAAACCCGGGCAGGATGGAAATCGTTGTTTACTATGCTGCGTTGATTATCCATTTGCTCCCACTACGTCCGTGAAAGGAGGGTATGAAATATGAGGTGTGCAAAATACCAAGCACCAATAATATTGAGCCATTCAACTTATGTAAGCGCTTACTTGAGCTCTATTTATCCTCTTTAGCCAGTACAAAAATTGATTCATTCAACATCACTAAATGTCTACACCAATTCGGAAGAACTTCGTATACTCGTTGCTTTTACATTCAGAAGTATGGGCGATTACTATCTGCGTAATAATCTACTAACTGGGATTATGTTAGTGGAAACATCCCGTGAGCACACAAGCAGGTTACAAGGTAACCTCATGCTTCATTTTGACAAATCAAATGAGGGCGTGATGTTTGTTCTTCTATCGCCCGCGATGTCGATGAGGGCAGACCGAGGATGAGTAATTAAAGCCATTCTTCCTCAACCAAAATGACGGACCTCGGCATGATACGAAAGACCCACTTTCAAGCCGGCGGAAGTGTAGCCAAAATGGGACAAATCCGCCGCTCAACGAATCCGGGATTGTTTAAGCACTCTTTCAAAACGCCCAATGAACAATCTTGATCAGGGTCTCTTCAGCAGCCATTTTAGCTAGATTGACCAGTCGGCAGATTCACGGGATGATATAAATTCTAAGTAAAAAAATCATCCCTCGGGGTTCCTTCTTTTTTCTCTTTCCTCTCAGTACCTTCAATTGTAATCTTACCAATAAGTCAAAGCAATAGCAAGTGCAAGTCAAGATGGCCCAAACAAAACCAAAACCCCTTTCAGCCTTTACCAAATTATCACCTTGCGTCTATCTTTACGAGCCTAGCACCACAGCCAGCACCACACCACTGCTAGGTCATCCGACCACTATTCTGCTTTGCAGCTGGAACAATGCCGCCCCAAAACACATCTCCTACTACACCACCTACTACACCAATCTCTTCCCTTCTTCCCGCATCGTTCTCTGCACCATGAAAACCTCACAGTTTCTCCTTCAATCCGAAGCTCGCCGACGCAAAGATGTTGCTCCCGCCATCGATGCACTATTTTCCGGTTCCTCCGACGGAAGTGAGAAATTACTAGCCCACTGTATCAGTAACGGTGGCGGGAAACGACTCTATGGAGTTGCGGGGTTGTATTACTCGTTGAAAGGCAAACCGCTTCCTATATCCACCATAATCTATGATTCCTGTCCTTCCCTCCCATGGTTTAAGCGAGATCTACATGCGCTCCTCCACGTGCCTGGAGCAAAACTTCCATGGTTGTTATATATACCCCTAGCGATCCTAGCTGTCCTAACAGCGTCGATACTATACTTTATTGTGCATTGTTGTCCACATTGGGTTTGGAAAGATTTAGTTAGAGGGCCTTTGGAGGGGTTAAATGATGAGAGATTGGTAAGTAAGGAAGCAACGAGGGGGTATATTTATAGTGAAGAGGATGATGTGATTGAGTACACCGATGTAGAGGAGCATGGGAAAATTGGTAAACAGAAGGGTTATAGAGTAGAGAGGGTTAAGATGGTTGGTGGGAAGCATGCGCAGATGTTTAGAGGGCAAGGGGGTGAGGAGGTTTATTGGGGTTTTGTCAAGAAGTTGTGGGCGGGCGGGTTAGGAGGAGTTTAAGTGGTGAAATGAAGCAATGTTGGCATGATGGCTATCTTAGCTCACATGCGGAAGCTATACATGCTTTGGGAAAGTTTGAGATTTCATCGTGTATCCCCAGGAACTGGTTGGATTAATGTGGATTCATCATTACGCTAGGCTACTCAATAGTGGTTGAACAGTGGTCTTGCAGTAGATGGAGAAAATCCCATCTAGACTGGAATTGGAGTATTAAAGAATTTTATGGAGGTTTCATAATTAGAGGTAGATATTTGATTATGGTTTTTGGATTTATGTACTAAAGAATAGATAGTTTTATAGAATATTCATCCATAGTTTCGATGGCTTTGCTTGATTAAGACTTCGACACGTTTCACGAATTCTCGGATCAACACAATCCTTTCGCTATACCCTATCCAATCGATATTATCATTGGGCAAGCATACACATATGACTGAATAAAACGAGAACTATCCAATTGACCCCTCTTTTATGGATGATAATTACCTTCAACCTCATACGGTACCCCGGCCTCATCCACCGTTATCAATGCAGCCATCGTTATCAATGCAGGACTTCTACGAACTGATATCGCATCATCTCAGCATTCCTGACATGCAGTAACCTGAAAAACGGCTTATGATTTGCATCAGCATTGGCGCCCAGCAAATAGCGGTAAAAAGGTTAACTCTAATGCTTTCTAGGAGGCTTCTCCAGAATGTTACACGAGCCTCATCAGCATTCTCCAGTCTAAAAGATGACCGGCCATGGCTGCATCCAACTCAACTAAAAAATGGCAATGCAGAAGATGACTACAGGACAATATGGCAGCTAAACAAGTCCTTAATAACCTGCATGACATGGCACAACGCTGCATCTCACCCAATACCTCAGCGTTTGTTTTGCATAATTAGCCGCTTGACCGCCGAATGTTATACGAACTTGAGGGGACTGTGGTATGTTGAATTGGAAATTTGAACATAAATGAAAGTCAAGTCCGTACGGGGTATGTATGTAAGATTTAAAAGTCCGGTTTGAATCTCATTGTGTTGTCGATGCATTGAGGGATTTATGCAATATCTGCGAGGACTTTTGTGCGCATAACTATTCTACAGTCACGTGTGGCTTATATGTGCAGCAAGTTGACTTGGCTGTTGGCGCATAGCCTCATCTATCCAACATCCATTTCTTCTAGGGCAAGAAATCTCCAACTTTCTTCACATCAAGCAATTTATTCGAGGGCGGTAGTCTGACTGAATTGATTGGTACCCAAATGCAACAAGGACATTGGGAACAATACCCCCAGCTAGACGCCAAAAGAAAAATATGTTCAGCACAGCATCTCATGTCTTATGTCACGCATGACAAACGTCATCATATGTTGCCTCGATTGTCTACAACTGAAGGTCATAACCACCCAGCCTTATCACAAAATCTGCCTTGCAGAAATCTTCCCTCCATCGAGCCACGGTTTCCTTTCTTTCTGTTTCTTCTGGTGGCCATCTAGTCCATCCTGAGCGACCGATCCTGGTCTGACTTCGCCGCATTTGTAACCATGTTTGCAAGCCACAGAATACTTTCTCGATATTGTGATGAGAACTTATTCGTGGCTGAAGTGTTTTCATATGCATGAAGTGGCTTGTTTGGAAAGTTCCGAATGTGAAATTATGTTTTGAGAAATCTGACATCAGCAAATGTCTTTGAAAAGCCAATTTTCTTTCGAAAAATTGTATTGCAAGACATTTTTCAAATGTCATCTGAAAATCCACGGGATCATCAACGCCTCAGCCTTACATTTGGGGTCCGCACAGCCACTCCACGAAATTAATCATTGGGAGCTCGTACGTCATGCTCCGACAACTTTTTGTTTGAGTGAAAGTCATAAGATAGATGATATTGAATGAGATGAAGCATTAGTTCCCGCATGTTTGCGGAGGGGTAGAATCCTCTAAGCCAACCATCTATCCATGAACAGCTGAGTGTCTTATACCTTTGGGATCTTTGTACTACTAGAGTTGGGTTTCTGTTTGGGGAAAGAGAGGCTTGTTTGGATATGCATGAAATGGGAAGGATTTGAAAAGATAATAGGCATGACAAGGCAGGTGAAACCTTTTTTCTTTACCTTGTTTCTTTCTTCCGTTTTTGAAACGTTCCGTTGAAAATTTGTCGAGAAGTTTCTCTTGAACAAGGACATTCAATGGCTTGGACATGCCAAATGTACGATTTGTTGGCTTTTCTTAAGCATAGATGAGATTTGTGAAATGAAGCAAGTAGAAGGACAAGACGTTTCTTTATTCCGGTTTCCTTACTCCGGTCCTAGCAATCCATGGAAAGGAAGGGCGTCGGAGCAAAAAGTTTTTCGATATTCCGAAATTCGATATTTCTTTCTATAGCCTTGTTGATTTTCTTCTCGGTTTCAAAATCTGATCCAGATTATGACTAAAATTTTACAACTTGCCGTATGATGTTTTACAAGGTTCCTTCTTTACCTACCCATTAGCCATACCATAGACACTTTGCAATTTGCTCATGCCTGGTCGGTTATACACGTAAAGCCTCCCGGATGTAGGCAACCATACATATAATCTAGACTTCTCCCTTCTTATTGAACAATTTCAGCAGTGCATTGTCAAATTCTACATACATACATGCTTCTGGAGCTGCAGGTCACACCTACTTGCATATTTATCCATACCAAAATAGGAACCAATCATTCACCTGGTATTACAATACAAATTTCGTAAAGATCATCTCCGTCAAATCACCGTTGAAACTATCTCATCTGCAACCAACCACCCCATTCTATCGAAAGTTATCCTACATCAATTTTCTTCTTGGTCCCCCAATCTCACAGACAAACCCACATCAAAATGACTTACGACCGTCCCCGCTCCCGAGGCTACTTTGAACGCGACCGTAACGGTCACGAACGTATCATCTTTCGCTCAAACTCCAACTCCTGTCGTCCCACCTCTTCACATTCACGTCGCTCTACCTCTCAACCTCGCACCAGTTCCCGCGAAATAGCAAACGAACTTGAAGAACGCAACGCCGAACTACATGCCGTTACCGAATCACTCAGAATAGAGTTAGCTGTCGTGGAAACAAGAAATTGGCAGTTAAATTCTGATAATAGTGCACTAAGAGATATTGTTAGAGTGTTGAAAGGGGATAAAGAGGTTCTGGCAATGGATAATGATAAGAAGAGTAGGGATATTCAGTTTTTAGAGGGGAGGATAGATAAGTTGGAGGGGAAGAGAGAAAAGGCTGAGGTTAGGGGGGAGAAGGCGGAAGAGAGGGTTAGGATGATGAGGAGGGGGTTGACTGGGAGAGGGATTTTAAGTGAGGGTGGACTAAAAGAGAGATTGGAGGACAAAATTGAGGAGGTGGAAAGACTTCAGGAGTTGCTTAGAGTTATGGATGCGAAGGTTATTGAAAGGAATATGTGGTTGGCTGAAAAGGATAATAAGTTGGGGTTTTTGAGGAGGTGGCTTGTTGCGAGGGGATTTCATGTTGAGGGGGTCTGAGGGGATTCCTGAATGAATTCTTTACTAGAATGAGAATTGCATGATCTATGGTTCAGATTCAACAGTCAAGCTGACGACGATTTTCTATAAATCATTGATATACAAACGAGAAGAGAGGCACAATTACAGTTTCATATCACTTCATCAACAACTTGGATATAGCAACAAAAAAGGAGAGATGCTTAACCTTTTGGGCAGATATTAAAATGTACGTACAAGAAGCTACACCCCACACCAAAGTTTACCCTCAGCATCACGCGCTAATCATGAATTCGAATAGAAAATTTTCTATAAAAAAAAACGAGGGAGATGGATTTCACAACGGGCTTTTCACATTCAAATGATCACATATCTCAACTGTTTAACTGTAGTCTGTTTGTAGTTACTTTTAATTTAGTTTATTTCAATATGAGTTTCCTTGCAGTTGTAAGATCTTAGCTACAATGCCGCAAAATGAAATAGTTGTCTAGTTTTACCTTTCTCCTGCTTCGACTTTTCTTGTAAGATCTTACTTTATTACTCCGGATGATGAAATGATTTAATTGCTACTTCCAGAATAGAAAAGGGGTAGATATTCCTAATCTGTGATCATTCTCCCGTCTAGTCTACGGAGTATTTCGATCTTATATTCTAGCCTCTAGACTCAAGTATATACATGCATACATGCATGCACAAACCCGTGACCAAGATCATAATTCCAAAAAAGAAAGAAAAATAGTTGCCTCCTCTACTAATTTCTTCTTAGATTTTGATTCATCTAAAGCAAAGATGCATATCAAATTAACCTCAATCTATCAACGCCGCAGACAGGTATGCACATACCCGAAGGCAGAATCTCCATCGATATCCATGCAATCACTCACGTGAACGCAATGATTTCTTATTTCTTCGTTTCTGTTTCCACACGCATTTTCGAAGGAACTCGATGACAGGCAACCATCTCTTCTTTTGTTTTCGGATATGGGATTGTACGGCTTGCTACATACACGATACCGTGAAATAGGTTGAGCGTATATAATATTAACTCGCATGAAGAAAATTCAAAAGAACTAATTCTCGAATCCCTGACGTAATTATTTTCCTAGGAAATGTAACCTTATTACTCCGTCGAGTACAAAATGAATAAATATCAATATGAAATGCAAGTTTTTTTTTCATCGATTTCTTCAAAAGCGATAAGAATATTCTTGATGTAATCATAGATGCCTAGGTAGTGTATGATAAACGAAAATGCATATTTGACGTCAAAAGTGCATCTCGGCAGTTTTCTTTTCCCATGAGGTTTACCTAAGCCACGCTTAAACCTTTTTTTGACACGTGAAGAATAGGCAGGCGGGACTTTGCACATGTGTATTGTGACTGTCACAGTGTAACCTACTCGGCTTTATACAGGAGCTCGAGGAGTCATAATCTGTTTAGTTTTAGCTTTGTTTGATCTTGTTGTACCCAAGGACGGTTAATTGGAATCTGTGCATGGGGTTTGTTTCGATAGAGCTTTGTGGAATGGAATCTTGGGATCTATGCGGGGCCGAAGATTGTACTGGGTGATAAACGATAACAGGAGTGAGGTGCGTAATCGTTGATAGTGCGTTGGTGTGTATGAGTACAAAGGAAAACATAATAATGGATTGTTATTAGCCTTTCAATCGAGATTTTTTACCCCTTCATGCAATGCAGTCAACCCCGCACCCGACTACCGTGCATACGATTTTCTAATTCGCATGTCATCATCATTCTAACTTTCTTTCTTTCTGTGATCTGTTGCTTAGGTAGATAGTGCTAACCGTATATGGAGTTCTCCAGCCTACAAAAATTATCAACCGATAAAATCCGCTGAGAAACACTACTCACTGCTTGACAATCGTCAAAATCACGTACAAAATAAGCACAGCCTAGTTTATAGTTTATATTATCCATTTTATCCATAAGCAACGCAAGCATCCTTAAATGCCAATCTGCCCTGGCGTATACATACATGCATACTGCTGATAGATACCGAAAACTAAAAGATCCCGAGGAAGAAAAATGCGGGAATGTAAGGTTAATGTAAGACTTAGGTAGGTAGATAAGGCTACAGAAACATATAGGATCGACACTGCCCCTTTTTTGTAGATTTATGAACAAGGGCTTGCTTTAGTTGCTGATGGTTTTGTTTGTGAACCAATTAGATGGGTGGCATGTGAGGATGCAGTGAGGGGTTAGCTAGCTGAAAGTTTCTGGGAGATATTCAAAGGGGGTTGAGGATTGAGATTGAGATTGAGTCATCATTTGATGATTTACGAATTTTTCGGATATGAGATTAGGATGAGAAGATATCTATTCCTGAAATATTACATACGCACAATACAGTATAGTATAGTAAGGTTAATAAGAATTGGGGGCCGGAAAAACAATTTCATTCAAGATCCTAATGATTTATGTGAGAGAATGGAATGGATGAGAGAGCTGGAAAGAGTGAGAATTGAAGTATTTTCCTTATTTAGCTCAACAATCAAGGTTATGAGAAGTTGGAAGAAATTTTAAAGCATCACTCGCATATGTAACCTAACCTACAGAAAGGAATAAACAAAATTCAGGACAAACCACATTATCCACATCATCCACGCCCAAAATATGCACGACGGGCTGAGGCTACTAGGATAAAGTCCTCGGTGAGATCATTTGGCAAGAGATCTTTCGCATTCCATCCCGGAGAAAAATAAGATAGTCTAGTCCTGATGGTCCTACGAGCCGGAAAAACAAAGGAATATTTGATAGTGTAAAGGAAAATAAAACATCCCGGTATATATATCGAGGCTGTGATCAATGATTGGAGGAGCAAAATCAAGTCAAGGCAGAAAAGCTACCTACCTACCTATTTTTTATTTTATTTTTTACTCTTTTTTTTTGAAACCCGCATGTTTGTAGGCAGGTAGGTATACTAGGAGATAAACTAGACACTAGACATCGGAATTTGAGTGAGGAGTCATATGTTTATTGATCCTTCTTGTGTTCGTTAGGTAGGTAATGGCTATGGCTATGGCTATGGCACTGGTGATATGGCGATGGAGATGAGATGGCTTGGGGAATTTTCTCCTACCTATACCTATACCTATATAAATATGTATATATAGCTCAATAAATTTCCGGGTGAGGAATGAAAAGAGTTTCTTCTTCAGCCTTATGTTTATTTGAATCGATTTCATTCCTCCATCGATATCTCTGATCATCTATTTATCGGCAAAGAAAGCCTAATTGTCGAATCGGTATTCTTCATCTATTTACTCGTACTTCTTATCTGCGAAAGCGAATAGATTAGTTCTCACTGCATCGATATTGATATTCAAATCTATTATCCAATAATTTTTCTTCCCGCTCTTTATTTATCCATCCGTCGCATCACATCACATCACATCACATCATATTCTGAGACCGTCAGATCGGAAAACACAGCGTACGATTGGTACGAGTTCGATTATTTTGATTCGGAGGATATATTGCCGTTACACAAATCGTTACTGTGGTACATAACGTACCTAAGTACACAACATATACTTCACGATGTCTTCAAAACCGGTCAAGAAGGTTCATTATACATCTTCCACCAAAGGATCTTCCGTTCACGGTGGTCCATCATCTACACCACCTACATCATCCAAACCTACGTCTTCTTCCCGTCGTCCATCTTTCACTCACCAACGGCATCCGTCTGATTCAGGCGTCGGTTCATCCTCTTCCAATTCAGCTACTGCACAAGTAAACTCCACATCCTTCTACACCGACGCCGAACGTGCGGAGCAAAGACAAAACGTTCGAGCCTTGAACGAAGCACTCGATACACTCAAAGACCGAGTAAAAACCCTCGAATTAAAGAACCGCGACCTCGAAGAGACATTAACAGAAAGTAACCGCGAGAAACGAGAACTCCGTCGTGAACGCGAACAATTGCTCGGCACGATTGAAGAATTGAAAAAGGACAAGAGTAGAGCCAAAGATGCACGAGAGGGGAAAGATAGTGATGGAATCCGAATTCGAGGATCCGATATTAAAATCACCCCAGAGAAGAAAGAGAGAAGTGATAGGAATCCTGCAACAATGGAGAGAAATACACCACCTATGACGCGAAGGGAGAAAGAACGGGATACAGATGCAAGAAAAAGAGAAGAAGAAAGACTTAAAGCACAACATCAGACGAGGGAACGAAGAACTAGTTATAGAGATGCACCACCTTCTCCACTCTATCGCGACGATGAACGGGATATAAATCCCATGAGTCCTAATTCTCGATACCGGGATGAGGAACATGCTCGAGAGAAACGTAACTCGGGAACTCCTTCAACCTCTAAATTACCAAATCCCTTTACACCAATTAGTCCTATTGGAGGTAGTGGGAATGCGGGACGGACTAGGAGGGCAAGTGTTAGTTATGGCACTTCGCCGGGTGGATATACCAGTGCACCACAAGCTTTTCCGGGGATGACGATGGGGAGTAGTTATGGGAGGAGGGAACATGATGAGGTGCCTTATGTTAGGGGAGAGGTACCGGTTAGTGTTAATGTTGGGGTTGCGGGGACGAGGGGGTCGAGATTGAGTGGAGGGAGCACGGGGAGTGTGAATGATGATTTGTTTCCTAATGATGGGAAGTATCATCCTTATCCTTTGGGTATGTGAGGGGTGTTGGTTGATTGATTGTGTTGTCTTTCGGGATTTCGGGATTTTGCTGTTTGAGCGATTGATTATTTGATGGTTGGATATTAAAATTATGGATGTATTGATGGATGGATGGATAGGGTATTCTCTTTTTCCTTTTTGTACTTATTTTGCACTTTTTTACGGCGAGCGTGTGCATTGGTTCGTGGCTTGGTTGGATGATTGGATGGTTGAATGATTGGCATGACGGTTAAACGGTCGGACGGATCAACCCAATCTTGAAAGAGAAACCGAAAGAAAGGATAGGACAGGACGGAACGGAACGGAACGGAATTGGATGAAATGGAACACGCAGTACATATATGAATGGCGCGAGCCTGGCAGGAAAGAAATGGAAAGGATCGGATGGGTTGGGTTGACAGTGAGTCTAGGTAAAAAGAACTCAGTAGATAGCTATTATCATTTATCTGAAATATTCGGCGTTGATTTAATAGCAATATATAGATATCCTTGACACATATTTGTAGTTGAGAGCCTCATGTGAAAACTCTTTGCCTATCTCTGGGATTTGTGAGTTGACTGGGTGAAGATTGAATTACCCACTCGGGCTGCCCTTGCTGGACGTGGTGAGAGTCAAAATCGTAAAGAATGGTTCAGATTGAATTGATTTCAGCTTACCATCACCAATATAGAGACATAAACCAGGTTTATGGGATTAGGCTGTATTGCAATTGAGCATATGGCTTTCTTGTGTCAATAGCCTATCCACTAGGAATTTTATGCCATTATTCTTCCACAGGTCTCGTCGCACCCGTCATAAACCCAATCGCAGCTTCCAAGATATCTCTCACGGCCCTTAATTCTGATTCTGATCTCGGAGTATATATCATCAGATACTCTGCAGGCATTTTTAATGTGCCGGCCAAGGTCATTTTTTCACCCCATCCCTTCTCAATTACTTCCTTGCAGTCCCTGGGCGAGAGTACTGCATGCATTGAATAATCTACATTCTTTCCTTCTGTATGAACATGTGCGATTTCGCGTTTTGTTTTCTTTGCTGGAAGATGAGGCGTTGGAACTCTGTCCGCTATTAAGATAGCGTCCCCATGTTTTTCGAGGGCAGATGTAGTGAGGGTTATGTGGTTGGGATATCTTCTAGCTAGTTCGATAACGGTTTGATCGATGAGCTTATGCATATCCCTTCCTCCGAATTTGTCAACTTGTCTATGCGGAACTACCTGTTGGTATATTAGTGTCTAGTCTTATATTTTGGAGGGTTGCCGTACCCATTTCGCCATTTCAGGCCTGGGTCCATCTCTCATTTGCAATGGTTCTTTCAAAAAGCTTCGTTGACCAAGCGTTCCGCATTTCGCGATCTCTTTAGGATCATCGTAGCAAACAGTATCGAAGGGTTCACATTTGAAATATCGGAGAAAGTATTGGACGAGTAGGTAGCCGAATATATTGCTAGGAAGGGCATTTTCTTTAAACTCTAGCCAGCCATGATAATCTGCGCGAAATGAATTGAACATCGCGACAGCAAGCAAAAGCTGATTGATCCCAGCAGGTTGCCGTAAAAAATCATGTTAATGTACTGTATGCATCTTAAGATTGAACAAAGGTGAATTAGCTTAGAGTGTGACAGCTACTTAGTGCTTACATACAGGTGAATGCCCGTGTGGCCGCCAGCCCTAGAACGGTGCCCCTCACTGCAACTCCCCCCCATTGCAACTCCAGCAGATCCACATAGACGCTATCGACCATTTCTTCAGATTGTGCCGGTCAAATACCCTAATTGGTCGACTTTGTAGCTTTTACAAGTAGAAATGGAGGGCGATGTCTTGCTCCAGCCCAGTCTGGATACTCCTGTAGCTGTTTTGGCGTCGGTCCCCACTCATCAATTGCAGTTAGAATGAACCCAGCATCAAGAAGCATCATAATATACGTAGCAATCGAACGGTGTTGTTTAACTACGCCTTCTGCCAACCAGTTTGTCGTCCGCGGGCCCTCAAATAAATAACCATCTAATGGCCAGACCTCATGACCTTCCGCGTCTTTGATCCAGTTGGGGTTTCGTGGAGCTGTCCAGATAGGATGTTCGACAGAAAAGATGAATGTTCCTCCAGGCTTCAATGATTTGTGGACTTGAGCGACGAGAGCTGATAGATTCTCGATGTAATGTAGAGCCAGAGAGCTGTAAGCAACGTCAAACGTACTTAGAGGTAGCTCTAAGGTTTCCAGGTCGGCCTTGAAATAATTAATAGCAGTGTCTGCTGTGTATTCTTTTGCTCGAGATAGCATATTCTCGGACACATCTACACCCTGAACGAATTGGGAACCATTCTTTCGCGCCCATCTAGACATCCAACCAAACCCGCATCCAAGATCTAGGAAATTCGATCCTTCAAGGTTTGGTATCCAAGAGCGAAGTACTTGAAATTCAGGAGCCTTTTCCAAGCCATGAAGGGAACGTGGAAGCTGAGCATATGCTTCGAAGAAGTCGCCTTGGTCGTAGATGTTGTGTGCCATGAGAAGAATTTCAAGCAATGTAGATTTCGAACGGAAAGTATATTACTTGTGAACACGCATCAATCACGCGATATTCAACCTACCTGATAAATAGGCTGTTGAAGAGAAAGTAACCCTCCCCAGGTCCCCAGTGCTAGGCGACAATATATCATCGTTTTGCAATGTAATCGCGCTGGAGTTGAGGTTCTTCCATCAACGTGAACCCTATTATTAGAATTTTATTGTGTCATGAAAGATCCCTTCATTTGGCAATAAAAAATATCTTTGGTTTATCGTTAGGAAAAGAAATTCCATGTTCATATCAATTAAGCATTGAAAAGATTTCCACTACTGGAAGATAAATTTAGTGGGGTTGTGAAAGGGACAACTAAATCGCGGGGTGCATTGACCCCGAGGTCGGAGTGATGTTGAGAATTTATTCGTGTCATCCATCTTTGAGTCAATATTTGTCTCAATTGAAGCTATTCACATTCATTTTCCATACAACTTATCCATACAACTTATTTATCATGACTGATCATACTCCCTCACAAAGGTATTTATCTACTAGAGGAGGCGACTACGGATTGTCTTTCGAAGATGTCGTATTAAAAGGTCTCGCTGCCGATGGAGGACTATTCATTCCTGAACAAATCCCATCACTACCAGAGAATTGGGAGTCAAAATGGAAGGATCTGTCATTCTCTGATCTCGCATTCGAAATCCTTTCCCTTTACATCTCTCCTTCCGAAATACCACCCTCGGACTTAAAAGATATCATAAATCGAAGTTACTCTACATTTCGCGCCCCAGAAACTACACCCCTTGTTCCTCTCAATGAGAAAGATAATTTATATCTTCTGGAATTGTTTCACGGCCCTACGTTTGCATTTAAGGATGTCGCATTACAATTACTCGGAAATCTTTTCGAATATTTTCTCGTTAGACGGAACAAAGGCAAGGAGGGAAAAGACAGACATCATCTTACAGTGGTTGGGGCTACAAGTGGTGATACCGGATCTGCTGCCATCTATGGTTTGCGAGGCAAGAAGGATGTTTCAGTCTTCATTTTACATCCAAAGGGTAGAGTAAGCCCTGTACAAGAGGCTCAAATGACAACGGTCTTGGATGCCAATGTACACAATTTGGCAGTCGAAGGAACTTTTGATGATTGCCAGGTGAGTCATGCATCTCTTTATACTTGACATATCTAATGGTGCTCAGGACACCGTCAAAGCCTTATTTGCAGATCCGCAGATCAATGAGACGATGAACCTAGGAGCTGTCAATTCTATCAATTGGGCCAGAATTTTGGCACAAACCACATATTACTTCCATGCATACTTCTCTCTCAAAAAGTCGCCTGCATATAAACCCGAAAACAGAGTTCGTTTCATCGTTCCTACTGGTAACTTTGGTGATATTCTGGCCGGATATTTTGCAAAGCGCATGGGTCTACCAGCTGAAAAGCTTGTCATTGCGACAAACGAGAATGATATCTTATACCGCTTCTGGAAGACAGGACACTACGAGAAAAAGGCTGTTCACGGCGTCGAAGCTGAAGGTGGTCTTGCTGAGGATGGAGTAAAAGCACATGAAGACGGTGTCAAGGAGACCCTTAGTCCGGCCATGGACATTCTTGTTTCGAGTAACTTTGAGCGATTACTATGGTTTTTGGCCTACGAATACGCATGTGCCGCTGGTATGGATGATGAATGGAACAAAAAGCAAGCAGGTCAGGAAGTCGAAGTCTGGCTCAAACAATTGAAAGCGCAAGGTGGATTCAATGTCCATGACGAAATTCTCAAGGCTGCGAACAGAGATTTCGAGAGCGAGAGAGTCAGCGACAAGCAGACCATCGACACAATTAAGGATTTCTATACTAATGGCTCATATGTTTTGGATCCACATTCGGCCATTGGTGTAGCTGCCTCATTACGATCCATTTCCCGTTCGCCAGACGCATATCATATTTCCCTTGCAACAGCACATCCTGCTAAGTTTGCAAATGCCGTTGATCTCGCACTAAAGGACGAAAAGAGTTTTAGTTTTGATACCGTACTCCCAAAGGAATTTGTCGGTTTGGAAGACAAAGAAAGGCGAGTCAGAGTGGTACCTAGCACTTCTTGGGAAGAGGTCAGGGCGATTGTTGTAGAGGAAGTCGAGGCAGAGTTAAAAGGCACCAGATGATATACATTTTACTGTAATATAATAGGCTTAATTGCCCACACCTTTTGAGCGTTTGCGCCACGTATTTCCCGGTAAAATTGTGACAAGGCTACGCTTCAGATTTCACCTTACAGGAGTGCCTCCCTCTGATGATTGGTGCAGTGGTAGCGTGGAGGCTATCTGGTCTCGTGCTGAACTCAGCATACCACTACAAATTTACATTCATCTCGACTTATTCCTTCTCTGCAAACAAAACACTATTTTACCTACCGTTCACTGCTTTCAGGTGTACATTCCAAGTGAAACGTACTTCGGCATGGATCCTGTCGGTTTCACCGCAAGTGTCATCGGTATCGAAACTTTGGCTGTCCAACTTGCGGATGCAGTAAGGAAAGCGGCTGCGTTCTGGGAGACTATCCAAGGTGCTCCTTCGGATATTAGTCGACTGTCTAGAGAGCTGAGGCTTGTGGCTAACGTTTTTCATGCGATTCGAGTTGAACATGAAGCCGGTAACATACCTATCCATTTTCAAAGTATGGTTAAGGAGGCTTTGGATCTGGCAAGGGCGATGTTGATCAGCTTTCAATTTTTATTTCGGAATTGACGCGGAAACTATCCCGAAATAATGGTAATTTTGGTACACAATGGAGAAAAGTCCAAGTCACTCTAAAAGCTAGCAAAATAGAAAAGTTCAAGGACAATCTGGGAAGCATAAAAGGCATCATGACCTTGCTGCAGGCAAGCAGAAATCAGTAATGGAAGACCATGCTAGTAAATCGGGCATTTGATTGACCCAATGGGTTACAGATCTTCCATAGTTCAAATCAATAGCAAGCTCGATATCCTGGACACGAAGATCAGCTCGATAGCTATCACCAGCACAAGCTCATTCCATCAGATTATAAATCAATCCTCGTTGCAAGTCATGCAGAATCGTCCTGTTTCCTCCGAACACAGGTCAACTTACACGAACAGTGTTTCTAAGTCTATCAAACAATACAGGACGAACTTCTTCCTTGGCACTTTCTGTTTCAGAACCACTTCTACCACTCACCGATATGATGATAACGATTCCTCGGATGATGCAGATAACTCGACAACTACGAGAGCTTACCTAGTTGAGTTCCTCGTATGATTTACAACCTCCCGGAAAGGTCTTAGGGTAATGACAACAGACACTTTTGATAGTTACAGGCTTGATGTGATTCGACGACGACCAAACGATTCAGAGATTTTTCAACTCTGTAGGATTGGCGACACAGGAGCAGTAAAAAGGTTGCTTGATCGTGGCGAAGCATCTATTTATGATGTGGACGAATATGAGGAGTCTCTTCTGCACGTGAGAGTTCAAAACCATCCATGGCTTTCGTAGAAATTACTTATTATGTTATAGATAGCTGTGTGTTATAGCGACCCGGAGCTTTGCCAAATGCTTCTTGCTCGTGGGGCTGACGTATATCTACGGAACACTCTTCGGTGATCAGTATAGCATACCCAGGAAGTTTATTATACTCACGATATCATAGCTTACCTATAGATAATGCAATGATGTTGAATCGCTCGGAATCATTCATCTCGTTGTGCGAAATTGGTGGCTATGATCTGTGGCCCTTAGACGGATCATTCGCCCTCAAGCCCTATAAGATTTGCGATAACATCAGTATGTGGCGATATATGTTCCAGGTTAATCCGGGCACATCAGTGAGAGAGGATTTGTTCGAAAAAGCGAAGTGGAGTATCCGGAAAACTATGGATGTCAAGCTCGTTGAATTTTTGGTACCCCGGTTTACTATCAAGACGGGAATTCAGCGGTAGGAAATCAATATATTGACCGGGGGAATGTCCTAATTTCGCGTCTCTTGGGCGATTGGTTGAAGGAAGTATACTATCATTGCTTTTTCAGATATCCATTCTCTTCTGTAGGTAGAACCCTTTGCGAGTACAAACTCATTCGGGTTTTAAAGCAAATATCCACAAGACTTAATGTCAATACCAGCGAGGAGTGGCACCTAGTTTCAGATGGTTTTTTAACCTTGTACAAGGGTGCTATTGAAAAAATCATCACCTTCCACCGTTGGAGTATTGAGATCACTATTGCTGTCTTTCAACGATGGTCAAAAACTATTGTTGATGCAGGGATTGATCTCACTTCATATATCACCAGCCAAGACACGAACCTATATAATAAATTCAGAGGACATATAGTTCTTTGTTGTAAGGACATACAGTATGAGATTGTTCATGAACGTCAGCACGACAATCTTTCACTCAACATTACTCCTGCGACTCTGCCCGAGTCCTCAAATCTCGACCCTAACTTTCTATGTGAAAATGGCATACCACGTTGCCATCTCACTGGGCCAGGTCGATGCATCTCAGAAGTCGATGTAACTTTCATAGAGGATGGTAAGTTCTTTATGAATGTGCCTGGACAGTGGGAGGAGCCACTGATTCCAAACTCGAACCTCGTCCTGGTTTTGCACCAGAAGTACTCTTTTCCTATAATATTTTACAGCGTTTATCGCGATTTCTCTCTCTTTAATTCAAATAGGCTTGCTACAAAAGCCAAGATTCAGCAGCTTGAGGAGGATTTGAGAAATGGTACTCTGTATGGTCTAGAAAAGAATTGATCAGCATCCGAGAAGAGTTATGCGACAGCTTCATTGACGGAAAATTATCCTTTCCATGATTGCACACTATCAAAAGTCGAAATGAGAGGACAAAGCTTACCATCTATACAATTTTATTTTACGAGTTAGGAACGGGATTCTTGCTTTTGCTTTTAGGTCTGACATATATATCTTAGTGTTTCGATGTATGGAATCAAATAGGATTGCGGGGATGTTGATTCTCAATACAGTTTGTTTGGTGTTGATAATTCATTAGGGGTTTTGGATACTTTTCCATATACTAGTTCGGATTTCCTTGTCCCAATTTTAGTCGGATGGTCATCCCCAATGTTACGATTCGGATTTGACGAGCATGTTCAATTTTATGGTTACAATTCCACGATACTTTTTCCCGCCCTGGATTTCCCGTTGGCATGCCTGGATATTAGAATTTTGAATGAGGTGATGTGATGTGATGTGATGTGATGACTTTGAGTATAGTATAGTATTGGATATATGTATATGGAACATCACTTTTCCCACTCATTCATTCATTCATTCATTCATTCATTCATGTCTTCATCAACAAGTACTCCCCACGCCACATAATCAAATCCTCAATATTAATCTAAATTATAATATACACTTCAAACTATTCCTCACTAGAACCCATGAAGATAGATGGTAATCAATCGATGCCAAACAGCTAACTCCATCTTGTTACTTTTGACCTCGTCTAGTAACTCTGAAGAGTTGACAAATCTTGTGCACTGTTAGTTGGTCATTTAATATTATCAAATGCAAGACTTAGATTCACATAGAAAAATATCGATGAGAGAAAACTGGAATACTAGGTATATATATTATATCCGCAGCATTATTTATGTATGTAATAACTGGTAACTGGTAACTCATAGTACAATACTCAACTCTGCTCGCTCAGATATATCGTCCTCATGTGATGCGGTAACATTGACACACAACTAACTGTACGGGTTTATGGTAATGGACAATGCATTGCATAAAAAAGAATAATCATCGCAGCATAAAACATAACATAAAGATAATATAAAGCAGCATCAAACCCGCACCAGCAGACGAAAAACATCATCTCCGAAGTATAACCACAAAACAAGACTACTCTGAATACAATGTCCATCATGACTAAAAAAAACCTGAAGATTTTTCCACGCTAAAAAAGCAGTTTGCACCATTTGCACACATTTTCCACCAACGCTACCCTAGCACAGACCACACGCAAAATCTATAAAATCCCACTTCCCCCAGACCCTCAGGGAAAAAAGTATCGACAATACTTCAAAGAATCATTTCTTTAGTAAACGTCCTTCTTCTGTGTTCTCTACAAGAGCCACAGACTCCAACTGGGAAGATGAGCCGATCCTCAATGTCCTAGAGTGAAGCCGTTTTTGCTCTCGTTTTATTCCTTTCTCTCTTGGGGGAGAGGAGTGGCGTTGTTTTCTGGTAACGGGAAATAATGTATAGAGAGTGGTGATGATCTCGACCCCTTTCTGATTGGCTTCGGTCGTTGGATTGGGGTGGGCGTTGATGGACGTCTGACCAGTTTTTGAGATACTTTTTTTTTTTTCATTGCATATTTGGCCTTGGGCTGGGTTGTGAAGAAGAGTTTTGGTTTTGGTTTTTTTGGCGGGGAAGATTTTGCGTCTGTTGGTGGAGTCTGGGACTTTTGCGAAGAGTTTTCAGCTGATGGTATTCGTAATTTCGGATAGATTCAATCGTTGAAATTCTGCTAGTTGACCTCCCAACTACATCTCGAGACACCAATCAATTCATCCTGCTAGCCGCTAGCTGTATTCGAGATCAATGATTGGGTACTATCCAGCCCCATAAACCACACGCCAAATAGCAGCAACTCAATCCCGTCGTAACAAATCACTTCCAATCACACGAACTCTCGCAAATCTTTAACCGCACAAGATATCACGAGTGGAATACCACCATCGATGCACTTTTCGATACTCTTCAAGCTGCTGCTAATTCAAAACAAGAACTTTATTCACATTTTCAATAATAATGATGATTAGTGATATTATTGATCTGATGTATACATTTACATATACAGACAGGTTCAAGTCATCGAGGATGGCATCTTATGGTTTCGTTTAACTCATTTATTCGACCTATGCTTGCATTTTGATGTCTTATTTTCATCAAGTCAAAACAGGTTGCCCATCCCACTGATCACTCTTTTCAGAGTCTATCTTATCATTCTTTGCGTCATTTTTCTACCACATATGTTAAATCTCCTTGATCATTCAATATCTGCACATCTCATATTTCATCCATACTTCCTCCGTTTCTTTCGACATTCTCTGACACCTTAACTCTCTCCTTAAACCATGCGATCGTCGGTTCTGCCAGGTCGAGCTTCTCTCTTCTCATGTGTCTTTTGGCTTTAGAATTTCTAGCTGTGGAGTCTGCAGGTATGCCATCCTTGATCTCAAAGAGTTGAAAGACCTCCAGAGTCTTCACCGTTTGTAACTTTCGAAGTTGTCCTTCAAGAAGGGAGGAAATACTTCTTCGAAACAAACTCTTGAGCGAGCCGGAAAGACCCAGAGTGAGGACTGACCAATCTGTTGCCAAAGGATCTTCTTCTACTTCAATAACTAGTCTTGTTAATCCGGTGCAGTACTTGTTGATGATTGGAATATAACATCGAATGGTATCGATGAGGTCCCTGTTGCACGCAAGTTTACATTTATTTCCTTCTTCCAAACAATTGTGTAGTATCACTCTGCCACTGAAATATAAAGTCTTGAGCATTGCGGCCTTTTCCTTCCCAATAGCATGGACAAAACGGTAAAAGTGATCGTGGTAACTGACGGGGAGTCCACAGTTCCCTAATATTGGGATTCTCGGAGTTTCGATCATGCGAATGACGTCTGCAACCACGACCTTATCGACCTCACTGCCACCAGACGGCCATTTTCCGGTCCTTACCACTGTGGGTACTTCATACAACGAGCCATGAGCCAGAAAGTGAGTGTGGCTTCTCGTATGCCGCCTGTTACTGTCATATTCCTTGGGGTCAAACCAAGATCTAGGACTACCAGTTTCACTCCAGTCCATAGTTGTAAACTGAAATATGTTTTCCGAATACAGCATTGGAGTTCCATTGTGATTGAAGCTTTTGCAGACTCGTAATAGTGTTGCGTCTATTCTTGGACGATATACTTTTCGAAGTTCAAAGTATTTGCCTTGATGGTCTTGTCGAGTCTGTGTGATGATAGTGCTGAAGCTGCGTTCGGATATGAGACTCTTCTCTCCATCTAGAGAATAAGTGTGATGAGACTTAAATGCCCGTACCCAGTTTGATGTTGTAACATCCGGTGTGATTGTATGGTCCTTGACTCTTAACACGCAAAGGAAAATCATATCAATGATTTCTGTATTCGAGGAATTAGTGAGTGTCAAATAATCTAACGGGAATAGACAAAAACCAACACAACACACCTTGAGGAAAGTTCAAAAAATGTCGACGATGTTCCCTAGGCAAGAACCAACCACCTTCACTTCGATGCTTGACTGTATCACGAAGTCCTTTCTTCTTTGGTCGATCAATTTTTGCTAATGTCGGGATTTCCTTCGCAACATGATATGTTCTCTTATTACTCTCTTCTCCATATTTCCTCTCATATCTAGGAATTACAGCACTGAAATATTCAATATCTGCACAAAGAAACAATTAACATAACACCACAGTACGCCCCAGCAAAAAATCATAATCACAATCATACACATCCAACGCATACGTATATGTACCCTAGCGTAATAGTGGGGGAAAAAACATAACATAATATACCTGTCCCACGGATACATCGCACCCCATCATTCCAGAAATAACGCCCCTGAATCCAATGTTCCCGGGCATATTTTTCGAGTGCTCCCGATGCGAGGGTTTCTGTTGGGAATTCGCTTTTGGCGCTTTGTAGATCTGTGTGTGTGAGGGGTGGGAGGGTGTGGGGTTTTTCGCGGGGATATGGAGGGCGGGGTGGGAAGCGTGGTGGTGGCATGGTGGTTTGGGGATTTGGGGGATGGGGTGGGTTGAGGAGGATGAGGAAGAGGAGGGAATGGAATTGATGGAATGAATGGAGATGGGAAGGAAGGTTCGTTATTATTATTCCATTGAACTTATTGGTAACATCTTGGTTTGTGTATCTGATGGTGATTAAGTTTGTTGTTGAAAGGAAACGAAGGTGAGTTTGGAGTTTGATTTGGTTTGATCTGAGTCTGAAGGAGCACGTGCTAACTTGTCACTTTTGGTGAGGGGTCTCGTATTCACTGTTATTTTGATTCACTATCACTTTTTCAAAAAAGATCATATATAGATACCTAGGTAGGTAATTACAGATGCATACTGAAGCTAGATATTTCAGATTTCAAAAGCTGAGATATTTAATTTGTCGATTGTGGTTGATGGGAATTTTACATTACATTGTTGTATCTTTAGATGTGTAATGCGAGATTATTTTAATTTACCATGACTGTGGGCTTGTAATGGATCCAAGTCTCACGTATTCAGATGTTGCTCTTTTCAAGATCTTTTGAGTAGTCGCAAGTATAGCATTGATCACACAATATATACCTAGAAGGAAAAAGGGAAGAGGAAAGAGGAGAAGAGTAAGGTGATGAAGAGATCTAGAGAAGAGATACAGAGACGATCTAAAATGCAAATACAAGCAAGGTATATGCATTGGATAATAAGATTGATAGACGTCTAATATGCACATTCTAAACATCTACTTGATATTACTCCATATTAATATACTGTATTATCAGCAGTCATTAGCTTCCCACTATGAAGTTTAGACCAATGATAGTCCTCTTCGTTCAAAGAATAAGAACTGCGGCGCTTATTACGACTAAGATACTTCATGTGATAAATTTCAAGGATTCAAACCGTTTTAAGACTTTTGAGATCCAAATCATTGAATTGGCTGAAGGCCTTGAGATCCCTTTCGTCCTGAGTTCTGCCTTCAAAGAAATCGGACCATCCCTAAACTCAGCACCTCGTAACGACTAGAATCACGCATCTGAGCCGGTGATTTTTAATGTACCAAAAAGCCTTACACAAAAAGCTGTGCCCGAAATAAGCGACACCATTTTATGCTGTACTGCATATCGTTGTTAGTAGTTGTGAATTGGATATTAATAACTGATTAGTACTAGCGGCTTCTACAGCTCAAGTCAGGAGCCTTGATGACAACTTCTCGCTGTGCAAAGGAAGTTATCAGGCTAATCGTTATTATATATGCCATAATACTTATTGTAACGAATAATGATGATTTAGATATCATTGATTCATCGGCGATAGTGCACTGTATAATTATGATTACATAACCTAAACCATCATTTATACAATATGTGCTATTCAAATCAAGTCTGATTTCTAAACAATAATAGAATGATAGAATGTAACCGTACTTGTACGATGTGGCTTTCTTGAATAAATTCTTACCCCTTATTGAGAATCCCTGTGCTCGCTTAAACGATGCCGCGACCCACTTCACTACAGCCTAGATTCAACATCTGTGCAATGAGAATATATATCATGATGGGCTTAGGAATACAACTGCTGGATTGGATTTAATGAAAAGATTTACTATATGAGGAATTTTGAATGTTTGCGTACAATTCAAATAACTCCAATGAAGACGATAAATTGAATGCTTCAAATGGATGTATTTAGTCCGAAATCTTTTATTTCATTACTGTACTCTGGGATATCCATATTTCGGGGTGCAGATATACTGAGTTGAATAGAGGCAAGACTCAGATGACTTTCTACTCTGAAGAATGTGGTGTCGGTCACCTTTATGTGGATCGCCTGCACTACAGTGGGTAATCGTGATACATTACTGGGTTTGCGAGTTTTTATATAAGGATTTTTAAAAAGAACCTAACAATAGACGATACCTAATAACGCTCCCATGAAGAGAAACTAAAAGAAATTTCACCACGTGGCGACGCCCTTAGAGCACCTGATAAGTTCAACCTCGATGCTGAGCTTAGCTATCCGTAAACCATTACATTTTCTCCACTTCAGTAAGCATATATTGCCAGAAAATAATTACATATAGAGATTTCACCAACTTATTTAGTAAGTCCTATCATGCCAGCTTAGAAGAACCTCACATCTAGGAAAAGTTGCACATTCAATGCTTTAACTTTGAATATAATAACAGTATTAAGGGCTAGTTATTCGTTGCGAAATTCGGACTGGAATAATATATCCGCTATGCGCTATCTAAATCACTTTTTGGCTTAATTGAAAATTGAGGTGTGGTACGGCTGCTATCCATTCAATTTGAAGTCTAGAATGAAAGAATGTGACTATAGGGGAACCATGATAAAAATCAGGTCTTGCTCAGATAAGTCTCCTCGGAAGCTCTAGACCTTCTATAGCTTTCTCATCACGTATAATAGTTTAGACAGCTTTCTGTCCTAAATCCTGCCAACTGCATAACCATACAAAGCTCAACTGCAGCCTATGAACCAAGCTCCAATGATTAATCCTTAAACTTAATCCCTGTCCAACTTCTTCCCGGCTCAATTATGAGGGTGCCCGGTATATCACAGATTGGATTGGACTGAAAGTAAGACTCAGGTGTATTGTCAATACCTTCAGGTGTTACTCCGTTCTTCCAGCATCTCCCAATATACAGACCGCATTGTATCCCCATTTGGTGTCACTTTTATGGTTTGCTTTTCTCTTCTGACGTCTTAAAATCTCCTCGATAATTTTCAAGCAGGATTGTGCATTTTTCTATCCTTCTCCTTATGATATGTAGGAAAGGACAGTTTCGCTAGGGCTTGCTATCATAAGTATGATATGGTAATTGTTCTTTCAAAATATGTGGAATGATCATCTTTCGACGAGTAGAAGTAAAAGAAGTAGTTGGCTTTTTCTTTATCAAATTACCCTCCTATCACCGAAATTAAAATAAGTTACTTTTATATACAATTATATATATCTAAAAGATATATATTATTAATTTTTTATAATTTACTTGTTTTATTCTTAGGATATACTTGTTTTTATTTTGATTTAATTTGATTCAATTTAACTTGATTCGACAACTATGAAATATATACTACTAATTTTATAAAGTCAAATATATAACTCACAAGTTAAACCTCCAATAAACTGAATATATAAATCAAATCCTTGTAATCACAACAATACACTCTTCCTCAAGCAAATCATATCTCCTGCAAGAAAATCCTCTTTTATACCTAGGAACTATCTGTCCTATCATCATACTACTACAATGACTATAATAACTCATACCAAACCGCCACAATAAAGGAACAGAAACAGAAACGCTAGATATTAACAGCGAAAAGAAATATACTATATCGTACCATACCATACCCGACGCTACCATACCGTACGCTTTAATCAAATAATATAAGTAAGTAGAATGAATATAAGGGTATACACAAATAAATAAACACCATCCCTAACTCAAACTCCAACCCCTATCTATAAATCTCATCATCATCATCATCATCAACTTTACATAGGTCACCATCACATCCACAAAAAATCTCCATTCAACTCAACTCAACTCAACTATCTAATTATACCAAAATTTCCATCCACTCCCGTTTCCACTCCTACTCGACCCCCACCATCACCTACACCCACACCCACACCACACGCACCACTCCCCGATCCACAATCAACAATCCCTCTCCCTCTCCGTGTCCCTCTTTCTCTTCCTCTCCCTCTACTCACCACAAAAATAAAAATAAAAATGACGTCTCGAGAATCTTCTCTAACCATCCCAAAAAAGCGGGGACGTCCACGGAAAACCAATCTCAGAGAACCATCATTGAGAATATCACCTGATTTTCCGAATCTTCTCCCGAATCTTTTTCCAAAGCTCAAGCCGGAGCCTGAGCCTATCCCCGTTCCTAGTCCTAGCCTTAAACACAATCGCAAGTATAAGTATCAGCCTCAGCCTAAGCCTAAGCCTAAGCCTGAGCCTAAAACCACAGCTCAAGCTCAAGGTCAAGCAAACACCACCTCATCAGACACCACAGACACCACAGACACCACAGACACCACAGACACCAAAGAAACGACAAATAGAACCTCAGATCAAAGTCACACTTTCCATACTCCGTTTTCCGCCAGAAGAAACAGTACAACTTTATCACCACTCAATACAGTACGCGGCTCACCCAGTTCACCCATTCAATCATATCCAGATTCAAATCTATATGATTTATTCGACTCACCCAATCTATCCACTTTATCTTATCCATCGAACCTATTAACTTCACCCAATATATCTATTCCATCGGAATCGACCCCATCCGACTCACCCAAACAATCATACACAATAACAACCCAATCCTCACCTCAACCCCTTTCCCTTTCCCTCACTCTACCCGAACCTCAACCTCAACCTCAACCCCCTCCCCAAGCTCAACCTCAACCACAACCACACCTCAAACGAAAAATCTCACAATCTAAGAATGAAAGTGAAAGTTGCGATCGTACTACTCATATTCACAAAAAAGCAAAAACGAATAAAAACAAAAGAACAAAACGAAATCATACCAACACAACAACCAAACCCACTAAAACAAACATCCTATCCAAATCCAAGAACTCCAAATACAACTCCAACAAAAATCCCCCAATATACAAACCACCCCCTCTTATGCGCTCAAATATAGATATACAGAATCTACCAACTATCACTCAGAGAATTTGGGTTCGTGCTGCTAATCTTGAGGGGGCGACGGGGATGAATAGTAAATGGGTGGTGGAGAGGATGGGGAGATTGTTTGGGGGGGTGGATGGGGTAGGGGGATAGACGGGAGGAGATAGTTAGGATGAAATATTTTATGTTTTATATTTTATAAGAACGATGAGGAGAAGTGAAAGGATAAATACAAAATGAAACAAGACCAGAAACAAGAACAAAAAGTACAAAAGCAAAAGCAAATAAGAAAAATCTAAGAAAGAACACCAAACAAAAATGAAAATAGAGAAGAAAAGAGCCGATAGATCCTTTTCTCTTTTTCTCCAGAGAGCTAGTTATGAGGAATAAAAAGATAGGATTAGGATTAAAATTACCATTTAAATACAAATACAAATACAAATACAAATACAAATGCAAACGAAGAAGATAAATAAGAAGACCCAGAAAATATTCAATAGATATCTAGTAGGCAGGACAGGAAAACTATATCATGATGCAGCGTATACATCTATAGCTATATTACCGAAGTCATTCATCCAATGAATATGTGGAAGCGCAAAAAGTAAACTTTGGTGGACTTTTGATATGGATATTTATTTTAAGAGAAGCTTATGGAAAAATTGGTAGCTATAGGAGATTGATTGATTGATTGATAGAGATGTCGATATTATGTTGATTCTATGTAATTATCTGCGATACTATGACCCAGTATCAATCTCGATGAATAAAAGCTCACAAGCACAAAATAAAATAAGATTCCTATAAATCGTAAAAAATAATCGAGATAAAATCATCTAAACCTAATACACACCATATAGTGACGATTCTTAAAAACTACGATGCTTGAATATCCAAGAAAGTTCTCCTGCAGGATAAATCTTACATGTTGCTCGCATAAACATTTTCAGACAATATGCTTATAAGCAGAACAAAGACCTCCATTCCTTGAACAAAGAAAACTTCACAAAAGAACACACCAAAACACAAAATAATCACTGAACAATGCCAAAATCCTTAAATATAGTTCCTTCCATATTCCTCTGCTCTGCAAAAAGTCAGGACACCATCCACTAATACCTAGCTAACTTACACATACCACAAGATGTCAGAACACTACGTACCAACAACTTCAAGTGACTCGGAATCTCTAATTGATGAGCCGATCATTTGTTTCGTCACTGATTGTAACTATCCCTTTGGTTCAGCATGTCAAAATTGTGCAATGGAATTTGAAGCTCGAGCTGCTGCGAAAGCAAAAGCAAGAAAAGATGCTAAGGATGGAGTCAACAAGGCGGCAGCACAGAAACTCATGGATATGAAATATCAAGCAGGTAGGCGCAGTGAAGACATTTCCGAGAGAGTTGCCGATATTGTGGAAGATCTTCAAGCTATCTTTGCTTTTACTCAACCTAAGCCACAGGAACCAGCTGAGCTGACCTGGGGGAATTTACAAATTCATGACTCTACACCTGCACCACTCAAATTAATGGAACAGTCGATATTAAGCTTTGGAAATCCAAGCTCAGGTAACAATCCTACTCATAACCAGAGGCTCAATTCTTGGCTCAATAAACTCGTTAAAAGGACCCTTGATGGGTTTCTATTTAACTCTCTTTTCAGCGGAGGTGCAGATGCAGAAGATCCAAAGGAAGTTAATTGTCCATACTGTTCTTTATCAACGGGTGAAGGAGCATGGAAAGAATTGCACTTGATGAAGTGCAAGTACGCTCACGAAGAAGCCAAGAAATTGGAAATCGCGAGAGAAAAGTGGTCGAAAAGGAGGAATTGTTAGATGAAGGAAGTGATGGAAGCTTCACATAGCTGGACCAAATTATTATATTCAAATCATCCAGAGTATCCCAAATCCGAGGTGAAGGAAGTGACGGAAGCTGCATATAGCTGGACTAAACCGTTAGAATCAAAGCATCCCAGACCATAAATGGAATTATTTTATCAAATACATTATTGCGAAAGCATATGTGACATATCGATTCTAAGTGTAAAAGAGTGAGACCCTCTAGAGTAAACATTAGCTTTAATGCCGTGATAGTCCTCGTGAACAGTCAAGGCGACCGATTACCCTAGATTTCGTAAAATGCGGCTTTTTGTCGATTTCCGCACCAGTAGAACTATTTTCAGATTGGTGAAAAAACCCGCCATGGTTAACCAATCGTAAGGTATTTCTGAAAAAGCACTAACACAAGGCTACAGTATGCCAAGTGGTCAGCCTGAGACAATGCCGTTCAACGCTAGCTGACAACCAACCTCTCAAACTCTTGTTTGTAGGCACGACAAGTTGACATGGCCGTTTATCTTTTCTCCCCCTGCAAATGCGAACGGGAAGATGGGGGGAAGTGAGAGAGAGGAGACGAATTAGAATAAGGGTCGCTTGGCTTCATGTTTCGAAGCTCTTACTAAGGTACGGAGAGTCTGCCTCCCAATTTCAAGGTAATTGATGGGAATGGAATTTTGAAGGATCGGTGGATGTGGTGATTGAAATTGAGACCAACAAAAATACTCGGTTGGTGGCTCAACTCATTAGGAAATTTACCACTCTGGCACACTTTTAGAAAGTTACGTACGACCTTGATGGTTCAAGATGTGTGATAGTAACTAGGTAATATGAGAAAGTACCTAGCTGACTGTACGTAGGACTTCAACCGTCGCATACGGAATATACCTTTGTGGGTCAGAAGACTCGGTCATGTGATCACATCTGAATGGTCCTCAGTTGCCGTGATATACTTTCGAGCTAGGGGACCAAATTGACCAAAACTGCTATCTCTTGGCATTCTTACCTTGACGTGATATACATATCTACCATCGGACATGTCTATCGCAGCCAGGTTCTCAACATGTGATCAAGAAGTAAGGATATCTTCTGAACGGCCAAAAAACGAACAATGCACGTTCATCAAGGTTATCTACGAAGAGAAGAGTTCGAGTCAGCAATAAATATCTTTAACTTTGGCACTGTCCCAACTGACCCGAGTATTGTGAGTGACTTGCGCCCTATTGCTAAGAGTGGTGGCCCTACGTTTTATCATCTTCCATTTGAACCACTTGGATACCCAACAATGACATGAATCAATCATGAGGTCGTCTGTTAACGCGCGGTGAGATGTACATACATTCGTACGTAGATATGTCGGTCGAACGCACTAGAGATAACCACGGACTTGTGAGACAGATATGGGATATGGGGTATGGGATATTCAAACATCTTAGCAAATAGAATAGATGGTGAGAATTTCGCTATCTCTCTATTCGATGTCTAGAAGGTGTGTGGTATATCCGAAGTTGACACGTAACTTTGAAGTTCCAAGTCATACAAAGCCCAAAGATCGTCTTGATAGTGAGAAAGCCTTATCAGTGTAGGAGTGGGTCAATAGAGACCAGTTAGATGTAACGAGGCTACGTCTTTGCTTATATTGAAAACAATCGAGGGAGGTAAAAGAGTCGGATGCGAAAAAGAAGGATGATCGGCTGTGATTTGATTGTCCAGTCAGTAGTCAATATCTGAATCAACCAAAATTGATACCACCCTACGTACACCCCACGTACCGAACCGATAAATCTGTGGCTGAATTGTGGCGGGTACAACTGTTTGGTTGTTTGGTTACCGTGTTAAGATTTGACTCATTTTGTTTTCTGTACCTCTGTTAATGCATGATGCTTAATTCATATATCAGGTAGTAGGCAGATAGTAGGTAGCCATCGTGCTACACCTGAATACGTGATATTGTAGGCGGCAGACTGCAGTAGTTGTTGGAGATGGATTTAGAATTTAGTGTGATTGGTCTCGATGGGCGGCATAGCATTATACACATATAACGGTTGACAAAGGAATGTTGTACTCATAAGATTACATACATCTAGATGCATTTTTCATCAAGAGACTCTTGCCTTTATCATTCAATCGGAAGGGATCGGACATATAGCCGGTGACTCGGTCAAGATGAAAAGTAGATGATATATTTGAAATTCCCCCTTTTTGTACCTTATAAAATGAATCATTCTATCCTTGATGAAAAAGACGATAATCCTTGGAGTTACATGTATCATTATGCAATGACCGCAATTTTTAATATGTGATAACCTTATGTATGGGTGTTCCAAGGATGCTAGAGCGAAATACGATCCCTCCATCGACCTACTTTATCTGTTAGGCAATGATGGTAACGGCATGCAGAAAAGTGCGGAGATGTAGGATTAATTGTCCAATTATGTTGGTATTTACATCATTTTGCGAGAGAAAATGAAAGATTAATTCCAACGGTGATTGGTTCAAGAGAAGTGAGTCGACATTAGGTGGAAGTTGTGAAAGGTTTCAGTTTCTTATCGGTTAGCCGATGTTTTGTTATCGGAGGAAAAGGGAAAAGGGATTCTCCAGAGTCCAAGTTAGCAACTGAATGCAGCTTTTACTTTTTACCTTCCTAGTAGATATGGACCGACCTTACTGTCTTGGTTGGTTGGTTATTGGTGCTTGATGCTTGGTGCAGTGCTTCATTCCTGTTACCTTGATTATTACTACCACATACACATGCGGAGAGCAAGCACAGGAAAGGAAAGGAAAGGAAAGGAAAGAAAAGAAAAGAAAAGAAAGCAGCAACACAAACCATCCGAACCTTCACTCAACACAGACGTCCCAAAGCCTTTCAACGCTCGAGATTCTTGATTCTCAATTCTCTTCTTATTTCATTGTTCGATAATGGAGTAGATGAATCAAGCCATTTCAGAATATTTCATACTATTTACATCTTCATCTTATAATCTCTACCCTATCATTCCATTCACTCAAATCGATTCTTCTCAAATCAATTACGTTGTATAATAATTGTATCACGAGGCTCAGTTCACCAGTTCTACTATCAAAATTACAGTCAGTCAGTACCCACCCACCACCTGCATGACTCTTGATCGCCATCTGAGCTTCAACCTCATTGTACCACCAGAACTTCTAAACTTCTAAACTTCTCAACCTCCATACAAATTCACCAAATTTTTAAAATTTATCCCATCCAAACTATTCTTGCGCAATAATATAATTTCATCAGTCAACACTCGAAAGACGTTTGATATTCACCAATTTACCGAAAGATCTTAAACTCGATTCATTGTCTGTCCAACCCTACGCCTCACTGAGAGCCTACTCGTAAAGATGTTTGTTGCTTAAATTCAGTCAAGTACCCACTTCGAGCACCTTCCCCCCAACAACGCCTTCTTCTTCCCTACCAGTCAGTACCTTGGAGGATACCGATACGGACCTCCACAATCTTGGTCGACAACCATCCTCGAGAGATAAAACTCTAGAACCCTCGAAACCATCATATTATTGTACTACGATGGATGCCCAAGTTATGTGGTATCTTGAAACCGCTTTATTTATCATCTAGAACTACGATTGTTGAAGTGTGAAACCTGCGTGTGAGCATTATCTTTCTGCAAATACCAGCGCATCTTGCATCTGCTGAGGCGACAGCGTGCTACGATTCAACATCTACGTCAACAATTATCATATAATGCATCAGCATCCTCGGTCATCACCTATAACGGCCTCACCAGCCTCATCGCCGCGAACAAATCCAACTCGAACAAACAACCCTAGAGAAGAAAGTCGAACGGGTCATTCGAGATCATTGTCCGATATGCCACATTATCAAGAGGTAGATGATGCTAGTGGAGATGGTGGACCCATGACTGCTACTGGCCCAAGTCGAGAAGCGGTCAAGAAGATGGATCAAATCATTCAAGTCAGTGATGCTCTATCATCATTCATCCTCGACCTGCATTTGAGACAAAACTAACGTGGAAACTCCCTCTAGAACTTCCATACGAAAGCTGCGATCATCGTTCTAGGATCTAGAGTAGGACTTCCTGTAGTCTTCACCAAAGAAGGAACCAAGAAAGTCAACAAATGGGTATGTTTTGGCGTCACTCTTTCAGTTGGATGCTGTCATGACTAACTTTTCCCTCCAATAGTTTCAAATCGAAACCGACGATACCGATGCATATCGAGATGAGCTTCATACTTGGCGAATGTGCGGCGGCTTCCAGAATCGACCACCGCCACTGATAATAGAAACATATCTTGATACTTCACACTTAACGAGTAGTCAGAGATTGGTTATCGTGGATGATCTGGGGAAACGATGGGATGCTTTGGATGCTTTAAGTAGTTCTTGTGGTTCGGATGATGGTCGTAGCGAAGTCATACTAGAACGTTGGAGAATTGAGCTCAGAGACATTCCTGGGGAGCAGCCTTATGATTTTGGGTCTACATTACCCACCATCTACAAAAAGTGCATTGTCTTCTTCCGCTCATTATATTCAACAGCAAAACTTGTGCCAGCTTGGAAATTCAAGAAGAGCCTAGGGAAGAATGGATCACCAACAAACTCATTAATTATCAATTGCCGTATTACAACCGGTGATACTCAACCACGTCGAATCGATGGCTTAAAGCAACCCATATTTGATCATAGTGGCCCAGTCACCTCAACTTACGTTCTTGGAACTACTGATACTCCAGCTGGTCAAATCTTTGCAGAAGTAACATATCGAAATGATTGTAACTTTCGTGTTGATGATTCCGAGTCTATTCTCAGTTCGAGATTTATGGGTGCAGATGAACATTTTTTCACGCCTTCCTTGGCCGCTAAAGGAGATTTAAATCGACGAAGGTCAACAAAGCAAACGGGAATTGGGTCACTTCCAGCACACAAGCACCTGACAGATGATTCTGGGCCGGTCCAAACATATGGAAGTTTATCAACATTCCATGGAAATGCCCCACCAAGAGGCTCATCCCCCATGTCCGCCTTGAGGGCTCAAAGACCCATCGGGTCAGATACAAGTTCTCCACCTGTAGGATCTCTACCATACTCACGACCATTGCTCACATCGAAAGCTTCTTTAAAGTCATTTGAAGGTGTCGCGCTGGCGAGAAGACCATCCTTGTCTTTTCAGCCATTTAAGGCTGGCTCTCTGTCTTCCTCCCCTAGTCGTGCTACTTATGCTGGCGAAACTCTACCTGCATCTCCAGGATCTCTGCCTAGAGTATCAGGAATCAGTGCACTTGCGCAAGCAAGAAATCGTTCTTCTCTCACAGCTGGTATGCCGGCTACTTTGAGAGGTGGTCCCGTGACTTCAGATCATGTTGTTCCAACATCTGTCTCAAGCTCACCAAAACCTGCCCCGATCGCCCGATACAGCAGCAGCTTTACACATCGTCGCAGCAGGCCATCTTATGGAGGAGCTAGCAAGTTAGTTGATGACGATCAAGGTAGCAGTGGCAAACAGAGTCTTTCATCTTCTGTGCAGCCAGGTTCTGGCATTCTTGCAGAAGCTGGAGCAGGAGGAAGTTCCGGATCTTTACAAACCGACGATGACAATATATCCGATTTCTTGAAACTTCTGGATAGTAAGAAAACTTTGCAAAGCTTCGAGCCTTCCGGAGAAGCATCAAAAAAAAGAGCCACTGCACAATTATCCAAATTTCAATCAATGCGGGACTCACATAATGCTCTGACCGATTCTATGGCTTCTTCAAGTATGCTTCAAAGATCCTCAAGCTCTTCGAGTAGACAATTGTCTAGTGTACCTCCCATGGTTGCTGCCACCTCGATCTCAGCAGCATCCTCCCCAGGTAAACCCATCTCGCCACACACTCCTCACACTCCAGCCATACCTTCACGACTAAGTGCAAATTCAATAGCTGAGTATGATCAACCACGAAGGGTGACTCGACGAAGTAGGACCACAGAGGCAAGGTTGGAAGATGTCCAAGATAATGATCACTCGAATGATGCGGGTACAAATGCCATCGATATTCCTACCTCTCCACGACCTTATTATCCCCACGCTCGAAGATCAAGTTCCGTCGCTCAGCAACACCGAGCACTAGCAATTGATGATGATTTGGGTGATCTTCCATTTGGAGTACATAGAAGTATTAGCTTAGGAGCCGATGATCGAGAGCCACCAAGCCTAAGTACCCTTTTGAATATAGGGCAAGCCTCGGATGATGTGGAATCACCAACTGGACAATCGCCATCCCTGCTTCAACCAGCTCCTCGCATCTCCGAAGGATCTACTGCCATGTCTCGTCAAGCCTCATCATCTTTGGAAGCTCATGATTCGGAAGTTCCTCAGCTTTCTCGATTTAGTGGCCCAGGATCTGCAAACTCACCATATCGACCACGTATCGGTAAAACTGGTGGGCGCGGAGTTACTCCACCACAAACAGGTTCTTTCTCTAGTCTTCTAGTAGATAGGGGAAGTGCGAGTGGCAGCGAAAGAGCCGGTGGCGGAAGATATAGCTTCAGTAGAGGTATTGGGGCATATGAAGCAGATGATGAGCCACTTCTCTTCGATATGAGTGAAATTGGGCGAGACATCTCCCGAAGAAGCATCGACGAACCTAGAGGGGGATATGAGGCAAGTAGAGGAGGTGATTCTAGCTCAAGCAGTCGTAGAGGTAGCCGATGGGGCAGGTAATATATTCCAACATACGAAACGAGTATTGAGACAGGATTCCAACTACGTTTCGATAATTGATGCATTACACGTCATTTACGATTATAAGATATGCTGTATAGTTTGGAGATACATAGCGAATTGCGCCTTGATTTATTTTTATTGCCATTGGACGGAGTTGAGGTTCAATTCTTTCATCACATTGTTTTTACCGATTGCTTCTTTTTTGGGATGGCAAACAGGACATTGATTTCCTTTATTCTGGCGCGTCTCGTCTTGTAATTATTTAAGCTGATGCTGATGCTTCAAGGAAAGGGGAGGTTCGGTCATAAATTGAATGGGCAGTTTATTTCGGGATGGGATTGGATTTGATACCTTGGTGTTATTAAGATTTGATGGATAGGGTGGGAGGAAGGGAGGGAATGGATAGGGAGTGTGTGTATGTGTGTAAGGCGAATGAAATACATACATCAATATTAAATATCCGTATACAATATCTATATTATGAAGAAACTCTACTCACTCACAGTTTTAATCAATTAAGAGGTATTAATATTAAATGGATAATGAGTGGTGTTTCTGAATGCTTGTACCACAAACTTCGAGGTAGAAATATCATCCAATCACAATCGAGTTAGATTTAAGTACATTTCCGAAGATCCGAGGTCCCCTTCGGCATACAGAGTACAGAGCAGAATTACATGGGTAGCTTTCCCCGCATACGTATCGTCAGGAAGTCTACAGTGCAACAGTGCAACATGTTCCTGTTGTAGGAAGGAGTATTTGAGATAATTGAGATAATTATTATGAAAGGGGTTTGGATTCTGGAATGGAAATATATACTGGATATAGTATATATAGTATGTTTTTAGAGGATATTGGATAGGTAAATATAGCTAGTAATGTAATTAAGTGAGTGTTTAATCGGTTGGTGGGAAAAGTAGTTCTAGTGATTTTATTGGTTGTGATGTGGGGTTACCCCGCCAAATCTAAACTAGAGGTTCTGGCCGCATGAGTAGGATGAGCTAGGTATGACAACAAGACGGTATGGACTATTGATGGTTTGAAATCAACATGTTTTTACATACTTTGTTTTGGGGACCATTGACTTGGAGAAGAGATGATTGTATTGATTGATTAATACTCCAAAGCAATTACAACATAACGTCGCTTTACCAATTTGGCATTACCTTTTCACTGCATTCATTATACCTTCCTTCAGTTAGGATCTCAGTGGAATTTTGGATTTGAACATCGAGAATACTATATGAATTGAAGACAATTACCAATACTTGTATAACTTAAACGAAAGCTACCGGGATATTTTCAACATGTCTGCTATACGGATTGCCCCAACTGTGAGTATTTGTCTCAGTTCTCACCTTTCCCTTCTATACCGGAGATGCCCATCATCAACAAGCAGATATTCAATCATACGACAGTGATAGATTGGCTACCATGCTCTACCCAGTCGACCCCTATTCCCCTATTCGTAATCAATAACTCCTACCCAAACTAACAGCCTCAACCAGAAAGCCGCTCGGGCAATGAACCTCCTCCGCACAATCCAGTACACCCACCCACCTACTTGTCCCTGCCACGGCAATCCCTCCCACCACCACCACCACAAGCCAAGTTCCAATCTCCTCAGCCACGCCAAAAGAAACCTTCAAAGAAATTATGCTACCCCGATTGATACCACCAGACAAAAAGAATATGCGTTTGAAATGGCGGCGAGTAGTATTAGATTTGGACCCGGAGTGACCAAGGAGGTAGGCATGGATTTTAAGAATTTGGGCTCGAAGAGGGTGCTGGTGGTTACGGATCAGGTGGTTAAGGATTTGGAGGCGATGAGACAGGTTGTGGAGGGCTTGAATAGGGAGGGTATTGAGTTTAGGGTTTTTGATGCTTGTAGGGTTGAACCGAAGGATACTTCGTAAGTTTTTTGGGGGTGTTGTTTTGATTTTTTTTGTGATTCATCGAGCTTTTGTCTTCACATCTTCTGCTGCAGGCGAAGATGTGGTCTTCAAGTGAAAGGACTGCAAGAATGACATATTGGTGGTATTTTCGTTGTTTTACGTACTTACGTACTCGAGATGAAGACAATTCCTGACAAACAAAACAGCGTCAAAGAAGCAATTGAGTTTTCTAAAAACTATCAACCAGATGCAATTTTAGCAGTTGGTGGTGGTTCAGTTATCGACACTGCTAAGCTCATGAACCTTTATACCTGCTATCCAGATGCCGATTTTATGGATTTCGTCAACGCTCCTCTCGGAAAAGGTAGACCCATAGATAAATCCCTCCTACCACTCATTGCTGTCCCCACTACAGCAGGAACCGGCTCCGAAACAACTGGCACCGCAATCTTCGACCTCGTCTCTCACAAGGCCAAAACGGGTATCGCGCATCGAAACCTCAAACCCCTCCTCGGTATATGCGATCCCCTTAACACGCGTACCATGCCCTCGGCCGTACACGCAAGTTCGGGCTTGGACGTCCTCTGTCACAGTTTGGAAAGTTGGACAGCGATTCCATATTTTGAGAGGACGCCGCGTCCTAAGAATCCCATTGAGAGACCGGCGTATCAGGGGGCGAATCCTATTAGTGATATTTTTTCACTGCAGGCATTGAAGAGTACGGCGAAGTATTTGCCGAGGGCGACGAAGGATCCTGAGGATCATGAGGCGCAGAGTGAGATGTTGCTTGCGGCTACTTTGGCTGGGGTTGGGTTTGGTAATGCAGGGGTACATTTGTGTCATGGTTTGTGAACTGTTTTTCTCTGTTTATCTTTTCTCCATTATTCCTTATTAAGAGCTGGTGACCCGGTGCGTTTTGTCCGTCGGCTTGGACTGCAGTCCAAAGATGAAGGGCCCTTGGAGATTTGTATTGATTTTTAAGTCTGAAAGATCTTGAACTCCACTGCAGCCTGCACTTTTGAACGCAATGGGTGTTTTGGGAGCTGTACTCTCAACGTTTTCGAACTCAGATGGATCAGCAGTGTTACTTTCTGCTTTGAGTCATGTGCTAACAGTTATAGGAATGTCTTATCCAATTTCTGGTCAGAATCCAGGATATACGCACCCAGGATACGTGACCAAAACTCCAATCATCCCACATGGCGTATCAGTCGCCGTTTCTGCTCCCGCAGTATTCCGCTTTACCGGTGCATCTAACCCAGAACGCCATCTTGCAGCAGCCGAATGCTTCGGTGTTGATATCTCCAATGTCAAAAAAGAAAGTGCCGGTGCAGTTTTAGCAGAAGCTCTAGAGAAATTCCTAGATGAATTAGGAGACCAACCAAAAGGACTTAAAGATTTGGGATTCAAGAGAGAACATATTGATGGATTGATTGAAGGTACCATTCCTCAGAAGAGAGTCTTGATGTTAGCACCTAATTTGGCTGAGGAAATTGGTGAGGAGAGGGAACAGTTAAGAGGACTTTTTGAAGATGCTATGGGGCGTTGATTAATAAATGAATTGACTTTTTTTTTTCGAGTTTTATATATTTTATTGGGAAGTGATTTGTTGTATTCATGTATAGGTAGGTAGGTATATGTAGGTACTGAATGTATTCTTTTTTATTTGTTTATTTATTTATTTATTTATTTGATTGATTGATAGATCGAACTTTTTTCCCCCTGTGGGTTTTAATCTGAAGTAAACTTATTACCTACCTAGGTAGAGTTATGCGTGCTGCTTTGAAGGAGGTTTTATTTGGGTATTTTTATCGCGCCTTCATTTATTCACTTTCTTTCTCACCTTCTCACTCCTTTTACTCTTTTACTCCCTTAGCTTTCTGCATAAATGAAATATAATACCTGGGTAATATTATATTTTTTCAATTAATCTCTCATATAATTATTAATCTAGGTAGTACTGATAGGGAAGAGGAAATTCAATTTACTTGGTACGTTTTGTTTGGGGAAATCTCGAGATTTCTTTTTCTTTTGAAGTCTTTTAGTTTTTTTGAAGTTATTTGTGGAGGGAGGGTTTGAGGGGAAGTGGGAAGTAGGAAGTTTGAGAGGTTTGAGGGGTTTCTTTTGAGTGGATTCAGAGGAGAGTTGGATTTGTGTGAGAGGAGAGGAGAGGAGAGGAGAGGAGAGGAGAAGTGTTGTTTTTTTTTGGAAAGAAGGGAAGATTGGGAAGATTGGATTGAAGGGTTGAAGGGTTGAAGGTATGAGAGTTTGACAAATTGAGAAATTGAGAGAATCAAAAGGGTTCTTCAGGTCAAGTCAAGTTCAGATGGGTATGTAAGAAGAGAATTGGGTTGAAATAGCTTATTTAACAGCCTTTCTTATACTCGGTCTTATTTCATCTCATCTCATCTAATCTCATTTCATCGCATCTGATCTAAATCCATAAAAGTCAAATCGAAAAGTCAAATCGAAAATCTCACTCTTCATTACTATTACACCATCCATCAATACACCTCACAAACACCCACTCAACTCATCAATATCCTCCCTCAAGCTCACCATATAATATAAATCACCAGCTCCAACTAAATCACAATACACACACCACTGCCACAACTACAACTACAAACATAATCATGCCTAACCATCTAACCTCTTTGTTTAAATCCGCCGCGGGCATCGCAAATGACGTTTTAGGAAATTCGGGGAATTTGCAGAGGGGTGGTTTGAAGGGGAAGATAAATCGGGATGGGAATGGGGATTTACTTCAAGGGAAGAAAGGAGAGAAGGGAGAAAATCAGCGAGAAGAGAAACTTCAGAATGAAGATTTGGGTTTGGGTTTGGGAGGAGCGAGTATTGGGGATGAGGGGAGATTGTTGGTGGGGGTTGCGTTGGGGCGAATTGAAGATGCAGTGGAGGGCGGGGAGGTGGGTGGAATTGGAATAGGAACAGGCAAGATTGGTGGGATGGGTGGGAGAAGTGGGAGAACGGGGGGATGCAAAAATTTTAAGCTGATTGATATGTCAGGTTCAGCAGCTACAAATCCTAATGAGAAGTTTCCTCTGATGCCGTGTTTGAGAGCTGGGGATGGATTGGACGTAGAGGTTAGTCCTACAGATGGATTGGGAGGGTTTGATGGGAAAGTTGGGGAAGGTGGGTGTGAATGTGGTAGTGTAGATGAGGAAGATGGAGGTGGACGAAGTGGTATAGAGAATACTGAAGCAAGTGGATTAGAAACCGGAGGAAAGAAGCATAGCGCCATTAACGCTACTCCTGCTTCTATCCCACTCCCAATATCGAGTACGGTCTCAAGCACAAACACTATCACAACATTTGAATTAGAAGAAACAACAACAACAAGAATTCGCGCCTTTACTGTCCCCCGCAAACCAATTGTTACAAATAGAAGGGATTGTCTTGATTGGAAGACTGAGTATGGGGGTTATGAGGGTTTGAAGTGTGGAGGAAATGGAGAGAGACAGAAACACGGGGAAAGAGGAGAAGGATTTAAGAGCGTGGGAAGTGTGAAGAGTGAAGTTATTGGTGAGAGGAAGGAGGATAGAAGTGTGAGATTGGAGAGAGAGAGAATGGAAAGGGTTGGGAGGGATCTGTAAGTTTCTTTTCCTTTCTTCTTCCGCTTTCAAAATTTCTCGTTATTTACATCTAAACCTATCTCCCTTTTCATATCCTCCTTACATTCCCATCAGCTCATCCCAATCAATACCTCCTCCCTCACCACAACTAACCTCCTTCCGAATAGCCACCACGAAAATCCCCTCCATTCCCACCCCATCCAAGCCAGTACAATCTCGCACGGTACACCACCCACCATAAGTCCCCTCTACACCAGCACCTCTAGCCCTTCCATCAACTCCTCAAAATCCAAATCCCGCGCTTTTCGTCACTCGTATACGGTGCCTATTCATGGGTTTCATTTTGTAGGTAAAGGGGTTGAGGGACCTGCTGATATGGAGAGTATGGCTGGAGGTATAGGTATGGAAGGTATGGCGGGCGTAGGTGATGTAAGTACAATAGGAAGAGGTACTGCGAGGGATAGATATAGCGGGAATAGTAATCCATCAGTTTCCGGTTCTGGAACTGGAGGAATGGGAATAGGAATGGGAATTGGATCGCGAACGGGAAGTTTTTTGAGGAGAGCAAGTGTGAGTTTTAAGGGACTGGGTGCGGGAGTGGGGATTGGGTATATGAGGAGTTCGAGTGGAGGTGTAGAGGGAATGCATGCGCAAGGATGGGGTATACATGCTGAAAAACTCGATTCGAATTCTAATACCATACCGGTCGAGTTTCTTAGAGGTGTAGGTGGATATGCGGGTGATGGAATGGGTATTGGTATGGGAGGAGAGAAAATTGAAATGGGTACGTGTAAGGTTACTTGACTCTCCCTTTTTCCATTTTCTTTCTTTCTTTCTTTCCCGGAATTTTGTAATTATAAATATGGATATGGATATACACTAACCAATAAATGGGTAACAAATTAACAATAAATAGATACAGAAAGAAGAAAGAGTGATCGTCAATCGCTTATTTTACCGAAATTCGAGTGGGAGGATGAATTTGTGGGTGGGAATACCAGGAAGAAAGTTTGAGGTGTGCATTGTGCATTAATTTGTGCGGATGTTTGGAAAGGCACGGCTAGGCTAGCTATATATGTGATGGATTGTGTGCTGGTGGTAGATAGGTAGATTGTGATGGGAGATGGATGGGGGACGGGGGATGGGGATGGTGATCGTGTTGAATGATTTTACTAGAGATTCATGGATGTGCTGGATGTGGGAGTGGAGTTGTGGGGGGGGAGGATACTTGGAATTACTTTAGTGGATAGATATACATGGGGAGTATGAGTGTTATGAATGGATTGGTATATAGATATATGAATAAAAAGTCAGGAGCTGATAATAATTAAATAATTATTTATTAGATAGTTATTAAATAATTGAATAAATTAAAAAAAGAAAATAAAACTAATAGATAATTTGGAAAATAAAATTTGTTTTATTAAAATAATTTCTTTCTAAATATAAATTATCAAGATTAATTTTTAAAAGAATATATATATATATATATATATTAAATATTAAATATTATATATATTATATATAACTTTTATTATTAATTATATATCAATTAAAAAAAATTTTATTATATCTATTTAAAAAGTCTTTATAAAAGATAAAAGATAAAAGATAAATATAAATATATGTAATATTAAAAGTAAAAAAATCTCTTTTAAAAAAATAAACTTATATAAATTATATATATAATAAATAAACAAATAATCAAACCCCTCCCCTCCGTCTCTCTTTATCTCTCTTTATATTCAAAAAAAATCTCATCTTTCTCTTTCTCTCTTACACTAATCACCTCCAAAAACCCCATCCATCCCCTCCCTAGAAAAACCAAAAAAACCTAAAAATTCCGGTACGGGGAATTTAACCCCGGTCTCCCGCGACCTATTTGAAGCTATATATATATAACTCAACTGAGAGGCGGAAATGTTAATCACTACACCATGTTGGATTTCATATCTTACTACTAGTGGTATATTTTGATGGAGGGGAATCACATGAGTAAGAGTATACAGGTATGGTGAGATTACTAGAATGAATTTTATATTGTAAAAGTAATAAATTAAGATATATATTTCAATAATATATTATATAAAAAAATTGAAAGAAAAAATTAATTAAATTATATTATCATTAATCATTTATAAAGAAAATAAAGTTTATAATGAATTTGAGATTAAAATTATATAAATTCAATATATATATATAAAATATTAATTATTTTTATTAAAAAGAAATTTTTATATTTAATTATAAAAGATTATATAATTAATTAATTAAAAACTTGTATATTATATAATTATCTCAAATTTATAATAAATTATAAATAAAACAAAAATAATTTTATTATTATTAAAATTATTAATAATTATATTCTTATTATTATCTTTTTACTCTTTGAAAAAAAATTAATTTTTAATTCAAATATAAATTATAATTATAATTATTTTATTAAAATTATTCATTTTAATTCTCTTCTTTTTATTCGTATTTCAAGATTTATATTTATTAAACTTTTTATTAATCAAATGATTTATTTATATTATTTATATTATTTATATTATTCACATCATTTATATCATTCACACCATTCACACCATTCACATCCATTCACATCATTTATATCATTTATATTATTTATATTATTCTATTCTATAATATATTATATCATTCATCCTTTTACCCTTTCATTTATTTATTAATTTACCCAGCTCAAACCCAATGTCAAAAAGGGTATCAAGATTCCTTCTCCATTCTCCCTTCCCTCGTTACTTATACATCTTTTCTTCTTCATATATGTTATATGCTAAAGAATCCCAGGTCCCAAATGATCTTATATCCCATATCCCATATGTCATTCCGAAATCCATCCCATTCCATGCCATCCCTTCCCATTTTAATACGCCAAATAGTACAATGCAACGCAACGCAATACAATACAATTCTACTCTTTCATCCCCCTTCCACCATAATCCTGAACCTTTCAAATATCCCTTTCCGTCCACCACTAGCTCCGTACACCCATCATTTCCATCCCGATCTCCATCTACTTCCCCTGCCCCTGCCCCTTCTCATTCTCCTTCCCCCTCATCTCCTTAGCCTTCAACTCAGCAACCCTAACTCTCTCCTGCAATCTCAACTTCTCCAATTGCAACGCCGGGTCCACATCCAAAGTATTCCCCATCGTAGCTTCACCACCTTGGCCTTTACTTATATTTGTATTTGTACCACCTACAACTCCCGCCCCACCACCTCTAGGCATTCCTCCGGCACCACCAAAGCCTGCACGTGGACTTCTAGCCATTCTATTAACATCTGGTATGCCACTCTCATTTACACTTACACTTCCACTTTGTGTCATCCCTCCTGCCCCGACACTTCCATTCGCCCCCTGCGCCGCCCTCTGTTTATTAGCAGGCACCAAATCCTTAACCCATTTCTGCGCCTCTTCACAACCCTCCATAACATATTTCAAACAAAGCGTCGCCCTCTCCTTAATATACTCATTATGACCATCATAAACACAACAATTCAACAACGGCATAATTCCATTCTGATCCAACAGTTGTTTTTGCACAATTGGATTTCCTGGTCCTTGTCTCCTAGCATTATTAGGTGCTACTAATGAAGTAAGAATAATAAGGATTTGAATCTTAATACCCGACCATGGAAATTTATGTGGTGTATCGTGAAGAGGTGGAAGAGTTTGTCCTGGACCTTGAAATTGAGGGGAGTTTTGTGAAGTAGGACTTTCATATGGACGTTCTATTGCTGGAATCCCACCTCCCGGTTGAGGTACAGGTGCCGGTCGACGATTTGGTAAAGGTTGTTCAGAAAGATTTTTCCGTGCCACGCCTTGTTCAAGAGCTCGAAGAAGAGCAACAAGTTCGTAAACACATTCCCATTCAATAAGAAGTGGTCTCATTTCCGGTATTTCTGCAATAACAGATATGAAATCAAGATATTGTGAAAGTCCATCCTTAGCACGTTCCATATCCCATAAATCCACCGGGAAATCATTTGGATCGCTTTTTTGAGTTCGAATTTGAGCTTGCGCATGAATGAGAGCAATACAATCAGGTACGACTCGTGTACGGAAATATGTAAAGAGGAAATGAATAAGTTTTGCATCTCTGTTGTAATCTCTCAAATCGTCATAGATGGGACTATCCTTTCGAGCTCGAAACATGTAGTTGATGAGACGTAAAAGGACAGTCTGTGCTGGCGATACAATATCCTTCATGATCCTAAGAGAACTCCAAGCATAAGGCAATAAAGCGTTATGATGGAAAGACTCAATGATTTGAGCAGTAATTTGGAAAATGAAATGTTGATCAGTTTGTTCCCAAACAGCGATGAAAACTAACATTTCTCGAAGTAAATTCTTTCCACAATCTAAAGCCAAAAACATTTTGCATCGTGTCTTTTGAAGATTTTCACCAGCTGGTGTAAGGCCTGAGCCCATTGAATCGACGATACAAGCTTTGACAGTCATGTGAAGAGCTTCAATTTGTTTCGTGTCGAGAATATTAGGAATTTCAGTCAAAAGACCTCTCAAAGGTCCTTCAGCATAAGATTCATCATCATCTTCCTCATCCTCCTCCTCACCATCCTCCTCACCGTCATGTCCATCCATCGATCGAGTATCATCAATCTCATCATGTAAAGGTGGTTCCTGCAACTGCTCATCATGACCATAAGCATCCTGATCCTGGAAAGCCCTTTGAGGAAGAAATCTATGCATAGCAGTCTCCTTACAAGCCTCTGCACGCTTCATCGCATCTTCCACAGATACCATCTTCACAACCCAACCCTCATAATTTTGATCTCTTTGACGTTTCCACCAAATATCAATCTCATGAGATACACGGGCATAAAGTCGATCTTGCTCATATTTATCCGTCAATTCAGGTTTCCAAATTGGAGTCGTTTCTTCAGGATCAATTTCCTTATCCGCATCCGTCACGGTAAATTCATCGATTTGTGGAAGTGGACCAGGTGTACAGGCCATATCAGCTTCCGCGGCATATTTCTCCAGAAGCTCCCTGGCTGTTTCATCTTGATCGGCAGAATGTCTAGTCAACCAATTTTTAACTTCATGATATACCTTCTCCACATTTAGATCATCTGGAGGTAATTCATGAACAGGATCATTATGCAAATCATTATCGAAAAGCATATCGAACCAAAACGACATCTTGAACCTATCATTACCCATCGTCCAATTATGCGTATGTTGTAAACAAGTGACCAGAAGTTTTTTATCTGCAAAAAGTCAGCATTATCCACAACCCAATAACCCACTTGAAATCAAGAACGCAAAGTCAACTCACAAAGTTCTGTAACCTCATTCAACCTCCCCCTACTATTCTCATCCACATTCTCCCCGTCATAGCCCTTACTAGTAACATTAACACAAAGAATAATCAACTTATGAACCTGCTTATCCAAACCAACCGCCCTACAAATCTCCTGCGCCGTCTCCTTAACAGCCAACATATTCCGACTAACCACCAGCAAATTATTCAAATAACCCAAATCCTCCGTCAACGCATCAAAATTCTTCAGAATAAGCGCCACACTCTCGGAAACATCCAGTCCGGACGGCGCACCCTGTTCCGTGTACGATTCGCGCAAAGATCTCGAGACCAATATGGGAACAGCCAGATAAAAAATCCGCTGAAGACGCATCCAGATATCCACATTCTTAGCTAGAGCCTCGCGGACCTCGCCTCGAGAAAGTGACATGTCCAATGTACTCCTGATCATTTTTCCCAACCCCTCCATTGCTTTCCTTCCTAGACCTGCTCTACCACCTGGTCCCCATCGCATCTCCAACAATGTTAATGTGGCCAGGAATCCTCTTTCTTCCAATCCATATGTATTTGTCCTGTCGGAAACCTTTTTGTTCATCTCGAAATGACTTCTACCTCCCATTAATTCGCTCATCATGTTGGTTGGTACGAAAGCTTCGCGGTTTGTTCGCATGGTCTTTGAGGATTCGTCCCACCAGGTACCCAGTCGAGTTTTACATTTGCTGCATGTTGTATTGTCATCGCGAATGTCGGGGAGTGGATGCCCGCATTCTGCACAGTACATTTTGGGTCTTCGTTGGTTGTGGATTGATGTATGTTGAGAGTTGAGGTGCGGGATAGTGAAATAGTAGTAAGGAATAAATTTTGGTTTGTTAGGAAGTTGAGGGGTAACCCTAATGCTGACTGACGCTTGCCCGCGTGCCGCTTTAGTATCTGAAATGATCGGCACTAAACTTCAACCTCATGGTCAGCATCAAAGATTCATCACCAAGTGACTTGTTAAATTAATCCAAAAGTCTCATCATCTACGCAGTATTATAGTAAGATTACATTCTCACTTTTTCTAAATCCATATATCTATCTAAAAGCCAATAAAAAGTACCGCCATGCCAATCAATGTCATATATCAGACTGCCCCTCCTTTCTCATGCCGCAATTGTAAAACCCCCTTCAACTTACATCGGAACAAGCTCTATTTCCTCAGACCGACCACACTTCCTTGACTGAGGACTATCCTCTTTATAACCGCTAACTTTTATAAAACTTCTTTCCGAATGACTAACTCCACTTGGCTCACTGGTATGCTTATCTTTCGAACCAGATGAACACTCCACATCTCCCTTCGGTCTGCCGTTCCAACTCTTCGGGACTCTACTCTTCGGGACTCTAACCAGCCAATATATAAATAAAGTCATCAAGACATTAAAACCCACATAAGCCCACATAATACAGAAGTTACGCCACCGATTCGTATAGCTCATACCCGCACTAGCCAGGAATTCATTCGAATCCTTCAAAGGACAATAAACACATCTACTCTTTGCGGAGGGGTTGGTAAGGTATCCTCCAGCTTGATATAAATAGCTAGCCATGTAGGAGCCGCAGCTACTTCCAGTCACTGGCTCGAAATGAAGAAACTCATTTTGGGAACACTTAACAGGAACATTCGCAAGGCCAACAGAGAGCATGCCATCGACTAGATAAGTAAACGGAGATAGACGTCGCACGATGTCCCATACTTGAGGTAATGCTGTAGGTACTGAGATTATGCTGAAGACATCAGTTAGCTGTTATCTTGTATGGAAATAGTCAAGCCATAATACTTACCCGCAGAACAACAATGACAAAAAAAATGCAGCATTTGATAAATCCCCGGCCATCTCTGTAAGCTCAAGACTAACCTGTACCATATATCCGAAGGTAGTTGCATATATAAGATATACCCATATCAGGAGAAGCATGACTCCATTTCTTTCAAGCATCGATTTCGTTATTAGCGCATTGCGATACATGCCCACGGGGTAATACCAGCTCAGAAATATGATTATCGCCAGAAAAGTATTCCATGATATTTCAACAAGTATATTGCTGATAATGAAAGCTGGCCATGAATACATTCTTGCAGGACTTTCACGTGTTTCGAACAAAGCTCGTTGCACCAAGAAGTTCGGTAAAAGTTGCGGAACGAAACTGGATGCCAACGTCCTACAAAACAATTAACAGAGTTTTACGTGAAACCCAGATGATCCGCTCACAAAAGCATGAATACGCCAAAATTTTGGGTTTCCAGATTTTGCAAAGACTCCGAATCCTTAAAGAACGAAAGTCCCAGAGTCAGAGCCTATAAACAATGATTAGTTTTGGAGTGATGATGGTAATCGGGGGGAGTAACCGAACATAAAAAAGGGATAATCCGATTTTCGAGTAAATATAGGAAGGTGTGCGCCAATAATGTAAATTTATTCTTCGAAAACATTGCCAGACTTGCGCTACAAATGGTATAGCGTACTCTTTGCGATGAGGCGGTTTCTTGGTTCCTGTCAGGAAAAAGCTGGATCTCGCAACTAATGCCTTTCTTTCATGATCCAATTTTCGATGAACAAGCACTAGTTCGTGACTGTTTTTCCACACCTCGGGCCAGTTGACAGAACTCTGTGAGCCAGACGTACAACCAGTAGTTCTTTTTCACGTTAACTGTAGTTCATATATGGGTTGAAAAACTTACTGCATGATCCATTCAGCCACATTTTCATTCGCAGGACAAGGGCGAGCTCCATTGGCTTCAAAATACTTCTTGACAGTTTCGCAATTTTCACCAATCCTACCAAAGTATATTGGCCGACCCCCAGGAGCAAGAAAGAGCAAACGATCGAAGCGTTGAAACAAAGCCATACAGGGTTGATGGATTGTACACAAAACCGCTTGACCATGAGCTGTAATCTTTTTCAAGAGCTCAACTATTTCCCACGACGTGCTACTGTCAAGACCAAAAGTAGGCTCATCCAAGAAAAGTAGAAGTTTTGGTTTAGCAGCAAGCTCAATACCTATAGTCAATTTCTTTCGTTGCTCGATGTTCAGCCCTGCATTCTCATTAGCTATTAGTGTTGTCACATAAATCTGATCTAGATTTACAAACCTTCGCCAGGTACCCCTACAATTGCATCTGCATACGCATCCATTTCCAACAGCTTAATCACTTCTTCCACATAAGCAAGCTTCTCCTTCTTGGTACTCTTACTTGACTGACGCATGATGGCACTAAATTGTAGTGCTTCACGCACTGTCATTGATGGAAGATGAAAGTCATGTTGTTGGACATATCCAACTTTGCGTTGGAAGGATATATCCTTTATGCAGCCATCAACAAAAGATTCCCCAGAAACAATACCAATACTGCTCCTAGACGCAAGAACATCTAGTAACGATGTTTTACCTGCCCCAGATGGTCCCTATAAGTTACTCCTATCAGCATGAGTATAAAAACCAGCCTCTCAAACATACCATAAGGGCGGTCAAAGTTCCTGGTTTCACCCAACCATCAACATGATCCAGAATCCGACGTGTACCATCTACTGTTTTGATATCGAGGGAAATGCCCTTCCATTGAAAAGTTGATGTTTGCCTGTGTAATTTGCTTATCGGATCGCCGTTCCCATACCTATGGATATCCCCCCCGGAGTATATTTCAAGATGTCTTTGCCTCTTGGGTTGTGGCTTGTGTCCTCGTTGGAACAACAGAATTTCTCCATTCAATTTTTCCCTTGATATACGACTTGTAGTGGCTAAGTATGCAGCCATAAAAAGTGCCATGAAAGCGAATAAAATGCTCATGTTTCTGAGTACATTAGCTTAAAACTAAAAGCATTCCGAACTTCCTGATATCGAATATCGGAAGTGTTTGGGTTTGTTACATACCGCCATAGATGATTAGGTTGAAACCCAAATCTAAGCTCAAGATAGATAGTCCCCAATACATCCTCAAAGCCCGCGATAGACCCAACAACGGAACAAACTCGATTGTGAGAACTTGTGCCAATATAAGATGGTCCAGTCGGGACGAGATTCGCACATGGAAATATGCGCCCAGAAAATTCGTTGATTATCAGACTTTCGTATGCGTACGCGACAGGATTAATATAAGCAATCCACTGGAACCATGAAACTATATAAATCGGCGGTATGACGAATCCTGCATACATCATGAAAATTAGAACAATAATGGCGGTTGTACAAACAGCTTGAGCATGAGATCGATAACAAGTCCCGATGGTTTTAAACGCGATAGAAAGTGTCATATTGATAACAAAGGAGAAGGCAATGAATGTGAAAAAGGCCGTTGATGTTCTTCTTAAATTTGTCATGAAATAGAGAATAGCATTGAACAACAACGTGCTGCAAAGGTTGCCTGGCACGCTGCATATTATGGAAGAAAACGCTTCCGCGAACGGATGAACAAACGCATATCTTGCTTGTTTATCTATAACGGAAAGATGGCCAATGAACTGGAGAAACTAGAGTAGTGTCAGCTAGTTCAGTAGATCTGGGGACATTCTTGCAGTTACCTCAAACGAGCCTGTAGTAGCATTGAATAGTATTGTGACAAACAGCAATGTACTTCTACTATTGATACTAGTGGTATCGGCAGGTAGATTGTAGAAGGCAATACCCATGATTATAGCCATCAAAGTATATGTTACAAGACCAATTATCGTGGAGTTAATATCGTTACGTAACCTCTGGAACCCTCTACCAATACACAAGATCACTTGTTGTCTTGGGCAGAGCATGTACGCTGATTTAATCCGTCTGAAACACGATTAGCCAAATTGACATTTCATTGAAGAAAGCAGACGAACAGATATTTTGCTTGCTGAGATCGTCGTGCAGCTGCAAAATCAAGAGCATGGGTTCCATCAAATGGGTACTCGTTTTCATACGCTTCCAGTTCTTGTATAAGTCTTGCATAATGGCGACTTGTTTTCCAAACCATAACAAATTCTTCGGGTGTCCGTGGTACTCGAAATTCAAAACCTGGTCTCAATGACGGTCAGCGGAAATTCATGGGGAGGGAATTCAATGTTTAGTACTGGATTGTTCTTTCATCTGGACTTGTGAGGGACGTCAAGAAATCCGGAGTAGTCTGATGTGGAGGACAAATGAAACCCATCTCGATGAAAAACGCTTTAGCTTCGCCACAAGAACCAAAGTATATTTGCCGTCCCTCGTATAGCACCTGTGATGCTCGTTAATAGTATCCTACGAGAAATACCTGGAAAGTCATGTACTGTAACTTTATCAAATAGCTATGGATTTGTTGTTAGCAGTGCTCTCCTTAGATTCTCAGCCAAAGCTTACTTCATAAGCACTCTGAAGAGGTTGATATAATGCAATGCATGCAGTTGTTCTCCCAAGTGTCGTTGAAAGTCGAACCATCTTACAAAAATCAAGTGTATAAGAATTATCCAGACCCCTAGTGCTGTTCTCCCAACATTGTAGCGTACATCCACTCAATGCTGCTTCTGCAATGCTCACCCTCTTTCTCTCATGCTCAGTGATACCTTTGGCAGAATCATTTCCTACCAATACTTTCTCAACATGAATAAGACCTAGAGTTGCCATCATAACATCCCTCATATGTTCCGCATATACTTGTCGAGTTACTCCAGGAAAAGTAAAATCAGGCGGTGCTCGAGCCTTGGCTGCAAAAAGTAAAGTCTCACCAACAGTCAAATTTGGAAAATGACTATCTGACTCAGCCAAATAAATGGTCTCACCTCGGAATCGCTGATGCATCTCAGTCATAGAGACTCCTTGGTAATTGATATCCGAGTCTGGCTCAATAAACAGTCCACGAGTATCCCCAGAGATTGTTTTCAGTAAAGAAGAAACCCCACTACCCGGCCTTCCAAGAAGTAATAGCATTTCTCCATGCTCAATCAAGCCATCAAAACCTTTTAATATCTGAACCTTTTGTTTTCCAGACCCAACTAACCATCGAGCCAAAGCACCGATTTCAAACACAATATTTGCGACATTTTTCTGATAGTCAGTTGGTTTTCTGAAACTATACACACTAAGGTTTTCAAAAGAAAATCCAGCACTTCTCCTAGGATATCGTCTCGGATCCTGTCCCATAAAGGCAACCAAGTTCGAAATCCATTCTTCCGGACTAAAACTGCTGCTACGGGGATTTAAAGGCGAATTCGGAAGCAAATTCAAGAAAGGGTTTTTGAATTGATCCGAAGGTACTGGCGCCTTTAATGGACTCAAGAGCGTTGATGGAAGCTCGAAACGTTGCTCGGCAAATGAAGGTCGAGACAGCGACGGATCTTGGAAAGGATCACTTGGTTGACGAGCGCATTCCACTTTCTGGTGTTTTTCACGTGGATAAGCTGTATGAACTCGAGATGGTGGGGTAATGGGAGGTTCCTTTAATCTTGAGTATCCCGAATTATCCATGATGGTTTTGAATATCAAATTCACCGACGACAATGTTCAAAGACAATATGATGGTTAGAAACGTCAAGGCCGTTATCTGCATGAAAGTCGCTGGTGAAATCATAACAGGAAGTTTGGAACACACTGACTTCGAGAGCTTGAGCAAAACTCGATTTGACATCGTGTATGGAAAGAGCATTTGCCTAGATGTACCTACCAAATTTGTACACTCGGCCACAGAGAGATAATATATCTCTCCTGATCGGGCCTTCTAGGAGGGCCGAGGAGAGAATGATAATAAAATATTTATTACTTTCAAGCTTCACCACCGGCTCTTTCATAAATCCCACTCGCAAAAGAAGAGAAAAAAATGAATAACTACCTAGTAGTCTAGCAGCAATATCACATACACCTACAAATAACATTATTCATCAACCCCCCAACCATCAAACTAGATTGATTACCTGGTAATAATTATCATTCACTAGGAACTAACCAATATAGTCGAAATAAGAAACAAACTTTGATATCATATACAACACTAAACATTACCCCAGCTCAACACCCTATCTGTTTTGAATACCCGCTGCAAATACACTTTCGAACCAAAGTTTGAATGTAATTCAAACGCTTTTAATAGCCACATTTGACAACTTGATTTTACGCTGAAGCACGGCCAAAACCTGTTTTGCTGTGCACAACTCACCAGATTCCACTCGTCTCTGCTTTCTCCGAGACAATAAGCCTAAGTCCTCGCTCATCTCTGCCGTTTCAACCAGTCTTCTCTGTTACTTTCCCCGGAGCAAAATCAGTTACATTCGTCTGCGCCACAGGACTAGCGACCGTCTCACCCCCAGTAATAGTTCCAGAGGTTTGCATTGAAGCTAGTTGTTTTTCCACTGGATAAGCTGCTGAGCTTTGTCTCGAGCCAGTTGGACTCAAGGGACTAGTTGGCCCACTGCTAGAGGCATCTGCTGGACCCGATCCCGCGACCGATCGGATAACTTCATACCACTTATTTGCATCGGCGGCTGAATGCGCTTTAAATGCAATTTCGGATGTACCAGACAGTTTACTTCCTATTCCCTTGGAGACATCCTTTCCTTTGATGTTGAATTTTTCGCCATTGGTGCTGCCGATAATGGCATCTGGCAAGTAGATGGATAGCTCTGGGACGGGGTCCTTACGTATGTTATCGTTGTCCTTGAATTCGTGGAGGAATTTGCTGGGAGTTACCACGTAATAGCCCGTCGTGTAGCCAGCGAAGCTTAACTTGTTTCTGCTCTTGCGCTCAAGGGAGCCTTCAATGAGAGGCTGAGTGCTGGCATGGTTTTGGTTGGGAAAGCTAATAGCTTCCACCGAACGATCGGCGGCGTTAGGATCGACAAGAAGAGCTTGATTGCGACGGACGAAACCTTCCCATTCGAGATTTGGAGGGACAACTTGACAGCTGTTGAGCATATCTCCCCATAGTGTTTGTTCCCTTTGAGATTGGCTCGTGACTATTTGAGTGAAACTCATCATAGCCTGCTGAATGATCTCGATAATGTGGGACTCAAATTGTGCAAAGTTATTTTGAACTTGAATGAGATCATGACGATTGGTGTTCTCCTCCAAAACCTGCTTGTGAAGTCGGTGTATAATACCTCGGTGGACGATATATGGGTCTTCAGCTGACTTCATGGAAGCAGCGCTGGACTGATAGTTCGCAGTTTGTGATCCTAGAAGCTCGATGTGTTTCTGTGTGATATTCCTGGCCTTTTCAACTTCTTTCGCGCCCTTTACAGCTCCGGATAATAACTCCTTAGACTTGTGCTTGATTTCTTTGTGTAATCGATCGAGAATTGGAACCACCGTGCCTTTCAAATTCTTCTCCGTTTCGAGGTGAGAGTTTATTAACCCCTATCAAATCAGCGTTTGCGTAGCAATAAAACACAGCACATCATACCTGAGTATTAGTTCTCATATTTTCGAACACCCCAGCCATTCCTAAATAACTGGTTATTATTTTGATCCAGAACCGCAATTGGTAATCCTTGAAGACACATCTTACCTCCCACTTCCTGCTGGAAATGATGCCCCTCCTTTAAGGGGTTCGCGATAGTTTTCAAAATCTTCTCATATTCCTTCGATTGTTGCTTTTGCATTTTCTCCGTAGCTCCAATATATTCCTCGAGATATCCAACGGCATGTTTCCAAGCTCTCAATCTCTCTGCTAATAATTCTGAAGTCTGCGGCGCAAAGATGTAATTAGCCTCAGGAGTCTCATGCCTTCCCCAAACTCCAGAACGAAAGAAGTACGCACACTACTTGGATTCTCCATCGGCACCGCCTCTCCCTCGTCAGTGCGATCTGTGAGAGCACTACTGGTCGAAAGAGTCCTCACGGGCATACCAGGGGGATGCGATCCAGGAGCTCCAGCTACTTGACTCCCAGACATATTGGCGTGTAAAGACTGTTGGCGCATCATCTTGAATTAGTTTTCTGTTTTCCAAAACACAGTATGACTGATTATATGCAAAAATGAAGTCAAGACCGATTGATGGCAAGAGACTGAAGACAAGATATATACACGAAGATGTTCACTGTTCGGAGCGGGTACGATAAGGAAAAGACCCTACCTGTATACTGAGTGGGGTGGTATTTGCGACCCTTGTTGTGGTGCCCACAGGTTTGTCTGCCGGTAATATTGGAATCCTTGTTATGGATGAATTCAGTGGAGGCCAGGAGGCAGGCAGGGCTGGTGGACTCAATGAATGTTTCTCGCTTTGGTACGAGATTTTCGTACGGACTAAATGAAGATAAATATCCGTGGATAATTTTAGAACAAGAGTAGTAGATGTCGAGGTATCGAGTAGATTTGAGATGATCGAGTATGGGGAAGTTTATTGTATTTGTATTTGTATTTGTATTTGTATTTGCATTTCTTGTTTGGTTTGGTGATGCCCTCCGCATTAAAGAGACCTTCCCAGCTTCCTATTAGTACCTAGCTCCCACTAAAATACTCCTTTCTTTTAGTTAAGTCAACAATACGTCATCACCCACAAGATCTCAAAAACTTCAAAAGTTCACCGGTATTTTCTCTAGTAGAATCCCACAAAGCATGAAAACATCTGAAGTTTGAAATTTACGTTAATTCATGCACTGCCACAATTCACTTAAATCTCCCAGCAAAACGTTTCTCGGATGGAGCAAAGAAGCCAAAAATTGATGACGATCATTCATCTCAAGTAAAGTACCTCGGATCACATGGCTGGGATCTTTGGTTGGTCTGGATCGGGAAAGACCCTGATTTCTCAATCTATAGACACGGGACTATGATGATAGGGGTCATGTCGGATGTTTTGATCGAATTCATGTTTCCATGTTTCCATGTTTCCACATAATATTGAAAAGCAAATCTAGTGTTACTGATAATGATGTTATCATGTATATCTTCAACCCACAATAATGCTATGTTTTCCACCACTAGATTCCAACGTAACACCCCCATTTTCAATCTTCAAATGACTCGACTTTATCTTCTTCCCATCTACAACAATCTTCGGTACCACTCCCGCTTTCTTCACCGGTAGGACCAGCGATCCTGTAGTCCCTTCTGGCACCGCAAAATCCAATCTATACCCTTTCGGTGTCAAATTCCAAGCGGCTTGGAATTTCCCCAATGTGGTCATGAATCCACCTTCCGCCCTCGTCAAATCTCCAAACTGTGGTGCTAGTTTCCATGTTTTGCCTACGGGACTAGTAACACTAAGACCCAATACAAACTCTGTAAGTGCTGATGTAGGACCTGAAGACCAGCCGTGTGAGTGAGATACATATGCGGTATCATACATGTAACCTCTGCTTGACCGGTATGAAAATGTGCCGTTTTGGAGGTAACCTTCGATGACTGTGCTTTCGGTACCATTGGGGTTGTTGAGATACCAACCCCAAGAACGACGGATGAGATCAAGGGCACGACTTGCCTGCCCAATTGTGAAATGGGCTTGGATTTCAAAACTCGATATAAATGGAGATATATTTTCTGGAAGCTCCGGTGCAACCGCCCCGATTGGAGTCCAGTTTTTGACAAGATTCGTGGAGATATCTTGCGCAGTAGAGGAATTTGAAGAAACAACACCGAATAGAAGAGCCAGGCTATTGGCATCTTGGGGATGAAGAGTAGTAGCTGTCGCATTGTCTTTGAAAGCTCCATAGGAATGATCAAAACAATAAGTATTAATGGCTGTCTTGAGAGATGCCGCGCGACTAGTCCATGTCGCTGTTAAATTTGTGGTATCTCCAGCCCATTTGGCCAAATCAGCACCAGTAAGAAGAGTTCGATAGAGACTAATTATTTGTTAGTCAATTGCTAGATTATCCCGAAAGGGAAACATACATCATTTGTGCTTCGCTGTTATTGAAACCTTGCTGCCAACGAGCCCAATCTCGAATCCCTGTGACCTCGAGGAGACCAGGAGCGCTGACTTTCTTATAAATGAAACTCATCGCTAACTGATACTTTGCCCAGTTCTGCAAAAGGAACGACGTATCATTGGTGTAAAGGACATAGTTGTAAGTTCCAATCATGGTCCACATATGGTAGGTATCAGAACCCTGCTGTAGCAATGGTGGCCCTGCCTCTGGAAATGCCCCGGTCACGTTGTTCTGGTTGAGTTAGTCCCTACATGGGCTAATGGGTTGCCAAAAACAGTGAAGCATGGAAGGGTTCAGATGACATAAAATTCAAGCCCATTACAAGCTTCCTTATAGTGAAGTGGTTTGAAACAATGACACTGAAAATCATTGGTATATTGAAGGGGGGTTCCAACACAGGGCAAGAGCGAAAACATTAACCGAAAGGAATAGCATACCTGATAATTGTACATGACTTGGAGGGCATTCTTGACACTGACAAGGTCCCCAATACTGATAAATGTCGATGGCACCGCAATACCCATGTCACCCGGCCAAACAGCTCGATCCCGCTTGGCTCCATCCACAATAATAGTATCACCAGTTCCCAGAGTACCATTGTTTGCCCATCCCACTTTGACAGTAGGAATCTGTCGTCCTGTATTTACAGGCACGGCATTCGTTTGTAAAGTGTAAGCACCAGAGTACCATATTTTGTTCAACATTTCATCATTGCTGTGAAAGTATCCTTGATAAGCTTGTAGATTCGACCATGTTGGTTGAAATCCAATCTCAAGAACAATGCTGCTAACGTTGACGTTCGTGGTACCATTGCTGAGCAAGAACAATGTCAAGTACCTAAAACCTCCACGAAGTGAAAGATCTGGCATGGTGTATGTTCCTGAACCAGCTGATGTGATATTTGCATAAATAGCACCATCTGGTCCCTTAAAACCTCCATTGGATGAGTCTGACCATTCTCCGATATAATCTTTTGCTTCTGTAAATGCCAAACCAATCGCACCGGGTCCTGTGGAAGAGTATTCTAGAGTTACAAGTCCACCGACCTCTTTGCCGAAGTCAAGAGTGTATTTCGAACCATTCCCAGAGAGTCCAATCGATCCCGTGAAGTCAGATAGCACGGCCCCTGTGGTTGCTGATAGTACCGATTTCGGAGACACTTGGCGGCTTGAAGGTGCATAGATATTTGCATCCCAAGGGCCTGGAAAAGCTGCCTCAAGAGGTCCACTGCAAGCTGTATTTTTCCAGCATGCTTGAGCAGATGCTAAATTGAAAGAGAGAGAAAGCACCAGGGAACCAACTAAGCGTTTGACTGTAGCCATAATTCAAGGGCAGCACTCAGTATGAGAGCACAATGCTTCTTTGTCAACCAAATTCTAGCGGAAACCAAAGCCATTTGTACATTTCAAGAACAAGGTATATCTGCAATGATGCTTCAAAAAACTCGGTCAAATGAATATACCGAGGTTAAGTTTTTCCGCACCTGTTGGATGTCGAAGATGCGGGGGAAACTCAGTAATGCGGAGCAAGCTTAAGCCAGTTGTCGGGCCCCATTTTGTTCGTAGTTGTTGCTCAGGTTGGCATCATTACCGACCGTTGTGTATGTACGCATGCTCACATGATTGACTGGGAATATAACCTTTGTGGACGACTTGGAGTATGCCAGCAAAGGAGCATACACATATTGACCCGAAGAAGCGACATGACGTTCGTTACGTTGTCATCGACGCGATACTCTAGAGAAACAATGAAGCATGCTCGCACGCCGCAAAATTCACATCTCCGAGCAAGAAACAGAAATTGATTGATGGCCTCCAGGCTCCAAATGGAAGTAAGTTTAGTAAATTTCAAATTTGTTGTATGATCCGAAGATGTCTCATTGACCTTTTCAATCGCATTTCGCATTTTCGTATTTCTCTTGATGAACTCCACAACTCTAACGAGAGACCCTCAACCTCATTAACCTTACATGGCCGTCTTGAAATGAGCTGAGGTTTCGAAAAAGTCAATGCGACCTCTCAACATTGTGGCTGTGAGAAAGTTATGAAAGAGATAAAGTATGCGTAGGGCACATATATATATATTTTTACTGAATATTCAGTTGTAGACCTAGGTAGTTTGTAAAATTATGTATGATGACGGATAAGAGCAAAATCGATAATGCATAAAAAAAGTGCCCAGTAATAATGAAATTGAAGTTTTTGTTTCCGATTCCGATTTATTTATTTTTATGACAGAAAAGAGTGGAATAGAAGAGGATGATTCTAGATCGATAAAGATAAACCGTTGCACACACTTACAGCTGCCCCCTGAATCGGCAACACTCTACCATAACTATAATTAGTAGTAATTAGTAATTTCGAATATTCGAATTCTTCTAAAAACTTCTATTTTTCTCCGTTGCTACCCCGCAGAAGAAGGCTTTCCTAAATATCAAGTTCTACAAAATGCCTTGGGAAAAGGTCTTCAAATATCTGGAATAAAACAGACCACCTGGTGGACATTGTATTAGAGAGACAGCATCCGAAAGCTCAATTATCACTTGAAAAATGAGAGCATCTTACGAATACATAGATACAAGGCAGAACGAGCTTCCGGAGAGCGCTCCCCTTTTTGTGTTGTGCCGCCCGCATAAGCACGGAAAGAATGGTTAAGAATATTGAAAGCATTTAAGCGCTGGTTTGGAAGTATGATATAAGAACCTTGAATATACACCCGATGAACAAATACCTAGGTATGTAAGGTTGACCACGAAGAACGGAAACACAGTCAGATGCCAATCCAGCCTTGAATATGGTGGTGGGTGACACAGAAGAAGTCTTGAGATATAAAACATAAAGCACAGCTGATAGAATTGGTGCTGATACCGCGTTGTAGATGTCCAACATGCAGCTGAAAGGAATTTTAAGAATACGAGTTGATACGGAGGCCTACTAGGTCGTCTTCTAACATACCATTGTGCTGTAGAAGAAGGACTATGAGGATACCAGATAGATATTTAGTTCTAGACAGCTAAATGGTATATAAATCAAAGGGGATATCGATCCTCCGCAACACCAATGTGAAGAACATGCTGCTACAATATGTACTCATACATCGTGCCATTCAATCGATTACCAAGTACCTAGTACGTACCTCGTACTACCTCCTCCCCAGTACCCCTTGATAGATGATTCTCTATAAATAATGAGTACATACCTCATATAAAAAGGTAAGAGTCTTATAGTTATCGATAAATCCGCGGCAACGACTGTCAGTAAGTCGTTCATACACTCACTCCATATATCCATTTATGCATTGATCCGGACATTCAAACATTTATGATTTTCCATTGATCATTTCTCGGGTGCCCCCTTTGTGATAAAGATTAGATGCTATACTTCTACACATAATGGTTGAACTTAAATAACAGTTCTACTTCTTCTATGTATTAGATCTTCACAATAGCATATTTTGATTTCGATTTTATTTTCAGCTATCTACTCGGTATTATTCTATTCATTAATTGCTTGCTTGCTTGCTTGCTTGCTTACTTACTTCCAATATTCATAGCAGGGGTTAAGCTCGATTTTACTCTTTCGCTAACGCAATGGAAAAGCAACTGACCCAGAAAAAGCCAATCTATCCAATCTATCCACTCATGTGTCACTACACAAACCCATTTGGTATTTGGTATTTGGTACCAATTGCACAACTCGAATTAATTGGGATCCTTCCTATTTACCATAATCAGAACGAACCATAACTAGGTAGGTATAACCATAACCAGTATCCCCAATTTACTGCCCACGACAACAATAACACTATGCGATCGCGATACTAATTCTCATTCTCATTCTCATTCTCATTTTCTGTTATTTGAAGTACTTCTTTACCCGCTCATGGATGTATATTTTACCAACCTCTGAATCATATCAGTCTGGCCACACTAAATCGCACAACTCCAGATGAGATCGCCGGTATCATCAGTAATTCCATTAGGTGCTAGGTGCTAGCTCTAGTCCTTCTATCGCAGCAAGGGGATATTGTTGGAAGATCCGCATTACAACTCCCGATGAAGGTATGCACACTTCTATGGATACTTATCACATTGTGCGACGCGACGTCGTGGGAAGAGAAGCAGTATCAGGGCAGTGGTTGCAAGTCATCTTACCCAACAACTCTCACACTTGTCTGTTGGACACCCAAGCCGGCTTTCTCTCTTACTAGTGCCTTTTTTACTAGACCTTAGCCTTCCCACATAATACCTTTACATAAATCTCTACTCATTAGAACTGTTGCGATAAATCTCACTAACTTCTTTTCACCCCAATAGACCTCTTCGAGACCTAGAGAACTTGGTGGGAGTTTTGTACCTAGAAATGATGCCCGGATCTCAATCTCTGACCCGAATCATCACATAACTGAGGCTATTGGAGACATGTATGGGGATGATGATTACTCAAAACGCGATTCAAGACCTCTTAGCTTTATCCCTCCCTCTTCCAATGAGTCTTTTGAAGATACAGCAAATTCATTTTACGACACGAATAATAGCATTAGACCGGGGCCGACACCCTTAACAAATGGAAACCACAAAGCGCATACATCACCAGCAATTATGCAGAGTCCCAGGAGTCCCACATTTGGGGATGGAAATCCTATATCACCATCTTTGTCCTTACGTGATCCTAATGCAGGAGGTGCAGCAAATGCGGAGTTTCCGCTGAACGATATCGACTATGAATCCGGCCCGGCTGCTGTCGCACAAGAACTCAGTAACTTACAAGCGTTACGTCGAATGTCTATGGATGTGGGCAATACCAGTGATCCGGATCTGCCATCATTCCAAGGTGTATCTTTAATGCCTACAGCAGCTCCAACAGGGAATGACGACGAGGACGATCCATCGCGACTCTTCTGGGTGCCTGCTAGAGTTCACCCTGAGCTTGCACCCATGGAATTCAAAACGTTTCTGGAAAACCGCGTTCAATCAATTAAACGACGATCTGGAGATCAGACTTCATTGGCACCTAACGGCACTGAGCAAAGTGGATCTGGGGTTGGATTGAGGAGGAAGAAATCTATGCTGTCGAGGCAGATTGATAATTCGGGTGGTCGAGGAGCTGTAGGGTACAAAGATGGGGCGGAACAACTGGAGAGGAAAAAGTCTCTATCATCACATCATACACCTGATTTAAGGATTTCGGATCTTCAGGAATTGGATGAACTGGTGAGGGATCCTTCAGCAGCAATGCAGAAATTGAGTATCGAGACTGGAAGCGAAGGCGAAGATTTACCTATTTTACCACAAGCACCGGGAATCGGCCTGAGGAGGTCTACGCGCACTACGTATAGGAGGGGAAGCGTGAGAAAAGGAGAGCGGGTACCATTCTCAAAGAGGGCAGGCTCTAATCGAGGTGATGCTGAAGGGGAAGATTCTGCAGCGGCTTCGCCGATTGATGGGCGTCCATCTGCAAGCTCCCCTCTTACACATACGCAATCGGAACCCTTGGGTAACACGGATAATTTTTCTAGACCCAACAGGAGTGCACGACGTATGCAGAACATAGAACAAGCCCCGCCGGTTCCCTCGATCCCGGATAATGTTGCCAAACAGTTGTCTGCACAATCTGATTCTCCAGCCTCTGTTTCAGCTGCAGAACTAACGCCCGACCCAAGCCAACAGCCGCCCCAGCCTAGCCATGATGATTCTCGATCAAGAAGCACTAGCCACCCTCAAAAGGATTCTCCAGTCCCACGTATAGTAGAGACCCCACCTCTACCAGAAGAAGGTTCACAACCACAGACAGGCAAACAACCCATTCAGTATCCTGAAAGAACATCTTCACAGACCAGTCAAGCATCACAAAAGCAATCAAGTCCTCAAGCTCTTCCTCAAACAGCTCCAAAGCCCACTCCAGAACCTCCAGCAAAATCCAACAAGCGCCCGGTATTGGAGCATCAAGCTTCCTCCAGTGGTGCAGCCCTCCCAAAAACAGCAACGGCAAATGACATGCATCAACAGCAGCAACCTTCGCCAACTCCAGTGAATACACTAAGACCTGATGTCCCCACTCACATTCCAACCGTTGACGACAAGAAATCCGACAAGAAGACGAAAAAGGAGAGAGAGGAAGAGAATTCTGGGCCTCGAAAGACTAGCTGGGGCTGGTTCAAAGGGAGTGACGAAAAGGATAAGAAGGATAAGAAAAAGGATGAGAAGAGTAGGTCGAAGGTTTCATTAGACAAAACACACGACAATGCTCGTTTGGATGTTCTGCAGTCCACCATGGAGACAACTACGAGGGGCCGCGAGAGCTTCTTAGTCGAAAGAGATAATGTTGATAACAAACCCGAAAATGACCGAAAGAAAGAAGGTAGCCGTAAAGCTGGTGCGGAGCCTAAAAAGGAAAAGGACGGCATCTTTTCATCGCTTTTTGGTGGTGGAAAGAAGAAGGCCGATCGTGATCCAGGCAGTAAAAAGGATAGCTCCCTCCGCACTCTTTCACCGGAACCTCAGCACCGCGTGTTGAAGCCAGATATTGACTATAACTGGACAAGATTTTCAATAATGGAAGAAAGGGCAATCTATCGCATGGCTCATATCAAGCTAGCGAATCCTAAACGGGCATTATACAGTCAGGTTCTGCTTAGTAACTTCATGTATTCATACTTGGCCAAGGTTCAGCAGATGCATCCACATATGCAAATACCTCAGTCCGCGCAGCAGAAGAAGGCAGAGGCGGAAAGGAAGCAAAAGGAGCAAGAACAGCAATATCGAGAGCAACAAGAACAGTTGAGACAGCAGCAGCAGCAGCAGCTAGAGGGGGGGGATCAATATCGATATGATTACCATCAGGTATGAGTCCCTTGAATTTTTGTCAGGACTTATAAAATAACCGGGGCTAACATTTTAGTAGGGCATTACCCAATATGCTGAACAGTCTCAAAACCCAAATCATTCTGCTGAGGGTGTTAATTATGTCGATGATTCTCAAATATATGATTACGATCATCAAGGAAGTGAGCCTGGGCAGGATCATAAGCGTCCACAGTCCCGCACCGGCCAGAACAATAGTGAGAATGGTTATAATAACGATCAAAAATACTACGATTATGGGCGAACACAATCACATGATCAAGCAACCGAGGAGGGGGAGATGTGGTAGCGTAAATATGGCTGTTGTTGCAAATATTATCTTCGGGTCTCCTTTATGCATACAACGATGGAGTATAGGCGCTGTTTCATATCTGGATGGATGCTTGTGGTATTGGGAAGGAAATTAATTGATCGGAGGCATAGCGTCTGGTTTTCTGTTGAAGTTTCCCTTGATGATAGGGGATTCCTCAAACCCCGTTTTTTATGTCACAATCTGCTACACTTACAGTGAGTAGGTGTGCAATTGTTTATATGTACAACAAGAAATTAGCTCTTGCTCTCGTGAAGGCAAGTAGATTAGGCGCGGGTAAATATCCAAATTTGGATGCTGATCCAAAACTTTGAATACTCTATGAATGTATATACTTTGAGCTTTCATAACATATCATGATGAAAGGATTGTTGATTGTCATCATTTGTGTTCAATGCGCATAGCATGCATGACTTTTACATTGTTTGCCTTGACTCTCAATCTAACCTAACCGACATTTCCCCAGTCATACAAAAAATGAAGTTATACAAACATTATTTTTAATTGGTTGCATTTCTACGGAGTAGTGACGTTGTCAAACTGCTCATGATGCTTTCTTACCCGTACCCCATCGTACTCCGTACCCGGTTATGGATCATTTTACTTAGCGTCCTTAGTGGGGTCCCGGGAAGCTTGAGCCATCCATCAATCACTTTGTACTTTGTAGGCATCTACAACTCAAAATCTCTCAAGTTCCTACATCTTGAGAATTACAAATTTCCGCGACGTTTATCTCTTTGAACTGTCAGATAATATTGGAATTTGTATACAATGTTTCGCGCCCAGCAAAATGCCTTCGATGAGGTCGTCGGTAAGTAGCAACTTATGAGCTTATTCAAATCCCCAACCGCCTTGATGAAGCCTCAGTCGAATATGATGCTAATTTATGGACTCTATAGCCAAGGCGACCGACGAGAACCTCACTTCGGAAAATTGGGAATATATTATGGATGTTTGCGACAAGGTATCCGGAGAAGACAGCGGTGCCAAAGATGCCGTGGCAAGCATGATAAAGAGGCTGGCGCATCGAAATGCCAACGTACAATTATATACTTTAGAGGTAGGTTACGACATAGATCGCAGTCGCCCTTACCAAATCTAACATTATATGTATAGCTCGCCAACGCTTTAAGTCAAAATTGCGGAGCGAAAATGCACAGAGAGTTGGCTTCAAGGGCGTTCACTGATGCATTATTAAGACTGGCAAACGATAGAAACACACATCAACAAGTGAAAACGAAGATTCTTGAGCGGATGGCAGAGTGGGCAGAAATGTTCAAAGACCCTGATTTAGGAATTATGAATGATCAATACCATCGACTGAAGAGCCAGAATCCTAACTTGCACCCACCATCCGCGCCATCAAAGAGCCGACTTACAGATTTGGATCGTCAGAAAGAAGAAGAAGAATTACAAATGGCATTAAAATTATCTATTCAGGATAAAAGCAGTCAACCAAAACCTTCCCAACCATCCAGTTCATCCGCAGACCCGGCTCAATCGCAACAAGATGCACAGCCACAACAAGTACCATCTGGAACCACAGCCGCTACTGTCTCTAGAGTTAGAGCACTTCACAATTTCCAACCCACAGATGCGGATGAATTACAATTTCGAAAGGGCGATATCATTACGGTTATAGGATCAGTATATAAAGATTGGTGGAGGGGCTCCCTGAGAGGGAAGACTGGTATTTTCCCTCTGAACTATGTTGAAAAGTTGGTGGATCCCACACCGGAAGAACTACAACGGGAAGCGCAAATGGAAGCCGAGGTTTTTGCAGAGATTAAGAATGTGGAAAAGTTACTCACATTACTGAGTACTTCAACATCTCAATTAGATGCTCGCGATAATGAGGAAATCACAGTAAGTTGTAATATCCGTATTTTGAACCGCATGCTCACATACCTAGAAACTTTACCATTCTACTCTCGCAATTAGGCCAAAACTTATTGAGCTAATCGGAAAATACTCACAGAAAAAAGGTACAGTTTATATCCGTTCAACCAGGCTTCTTGATCAGCTCACTAACATATATCAGATGATTTTACACAATTGAATGAGAGGTTCATCAAATCATGTCGTGACTATGAGAACTTGCTAGATGCCTCTATGACACAGGCACAGTCTTATCATTATGGTCGACCTGGGCAAGCACCACAAGGTCCGCAAGGTTACGGATACCCTCCTCAGGCAGCAAGACCACAACAGGAACCTCAAAGATATTATACACCATCCCAACAAGGTAAGTGAAAGCAAACATCACTAAAAGATGATATGCTAAGTGTATACAGAGCCACCATACCAACAACAACCAACTCCACCTAGTGGTTATGCTCCTCCACGTAATGGACCGGCACCTTTTTATGTTGTTGCTCCAGGCCAGCAACCCCTACAAGCCGATGGTCGTCAACCATATCCAGGTCAACAGGCTCAACAATCAGAGAGTCAACAGCCATATCCCCAAAGAGATCCTACTCCTCGGATTCCATCAGGCTCACAACCTCCGCCACTTCAAACCAATAGTCCTCCCCCAACTCAGTACCCAACACAACAACCACAAACAGGTCATCGCCCACAAAGCACATATTCTAATCCACAAGAACTAGCAACATCTGTCTACGATTCTCCAGTTCAACAACAAAATCCTCATCAATACACTACATACGGTGAAACCGATCCTTACCCAGCCACTCCCGCAACAGCCCAATCTCCACAACAATATAATGCATACAAACCATCTCAACAGCCATCTCAACCACCTCAACCTTCATTTGAACCCCCAGCTCCTCCAAATGAAATTCCTAGTCCAGTGCAAAGTTCACCTTATCCAGGTTTAGGTGATGCAAGAACGACATTACCTAGCCAAGGGCAATATAAGGCGTATCAGAGACCTGATAGTAGTGATAGTAACCAGGGGATGAGTGGTCAGGGATTAAATAATGCTCCAAGTGCACCTCCTGCTGGTGCATCAAATCCGGCGGATTTTTATAGACAGAATACTGCATATTAGGTTGTTTTTCAGGATGTGAATAGGGAGGTGATAGGACGTTGAAATATGGAGGTTCGTTCATGTCTTCAATGTGAGTATTTGATTTGAAGCGGGAAGTTTACGTCTGAGGGACGCATATATGGGTGGATGGGGAGAGGTTGGCAATGACATTGGGTTTTACGAAACGGAATGCTGGAGTGGACAAATAAATAGATATGAATTTGAGGTAGTTGATAGTTGGTAGTTAGTAATTAGCTGAATAACTTTACTCCTGAATAATGCATTTTGAATCTTTTTTTTTTAGATTAATAGTGAGTTGTTGGGATTCTTAATAGAGAGAGTATTTTGTGAGTTGTAAGTTGTGAGTAGGTAGAGGGTGAGGTAGATGAGTAGAGGGTTGGTGTAGGGAAGGTATATAGAGGGAGGAATGAATAAATAATAAATAATAAAAAATGTATAAAGAGTGAGAGTAAGAGTAAATATTAAAAAGAGAAAAAAATTAAAAAAATAATATAAAGAATGAATTAAAAAAAATTTATAAATTAAAAGTATTGCTATTATAAATATTAAAATAAAAAGATTTAAATAAAATATAAATGTCACGATTCACAGATTAGATTATAGTAGTATTATTGATGTCGGTGATTCGTATGCCGAAAACAAAAGAGGTATAATTTAATTATTGTTTTCAGAGGGCTTAATCATTTACGAATAGGATTTCAGGATTCTTAGGATAAGTATTCTAGGCAATTATATTAGAATAGGATAAGTGTTCTAGCTAATTGGCTGTAATAGGATAATTATTTTAGAGGATATTGTATTCTAGGGTTGTAGTTCTTAGAGGAAAGCTTTTGGGATAAATGTTCTAGGAAAGGAGAGACCTTAGGATCAATCATGTGATGAGGAGCTCCAGGAGTTTGGAAAGCTTCTAAAGTTCTAAAAGCTTCTTTTTATTCATTAGTATATAATCAGAATAGTTTTATAGTTTAAGAGCTTTGTATTTAATTTAATTATCAGTTAGTTTATTTATATTCTAATTGATCTAATAACGAATTCATTTTCAAATGGATAACTAGTAATTAATAGCCTTAACCTATAATTATCAATCATACAAAACCTCAGGCAGCCGCTGCCTCGACCAGATCGTTACAATAAATTATTATAAAAGATAAAATATAAAAGTTTAAAAAATTATCAAAATTAATAATTTTTTTAATTTTTTCAAATCTTGATTATTTTTATAAAAAATCAAATATAAAATTTATATATATATATTTAAATATTAATTATTAATAATATAAATTGAAAATTTTTATTTTTATTTTTATATTTTACATTTTTCTATTTTAAATTATTTATTTTTAATTTAAAATAAAATAAAATTAACATATATTAAAAACAAATAAAAATTAAATAAAAATTAAAAATAAAAAATAATTTAATTAGACTTTTTAATATAGGTATTAGATATTATATCAGGGCCTGTGTCTCTCGGACCCTTGGTTTTAGAAAGTTTAATGAAAATTTAAGTTTTAAAAGTTTATAATAAATTTAAATATTGAATATATATTAAAGTGTAGACAGAATATCAGCTTGTTTTTGATAATTAAAAATTAAAACTTTTTATTTAAAAATAATAATAATTATTATTATTATTATAAGTTAAATAAGTTGAATTAAATAAATAAAATTGAGTTAAATAAATAAAGTCAAGTTAAATGATTTCAATAAAGTTGAAAAAAGTTCTAAGTCAGATTTACTTGAGGTTATAAGACTTATACCAAGCTTTTTGTTAGATTTATTTACCGGGGTATTTTAGACCAATCAGATTGTCAGGATCGCGACTCACTTAAGCGAGTCTCTCATTTTCTATCACCTACACTAGGTAAACCTCGCGTACAGCAAGGTTTTGGTGTCGGCAAGCCAACAATCAATTATTAGATGATTTTCAGTATAGAGATATATATTATAAGGGTTGCAATCTAGATCACATAGAAGTGGTCTGGATCCCCGAATGGTTTATAATTAGATATCAAACAGGGGCTTAAGATAATATCAATAGTTACAATTCGTAACTAATAGTAGAGTATACTAAATGATTGATCTTGAGTACGAAGCTCTGCAAAAGGAATCCTTCCTAGCTATATAGTTCCTCGTGTTCCATATCCCACTGTTCCCATTGGATAGAATCGGTGGGATCGATGGGAATTTTTCCCACTACTCCCACCGATTTAAATCAATAGGATTAATGAGAATAGTATCATATAATCACTTAATCATATAAATCTATTGTATTATTATAATGCATCCAATAATAACAAATCCTGTGCTTACTAGATCCCCACACCACCTTAATCCCATACTAAATTGATCAAATCGTATCTTGTAAGCACACAATCGGTTATTGCAAGATCCGTGATCGTAATAATATGCTTCGCTAAGCCCCCAGCCCCTCTCCAGAAACTAGACCGAGTATCTCATTGTGGAATCTTTCTAGCATATTCGCTCCGGTAGACCCGAAATCAGAAAGGTCCTACATATTGATATGCACGTAACCCCGCAAAGCAGACTTACATTATATTTTCTGAGATCGTAGTCATTTTAGCACTTAAGAAAGTTGGAAAATGTTTTAGATCAACACAATGCCAACGACCATGCAGAAACAACCCTGCGTTGTTGCATTTCAGCTACCATCGATCTTGCAGTTCAGCCATGACGACCGATCTCCCGCATTTCGATCTCAGATTATCGTATGATGTAGATGGAAATCTCACTATCCTTTGCTGCTAATGCAGCTCATTGCCCCTTCAACCTTCGTAATGTTGTTAAAGCTGCATTTTGATGGCCGATCAACTAATGAGTGATGTACGAATCGAGAGGAGAATGTAATTGACCCTTTTCAAGTCAGTGTCATGATAATAACTTACTTGAAAGTGTCCGGTAAGTTGTAACTTCCTGTCTAAGTGTTGCACGAAGCTTGTCCCAACGTAGGACACGGGAGAGTTAGGTACCCTTACTGTTTGTACTTGAGTTGCAGAAAGCGGGGTATCCATATAGTGTGGAGGAAGCTTTGATTGTTTTAAGCTTAACTCATTTTGGGTCTAACCGTGTTGAGTTCTCGTTCCTAAGCAAAAGTGGATAAAAATCTATAATCATATATGCAAACTGGTCAACTTCTGCAACTCTAGATTGATTGGGTTAGATCCAAACCGAGTTAAGTGAGAGAATACAGTATTAGAGCCTAACGTCACACTAACACAGACAAACCTAATGACGTCTTGAGGGAGCTAGAAACGCCTAGCAGCTTTTTGCTACTTGTACAGATATATACTAACTACTCTACCAGATAACTTGTTCAGATACAAGCACTGAGGTTGTAAATATGTAATTGTGAGGGTTGAGAGCTCTGTAGGTACTCAGGCTATAGCTCTCGCCATGCATCTAAACCTTTTATGCCGTCCTATTCCTGTATATACGTAGTATGTGTGTATAGAGGTTCTTTGTACTGTATGCATATTCTGATAAATCTATTTGAGCTATAGCTTTGAGCTGTTCGAGGTCTGGCATCTCACAATGATAGAAAATGGGATAGATGCTAGACGCGGTGTAATATATGCTATTGGTAGCATAACACTAGGATTCGATGGCGCAAAGGGGGTCGAAAAGCAAGCTCCCGCCGCCAGCTCAGAAAATTACACAGTTCTACAGGTGCTGCCAAAAAGTATGACACATTCCACTCTGAAGCACAATCCACAAAATGGTAATCTACAAGGGGGATAACGGCCCAGATTTAGATGGAGTGTGATATACTCGCCGCATGAGTTATAGAGCTGAAGATTCGAGTCCCGATTCAGAGACAACCGCATATCCGTACAGCATCAAGTGTAAATCTTCACTGCAGGAAACCCCAAATGGAAGATCCAATACCAAAGTAACAGTAAAAGTGGCAAAGTTGAACATGACATAGATGTCAGACGAACTGATGGAAAATACATAAATACCGGACTTCCATCCGTTCGTTTTTGCTCATCCAACACAGCTCGACTATCCAAACAAATACAATACTTCTAAACTTTAAACTCAAATCCTTCTTCCAATACACATCTCAAGATGTCAAGTGAAACTTCAGCAGAGGCAGTCACGCCTGTCGAGTATCAAGGCGATTTTGAAAAGATCCAACCTCAATCCACAGCTTATGTATGTCAACACCCCCTAAAATCCCTAATTCTTAACTTTCAGCTCAGAATTAACATGAAAGATAGGTTAAGTGGGATGTGAAGGGTGGTGGAGACCGCACCCATGAACCCAATATCAACACAAACTACACCCTTGAAGGTTCTCCGTAAGTTATATCTTTCACCACACAAAGTACAATGACTGACCACCTCATAATAGCAATATCCAAGGTGTTGAAATCAAATCCACCGTCGACGTTAAGTTGATATGCTGGTCGTAAGTGACAATCTATCCTTTGGAGTTGCTTGGAATATGTAATAACGGTTGTTTTTAGCGGCGCTCCTGGAAGTGGCACTCCAAACATTACAATTGATGGGCCTACTAATGGCAAGCACAAGATTGATCCCAGAAGACTTGGAGGGTACCGCGTGGAAATCCGTTGATTTATTTAAACACTTCAGTTTAAATGACTGGTCCAGTTCTCAATGGGATCAGCAGTTTCAAAGCCACTGAGTTCCTTCGACACTTCAATTAAATTCCTTGATTCGACTTTGATTCTGTCATTTTTAGTTAAGCTACAGTCATTACTGCAATGAAACCACACTATACTTCAGACTTTTCCCTCTATATGTTCTTAGCGTGCCTGGATTGACACTTGAACTAGAATATTGGCTGTATATAGCCTAGTGAAACAAGTAACCTCCGTAGATATTTCGACAGCTTTCGAGGTGTAGGAAATTCGAACACAAGTTTTTGGTGATATTCATGTATAAATACTATGAGATATTCAAGTCTAGGACATTGGTAGCTTTATGTAAGGGGAGCTAAAGGGGAACAGGAGCTAGAAGAGGTGGAGAAGCCAGACGAACTGTTGAAATGTATACAGAACGTAGCACTCAGAACGGTATATTGTTCTTGATTGGTTTAAAGCCCCATGAGTGTGACACAAATACCATAAAAGGGCTGAATTAACAGGGTTAAATGCGTCCTTATAATCTATAACTAACTTAAGCTCGCATATACGCTGCTTATTAACTCTCCATTGAAACATGTTCAAGCAGCAAACAAAATATCAAAGGTACGATACTAAAATCAACCCACAAAGTTTTTCAAGCCTCACATCGTGCTTAGACAAAAAAAAAACACCTCATATCATGATGGAATGCACACAAAACCACTGACACGCATTGCATCATACGTATCAAGACAACCAAGCCTCAATGTAAATCAAGCATCCTGAATATTAACCACCTCGCCATATGCATCCAATCCCAACCTCTTCTTCGCAATTGACGTCTTAACCGGATTAGGACTATTAAAAATCTCATCCAACTCCTCTAGAGTTCTGTTTCTAGTCTCAGGAATGAAAAACCAAACCACGGTCGTTTGGATCGCACACCATATGCTAAAAATAATATAAGTTTTCCAACCAATTTTCTGCATGGAAACAGGCCATGCGAATTGATTTAGCAGGCCGGCTGCTGCGACGGAGAATCCCGAGAAGCCCATTCCTTTGGCGCGCATTTCGAAGGAGAGGACTTCGACTGGGTAGAGAGCTTGGAGGGGTGTAAAACCGACGGAATAGACGGCGCCAAAGACGAAGATGAAGGCTAGAGAGGCGGTGCCGGCTGCATGGTTGGTGCCGATTGAGTCTGGGTCGCTGGGGTCGGGGATGGATTGCTGGTATAGTGCGGCGGAGACGGTCATTGCGAGCCAGATTACGCAGCAGCCTGTTGATTGCTATGAGCACAATTTTTGGTAGTAATGATGATTAGAATAACATACCGATGTTAGAAAATAGAAGAAGAGGGCGACGTCCAACACGATCAACCATTGCGGCACCAAAGAGAGCCCAGCAGAATTGTTGACAGTTGTTAATCAGGATGACATTTGCTTGGCCAATGTGACTTCCAACACCGATAGTCTGAAGAACTTTGCCCATGAAATACGACAAGACAGCTGAATACTATCAGTTAGACTGTTGTTTACTTGAGGATAGCAAAATACTTACCATTACCAGCCCATTGACCAAAGATCGATATACTAACATTACAGAATAGTCGATAGCAAGTAGATCGATTTTTGAAAAGTGCTCTGTAATCCCACCAACGTTTATCGGCACCGTCCATTTCCAAAAGTTCTTCATATTCATTCAATTGTAATTTCACCCATTCACTGTCTGGGTTCCCTTCCCCATGGAACTTGGTAAGCATCTTCTTGGACTGATGGCGTTTGTTGTTGACATAAAGCCATCTTGGAGATTCGGGAAGGAAGTAAGCGGAAATGAAGATGATACTGGAGAACATTAATTGAACCCAGATAATCAATCTCCATGATTCATCGCCTCCAATATTGTCTGCTCCACGAGCTACTCCACTAGCGATGATTGATCCAGTGAACCTAAATCTAGTTAGACGAAGTCTTCAAGGTTTTACATCAACCTTACCAAAAGCAATTGAAGATAGCTGTTACTACACCACGATATGCTGGGTGTGAAACTTCAACAACATACATAGGACCAGCTGCAGAGGCGATATTGACACCAAAACCGAGTAGGAAACGACCACCCATGAATTGTCTCACACCAGCATTTCTTGTAGCAACACCTTGAACAATCGTACCAAGGATAATACAAAGACATCCAAGCCACATTCCAAATCGTCGACCAAATGTATCTGCAGCTGGTCCAACGAATGGTAATGAAACTACACCACCAATTTGGTACATGGAAGTCACAATACCAGCCCATATGCCGGCATTTTCACCATGGTAGAAATCCAAAAACCAAGGGTTCACGAGCAGATTGTTGATGAGAGAACCATCGTAACCGTTCATTGTAGCACAAAAGAACCCGATAAAACAAGCTATGTAGAGTTGCATCGTTGACCATGTAAAAGGCCTTGGAGGTTCCTTGAGCATAGCTTCATTGAATGCTTCATTTCCGCAAACGACTTTTGCTCCAACTTCGGCATGCTTCTACAGATTCAACTATGTTAGAACTGATCTCTAATGAGTTTGAAACTTGGAACTCGGCAATATACCTCATCTTCACTACGATGATTTGACAGCTCAACCTCATCATATTCGCTATTTGCCTTCTCCGCCATGACTTTGTGACTGCAAATGAGAAATAACTATGCCTATTGGAAAAGATCTAACAATCTGAGAAAGTGATAAGGTTTGAAAAGTAACGGAATATTTTTCATTTATGTACTGTGACGAAGCATTCCCTAAACCCTGTCAATGGAAGGCTGACCTCGTCTACTCGTGCAGCACAATCGACATGCTTATTACAAAATGCGGAACGGTTAAATAATGCTTGGAATCAAATCTGCACTCCACCCCCGGATTTTCGGGCAGACCTTCCTGATGCGGCTTCGCTAATGGAAATATGCCTTGTGGTACCGGGGTTGTACAATATAAAATAATATGCATGCACTTTTAAATATCTAGGGGGGTATTTCACATGGTCTGTTGGTCTTCCGATCAAGGATACCTTGGATTCCTATGAACCTTATTCCATTCATAGACGCTTGTCTACTAGCTGCTAAGAGGGCAAAAAAACAACCCCAAGAAAATCATAGAGATTCTGGTACGAGAGAGATTGATCCAAATTCAAGTACTTGCGGAGAAGTTACCCCGTGTTTCTAGAAAGGAAATAAGCTGATATGACAACTGAGCTGATTTTAGCGAGATTAGTATTAGTCTCCGTTTGCCATCTGTATGCTAAGAATTGCTTCACTCCTTTTCCACGAATAGAGTCCCAGTAACTTGACAGGGAGTTTCCAATAGGAGGATCTAAAGTTCTCTGGTAAAACGGTTCTGTGATCTGTGATAGATCATTATTCGCTTGCACCCCGGTTTTTCTCGTCTGTCTTCTTTTGGGTATCGTTTATGTTCGTGGCGTTGAAAAAAATGGGTTTGGAGCGTTGCATTGAGTGGTGATGGATGGGACGTCGGGTATTACTCTGATAAGGGTAGCATTAACCTTAGATCACGTGGACCATGATGCACTATACGTACTCTCAATTAACTGGGTCTGCACCTCGTGAGATTAACGAATCGTGAGCAATGGGCTTTTATAACCCGTCAGTCTCGAACGAAGTGCTTGCTATCTTGAACCTCGGTAGGCGCTATACCTGACTGGTGGTAGCAATTTTAGCTTGTGGCGATGTATACCTTTTCATCCGTGTGATATGCTTCTATTATTCGCGTCCAATGAAACTACTTCAATATATCGACAATGAGAAAAGATATCGATTTAGATTCCCTTTTACAAATTAGACATCCTCAGTCCCTGATACTGTTCATAAATATTCATCTAAATTAACACGAAACAAAATATTGCATATGATCAATCAAAGAAATTGTGTATAAAAGCGGCTGTTACCCTTCTCATATTAGACTACTAAGGCTAATCTCATATATACGTGACATCCCGAGTTCCGCATACATGCACCCATCAGAATCAAATATCAGCCTATGCATTCCAGATATCTAAAGTTACAGGGATATAGAAGTGGACGTACCACATTGTCGGAATTTTCTGTTTGTCGTTACTGCAGGGAGGAAGCGCTGTTTAGGACTTGATATATCTCGTCGCGGGGTTCGCTTTCGTATTGGATGATATAGCTATATTACTTCCAAACGATCAGAACCTTTAGTTCATTAGTCTTTGAATGATCCACACATTATTCCTCTTTGAAGCGATTTGTATGTCTAATTCGAGTAGCTGTGTTGAAGTTTGCGGTATTGAGATTCGATGGATGGATCGGCCGACTAGATTCGGAATCCTTTCTGTTTCCACAACCTATTTTAGAAAGATTTCGTATCCTACAGCCGAAGCAAACGCACATGGCTACCGTTTGTGTGGAGTTGCAGATGCGGGGACTATGGGGTGGTATCAAGTCCGTTTGCCATGTGGCTTCCCGGATATTGCTAAGTTCCTGTCCCAGTCCCAAGCTCTGTAGTTCTTGGGAGTCTAAGATATCAGGACTTCAGATCATATGATCATATTTCACAGTTTTTTTCATGTATCCTGCCTGTATTATTCTCTATCTCCAATTCCCACACGATCTCCCTGATCTACTATCACCTCAACTAATATCATCTTAAAAAGCACTCATAAATACCCTCACAGTATCTAGCCAATGCTCCGCAGATCTCCTAATTCCTGTTTCAAAAATATCCCACATTCATACATCTCCCGCCACCCCTCTCTTCGCTATCTAACCTCACAGAATCATCACCTAGTCTTCTTACAACATCTCACTAATTCCCCAGTCGTTTCAGCAGCAAAAACTACATCATATAACAAATAAGATTAACAAATAAGATTTACAACAAAACTACTTCCACCATGAACTGGGTCAAAGATCAAATACCATCAAATACATTATTTAAACAAGAAAGCGCATACAACAGCGAAATATTCCCCTAGCTACACGATGAATGAGGTAGAGATAAAGGTAAGGAATAAATACAATGATACAGTTTCCTCGAATATCTAACTAGCTACAGTAAGGTTTCAGATTAAAACAACGATATCAGTACCATTCCAACAAGCCTGAAGCCACTACACCTTTTTTTTAGCAGATATCGAGTCTAAGTCCAACTTCAACATCAATCATCGTCCTATTAAGCATCTAGACCACACATCCAGACCACACATCCAAACCACACATCCAAACTCCACCCCTAAAATCCCTCTTCTAACTCTACCCAGTACTACAATCATACTAGGTAATCACAATCACAATCACAATCAGAATCACAAACCCGCAAACAATTAAACACAAAACCCATACCCCCCTTCACCAACCAACCAATCACTCACTTACTCACTTACTCACTCGAGGAAACCACCAACTATATATCTAGTATCTAGAATTTTTCTGAACAAAATGTAGACCCAGTATACCCACCCACCTACCTACCTACCTGCCTATCTGAGACCAATTTCCGAATTTCCATATCCACACTCTTAACTCAATACACCTTATAACATAAACCACCATCCATTCATCATTCATCATCCACCATTCACCTCATCACACCTCATCACACCTCATCTCACTCAAAAACACAATCAAAACCTTTTGAAAAAATAAAAAATCACAACAAAGTATTTAAATTTTCAATTCATTTCGCCTAGAATGCTGCACCGTACTGCGCTCGCTCGCTCGCTTGCTATGCTTCCACGATACGTCAACCGATAAACACCACTGCTCGCTATTCTATAAATACAAGGTATTTAAACAATCATTATCATTCCTTCATCCTCTGCGCCTTCGTCGTTTCATTTCGCACCACTATGTTTTGTCGCCTGTGTAGACCTATCCTTCATGCTAGGCCCCTTCCTGTGATGACCCGTCCTGCGATGAAAGTATCCTGACGTAACTTGCTTCCATAAAGCCATAGGGTCCTCATAGTACTGAAATGCCGTCTGCAAGCTCGCCCATCGACATACAGTCCTCTAGCCTTTCTTATTGCTTCTGCATCGATGTGCTCGCATTCAATGGATCAGTGTTAATCACTAACGGAGTGATCAATACCATCCCTCACATCTCAGTTCACCAATGTCCTCAACCCCAGTTACTCCACCTATATACATGCCCCTCCACTTCCACTTAATTGAAGCCAAACCCCTTAGAATGCTCCAACGCAATATCAAACCTCTCCTTCAAAATCTGCCTACTCGAATAATTCGGTAGGAGCAAATTCTGAAAGCACGTATAACTACTCGGTAACTGTTCATCTGTAGCTCCATTCTTCATAATCCTGAGTTGAAAATTCCTCATTCCACCCATAGGAACCCTATCCGACGCCGTGGTAAATTCCAACAATTTTTTCTTCTTTTCCAAATCGTATTCTTTAACCACCGACCAGAAATCTTGGATAACGCGATCCCCAGCCTCGTATCCAATATATTGAGTGCCACGTTGCATCTCGACTATGTCGATTTCTTGCACGCCCTCCACTAGAGATTGGAGGGTGTCGGAGTCGAAAATGGAAATGGACCGAGGGTCGAGACAAGCAAAAAATCCTTTCTTGAATGCCTCGAATTGAGGTTGAATAGATATGTTAGTAAGCCAATTGATATAATCACTAACATAGTTATTGCGATTTTCATTTGTGACAAGAGGAGCTTCTATCTCTCCTGGATCCTCATTACTTTCACCTATATTGATATCCGAGAACTTGGGCCATTGAGATGAGGTGCTCATTTCACGGCTCACTGGTTTTCCGAACTGAAATTGACTGAATTCATATGTTCGGCAAAAAATGTCTTCGACAGCTCCTTTACTTTCGTCCCACTCCAGTAGATCTGTTAGACCCTTAGCGAGCTCGGGCCATCCATCTGAGATATGGTGGAGTTCTGTGATGCTTTCTCCCTGTAATTTTCTATAGAACGCTTTTGGAAACGTAATCGGTAGAGTCATGCCATTGTAGACAGCTAGAGACATGATTGTTCCGATGAGCTCGAATTTCCAAAGAGGCTCTGGTGATCCTGGTTGAAACCAAGTCATTTTCGTCGTACCATCAATTGTGAAAACCCCGTAGTCAGGATTAAGAGCTTCAGTCATGGCTATGCGAAAGAACTCTTGCTGAACTCCACCCATATCGACACCTTCTTCTCCTATTTCTCCACCCAGTGATACCTTTAATGGCCGCATCAACTCACGTTCTTCTCTTCGCCAGAGCACATTGAAGGCGTCTGACAGTAGATTTTCTCGGCTGACTACAATGACCAGGAATCTTGATGTGGCTGTGTGAAGGCGTTCCCGCAGTTTACGTCGGTGGTCTTCATTGGAAATTAGCCCTTCGTGCGTGCGAACGAGGTTATACATGGATTTTGCTTCCTCATGCGACTGATTCATCCGTGAGTAATTGATGGCTCGAAAGTAATTGACCAGCGTTGACGGGTTGAATAAATATGGATAATCGAGTAAATGTACGGTACGTTTATTTGCCTGGAAAGACAACCACTCAAGCGGCATAGCAATACTATCTAGACGATCCGAAAAATATTCCGTTCGAAAATGTATGTCTCCTAGTAAAAGCGATTTTCTATTCCTGTCTGTTTGTCTGTTAGTTCAAAATCGACATATATCGAAGAGATCGTACATACATATTGTCGCAATAGTTTCTAAAGCACCGCCGAATGACCCATCGGAAGGAACTTCTGCTTTGCCGTCCCAATCTTGTAACATTACTGTTCGTGCCCAATCGAGTATCAACGTAGGAACTCTCTTCTCATGCAAATCCCGTTCTACATCAGTAAAGTTGACCACAGGCGGCTTATCCAGATCGAGGTATTTGAGACTATCAAGGATAATTTCCAAGACACCATCTTGTTCGTTCTCATCACCCCTAATATCTTGTTGGAGCTGGATTAACTGAGAAAACCTGCGTCTCGTGGAAACGGCAGAGAAGACCCGGCGAGCTAATCTTAACGCTAATTCATCTGTAAATGAATCATCATATTGAAGACATAACCTGGCTGATTCTGATGTGGATGATTCCCTTCCAGGTAACGCAATTCCATATGACCTTATACGAGACATGTTTGCCAGCTGCCTGGGATCCTTCAACAAAGGTGCCGCAGCTACGAGTGCATGAAAGCATATGCTTATTATTTGAGCGGCATCAGCTTTGGATAATGATTGATCTGAACCTGAGCTATCACTATGAGACTGCTTGGCCCACTCCAATTGCTTTGGAGGTTTGAAAAGTGTTCCAGCGGCAATCCATAGGCTGTCAAATACAATAGATGGTGCGACTCGAGTCATCCGTAACATGCAGTACCAGATAGTCTGCGTGTCAAATATCTGTCCATCTCGGCCAGTGAAAGATTTTACCAGAGAATCGGGACTACTTAGAACAGAGTACAAACTCTGATCAATGAATCGACGCCATTGGTCTTTCATTGATTTTGGATAGGCTCTTGACGACTTGATATTTCGATGTAATGGAGTTTTGTGTACTTGATGTCTCTTCAGATCATCGTCTATGTGATCAGGATGTAGTTGGTGCTTCTCGAAAGTTTTGTCATTTTCGAGAATGTCACATATCAGATTAACCACCTCAATGGGTAGTGATGAGAGGGATTGTGGTAGTTTTTCATCGGACAAACGTGGCTCGAGTTTTTGACATTCAACTGAGCTGTCTTTGGCTGCGTTATCCTCTGAATCGGATTCGAGGTCGGATTCAGGTTCCGCCGGCACAGAAGGCTTAACCGATGTACCAATCACGGGGGTTATGGGCGAAGGAGTGTCCTTCTCGGTTACATGGAGAACAGGTTTGGTTACCATGGTATGCCGCGTTGGTTTAGCCTTCGAGTGGATGTATTGATGAGACAAAGGGGGACTAGTATCAGTGTCAGTCGTCCTGGGTGAAGTTGAGAGGTTCAAAATTCCTTTAGAAATATGGGCATCATAAGAGTCTGTCCTCCTTCGAGGTCTCGAGCCTGCAACATGTGCAGGTTCATTGTGCAGTACCTTTGGACTCGATTGAATGCCAGGCTTGGTATCGGTAGGTATAGTAGGTGACGACTTTGGGCTCATCTCCCTCCGTGTACTTATGTCTGTAGCATCGGTACCAGTAGACTCTTCGTTCCTGACCCTACGGTCTGAAACACCTGGAATTTCAGCTGAAATTTCAGAAGATTTTGGCAAAAAACTTTTGTTGCTTGACAGCTCTGTCTCCACCGCACTTGAACTTTCCAATTTCTGTGCCGGTGTGCTCGCGCCATCACTTGGTGTTGACTGAGCCAGTGGTGAGGAACGCACATCTGATTCCAGGGCGGTGTCGTTCGGCTTCGCGAGTGCTTCCAGATTTCTTGGTGTCAACCATTCCACCATTTTGAAAGCTACCGTGCCAAACACATTTTGAATGAAAGATTTATGATCTGTCGTGGTATATTCCTCCAGGATGGTAGTTCTTGATTTCCTCTGAGCGGAACTGTCTTCATTACTCGCTACATTATCTCTAGGACTCCTAGTACCAGAGGGGGTTGCAGTCGAGCCGGCTCGTAAGGGATCCGATCTGAACCTCTCGTTATCTGTACTAGGCGTGCTCCTTTTCGTAGTTTCCCCTCCACTGACATGTATTTTCTTAGGCCCAGATATGCTCCTTCGTGCAGTAACTCGGACATGCTTGTTGAGTTGGATTGGTGAATCTGCCAAAGGATTGCGACAGAGACCTCGTTCGGGGTTGTCCTGGCTAGCCAAGTGAACAGCTAGAATTCTTGCGCTCGTCGAGCTATATGGTCTGATTGGACGACCTGCTGTGAGGGAAAGGCGTTTGCGACAAGTAAAACAAGTTGGGGTATGACAAATAGTGGAATCACAACCGTATCGAAGTTGGCGAATGTATCTCCAGAATATCTTAGCCTTGATTTCATTTGCGACAAAGCAGTAAGCAAACATACCTTTCTACCATTAACTGAAAGTGGTGTCGTCTGCTTGCGTTATGGATGACATGTAACTGTTTTGGATCTTCGACGTCTATTGTGAGTTTCTTCAACTCGTCCGGCGCATCGTGAGGAAGGTATGGGAAAGGAGCAGCAGCCCACAAGGCTTTGAGAATATCATCTTCGCCGCTGAAGCTTCGTTCTTCCTGAATTCTTGGTGTATCTCGAGTCATGACATTTGGGAAGAAATAAAAGAGTGTTTATGCTGGAAGGAGCTGCAGAGTATCACTGTTGAAGCAAACAGGAATACAAATAATATGGATATTTTTGGTTTACTCGTATTATTTATTGTATTCAATGTATTGTAACTTGTTGACAAATGTTGCGCGAATAACAGACCAGTACGTACCAGTTGGTCCCTTGGTAAATACCTGTAAATCTGTACCTGGTAGGTACTAAATGGCCATGTATGTAACTGTGGTAGGGGAATTAAAGGCGGCAAGAGCATTATTAATAAACTCACTTCGCACCGATATGACGCACTATCACTCATATCACTACTCAATTTTGTCGCATTTAAGTTTTCTACCTATGGAGATACTGAGGAAAGAAAAGATAAAGAAAGGATTAACCCCACCAACGAGATATCGTGGAAAAATCAAACTCTTTCTTTTCATCTACCCAGGTACTATTACACACTTTTACAGCAGGACTCCTGTTTGTGACTGAAAAACAGCTGGAGGTTAGGGCTACACCTAAAAACGGATCTTTTATACTTTGACTCACAATCTTTCTACAGATAAAGTACCCAAGTACTGTCCATGTCCAGGGCTTTTGCCGGGAACCCCGAAAATCAAAGACCCGAAAATTAGACAAGCGGGGTGGAAATTATTCTACGCCTTATCAGTCATTTACCTTCTCTCATTATAAGAAGCAAGATCTTACAACTTCTTGCCTCCGAATTTCATCTCAAATATTTTTGGGTTTGTTTACCGTTTGAAAGTAGACATGGCTTCTATTACGGCCAGCAGAACTCCTGCCTCTGGTCTTTCTGGCCAAGCAGACACTAATACTTCCCATCCTTATACTTGCAACACTTGTCAAGTGGCGTTCAGAAACAGCGATTTACAGCGAGGACATATGCGCAGTGATTGGCAGTACGTTTGTTCACTTCTTTTTGACTTCATATATTGACAATCTTTACAGTCGGTACAACTTGAAGCGCCGTGTTACATCTTTACCACCCATTTCTTCCGAAGTTTTCACCGAGAAGGTCTTACAGGCACAAGCTTCTTCCACAGCCGCAGCTTCGAAGGCCGCGTACGAAAAGTCTTGCACGGTCTGTACTAAAACATATTTCAGTGAAAATGCCTACCAAAATCATCTTAGTAGTCAAAAACACAAGGCAAAGGCGATGGCTGTTGATGGACACATGGACGACGCAAGTTCCGTAATGAGCTCAACATTTTCATTGGGGGAACCTATGAAGACAAATGGAGCAGCAGATGAAGATACGAATGCGCAAGTCGAAGAAGTTTCTAAGGGTATCAAGAAGACCACCCTCGATGATGCTGAAGATTCTGCAACCACACCTACTGAGGATGACGTTTTGGAGGATGACGATAATGCCCTTGTTGAGGTTTCTACGAGTCGATGCTTGTTCTGTAACGAGGATTCAGCCGATACATCTGCTAATGCTGCACATATGGAACGTACACACGGAATGTTCATCCCGGAGAAGGAATATCTGGTTGATCTTGAAGGTTTAATCGCTTTTCTTCACGAGAAGATTTATGAAGATCATGAATGTTTAGGCTGTGGCAAACTCAAGCAATCAATTTTTGGACTTCAGACCCACATGAGAGACAAACGCCATTGCAGAATCCGTTACGCTACCGAGGAAGAACAAATTGAGATTGGCGAATATTACGACTTTCGAAGCACATACTCTGATGAGGATGAATCGGATTCAGAAGATGCATTACCAGGAAAGCAAAAGAGCGGAGGCGTTAAACTTGGAGCTAAACGCCCAACTACAATTGATGCTGAAGGAGACGAAGAAATGGAAAACGGTGATGGATGGGAAACCGATAGCTCTGAATCTTCCTTGGATTCCGCAGATCTTACCGCAGTACCACTTGACGAAAGAACTCACCAATATGAGAAACTTCATCAACATCCTCATCATTCTCATACAGATCCTCGATCACATCACAGCAAGGACGGATGGCACTCACATGCTCATAAACACAATCATGCTGCATTTTACTCTGATTACGAGCTTCACCTACCTTCTGGCCGTACTGCTGGACATCGGTCATTACAAAAATATTACCGTCAAAATTTGGTCAATCATCCATCACCAGAGGAGAGACAACGACGTGCAATTGAGGCTGCTGAAAATTCCGATTCTGAAGTAGAGCAAGACGAACGTGTTGTTCGTCGCAATGAGAGAGAACGTGGAAGAGCTCTTATGAGTCGTGCAAATGGAGGCCTTGGCATGGCTGGCGTCACCGCTGAGAAGAGAAAAGAAGTCCAGGCAGCGGAGAAAAGGTCCAGAAAGGTGGAGACCAATGAGCGACGTAAATTTGAATGGAGAAACAATAAGCAGAACAACTCACAAAAACACTTCAGAGTAAGTTGTCATCAACCAAACTTTGTAAAAATGACTCCACTAACAACACGGTATAGGATCCATTGTTGCAATGATTTCTCCGTTGGGTTTTCTGCATTTCTGTTGGTGGGATATTCTCGGTTTACCAAAGACTCTTTAGATATCCATATCTCACGATTTTTCATGAGCATCATCGGTCGGTGGGCAAGAGTGGCATTCATTTTGGCGTTTTAAAGGAATTGTTATGATTGATGTTCTTATATGAGTATATAGTCAACAGTACAAAATTTATTGTTGTTGAAATGTTTGTCTTGTTATTCAATGTTGATGCTGTGCTTCCAACGAAACTAAATGAGCAAATGTAGCCAACCAAATCATACATTTAGATACCCAATTACCATGAATGTCCATCTTTCTATTGGATAACAGATCTCGTGGGTTATTCCAAAGATTTATCCAGCTTTTGTCTAACATCAGCATCAAATGGTAATATGGCGTTGTATTGATCTTATTTTGAAACTAATATCGTATATCCTCAGTATTATATCAATATCCCGAGTTTCTTTTCTTTCCTTCCCTTCTCTTTACATCTCCTTCCCTTTTCCTACATACTTTTTATTTCTCTTCTGATCCCTTTTGCGGAGCAGACCACCGAAGCATTAAACTATCGGGATCCGGAATGGGTCATCGAATAATCCCTGTTAGCGAAATATTCTCTAATCCCCAAGAAGGAACAAATTCAGAGCTGCAAACCCCTTTAGATTCCATTTCCACTGCTCCTTCTCTGACCGTTACAATCTTTACCTTCACCTCTTTTTCTATTTTTCTACTTTATTCGCGGGAGTATTTGTTATTTTGGGACTTATCATTCAAGAATTACTCCAAGTCAAGCAGGACAAAGAGAAAACCTTTGGGATAATCAGAAACCATATATGTACCAATACGATTGTGAATTCCTCCTGTATGCAAGTATAGCGCGCAACGACTGTCGATATGGCCGAACAAATGGGTACCCCTAATTCCAGTGCTGACCTTTCAGTAAATGGAGGCAAGAATTCTGCACCAAAAGATAAGAATTGTCCGTTCTGTCATCAAGCATTTACCTCATCCTCACTTGGTCGCCATCTCGATCTTTACATAAAGGAGAAGAATCCCAAAGCGGCAGATGGTATACATAGTGTGGATGAGATAAGGAAGCTCCGTGGAGGTATTACCAGGCGGCAGCCACGCAATTCTACATCGAGAAGGGAAGATTCGACACCTGCAGGGACACCTGGTGGGTCGGAAAGGAGAAGTCCTAATAATGATTCAGATATGGCAGGGAGTGACTCTCCAAGCTTAAGAAGAGATGATGGAGCGGCTCTGAATATGATGTGTATTTCAAGGGGGGTACCAACCCAGATGAGCAATCGAAGAACCAACTTTGTTGTAAATGGCGGTACGTGGGAGTCAACGGGTGTCATGAATCACATACCTCAAGCACGAAACGGCGAACCTGCTCGAAGTTGGGATGGAGATGAGTCCAGAGATGGAACTAGAAGATTAGATGGCAGGAATAGGTCTGTCAGCAAACAAATGCTTGCGAAAACGACATTTGAACAGAAACAAAAGATGATGGAAGCTTTGGATAATGCAAAAGCGGCAGAATTAGCTTTGAGGGAACTTTTGGGGAGCTTCAGAGCGGCCAAGTAAGTCACCACCAACCACAAAACCTGGGTCAAGATCTAACTTAGCATCTTACAGACAACGAATCGAAGGGCCGAACATTTTTGATTATGATCCTTTTAGCTTGGATTTCCCGGCTCTTACCCTCCATTGTCTGCCACCGCCACCGACCCTCTACGCGTCCACTCCTATTCCAAATTCTTCATCGTGGTCTATCCTTCCACCGGATGAATTACAATATCAAGCATTGCGGAAGCACTTCTCCTCGGAGTTCCACCGCTACCGCATCTCAATATCCATCGCTACAACAGCTCCACAAGACGATCTATCATATCCTCCGCAAGAGAGTTTCAATCTCGAGAACCTTGCTGCACTACATCAGCAAGCGGAAGTAGATGCTCAAAGCATGGAGGCTAGGATTTCCGAGCACTTACATTCAATGTTTGGACACTGGAACTCATTACCCCCGAATACAAGGACTGAACTTTGGACTCTCGAATTAGCTCGTAATATTGGTCGGAAGTCTGAAGAAATATCCAAGTTGAAGAAGGAAAGGGAACTCTTACAACAGGAAACCGCCCACTCAAAATTACAAGTTGAGGAATTGAGTCGGTTACAACAACCTAGAGAGTTCAGGATACAACCACCTTCACCAATACCTATTGATTCACGTCTTATGGCCGAAATTGGGAAAAACGGAGCGAACTTTAAAGCCGTTGGTTTTCAACTCATGGATCGAAGTTTGCATATTGATACAGCTGTAGAACGAGCAATTGGTCGCTGGAAAGGTGTTGTTAAGCAAGCTCGAGGTGGATCTGGACAGTCCGGGTCTGCTGGCATGGCTGCACAAAAGCCACTTGAGAGTAACGTCAACGAAGGATTGCCTCCCTCGAATCCACCACAGCTTAACTCGACAGTAACAAGTCAACCGTTACAAGAGGATACGCAGGATATTGGAAGCGACCAGGATGCAGATGGGGATGCAGATATGGAAGAAGATGATACATTCGTCGATATGACCGATGTTAATGCTGCTGTTCAACGTGCACCTGAAGCACCAATGTCCAACACAACAAATTTCCGGTTGGCAAATGGAGGAATTAATATGCAGGGTGTTAATGCTGGTGGTAATGCAAGAGGGAATGTAATGGAGGGTATTGAGAATCAAACCCACGTGCAGGGATATGTGAGAATTGGAGCCTGATGAATGAACACATGCATACATAGGGCAAAAGTTGACAAGATTCACCGACTTGTCAGCCAAGCCCAATCTCTAACTCAAATCGAAGTCGAAAAATAATCTGTTACAGCGTCGTCATACAGAAGCGAATAGGAAAGGGGAGTTTTTATGCAAGCATTTACAAGGAGTTTTTTATTCATCACTTGTTCACGGCCAGCGAAAAGTTTTCACTGTATCTTACGCGCTAGAGAAAGTGAATATTTTATTTGAATTGAATCTTATCTTAATCTCAAGGAGACAGAACTGAGGAAATGAATATTTGGAAAATGGGATATCGTATCCTACCTATTTAAAGAGAATTAAGTGATAGAAATCCGGGGGAAGACGTAGGGAAAATGGGACGGACGGGCGTTAGAGAGGGGGAAGACGGATGGTTTCTTGTTCGTCATCTGTGTATATTATATTTTAGGTAATTATATATAAATATGCCATATGGTTTTAAGAATTTTTGCTGTTGTTTAATCATGTATTGTATTGTATAGTGTGATGGATATGGATGGGTGTTGTGTATGGAGGATGTGTATAGGGGATGTGGTGGGTGCGAATATAATGTGCAAGTGCATAATTACTTATATCTATCCATATGCATAAATGAATGTAGGTATATACCTAGCATTCATTACCAACAGATATATACCAAGCAAGGACGCGTCTTATATTTCTAGATCGTGTAGCTGAGCTTTAGAATTTTAAATATCTTGTTTGTATGGAGATGAATTTCTTTACTTGTGTTGAATTCGTTGTTGAATTGTTGAATATGAAGTTATAAGATCTTATTTTATATATTGTTTTTCTTAGTCTTTTTTTAATTTGGTTGTTTATAAAGTAATAGCTAAATAGATTCATTAATAAGGTTTTTATATTTTCTACAATTAATGACTCGAGTTATGATTTTAATATATTCAAGCGCGTCTATTATTGAGATTATGTTTTGTGTACTTCATATCTATTTATAAACTTATATATGTTTCTTCCCGTCTCTCTTTGTCATATCCCTCCCATCGCATTTTAATTTCTTGTTATTCCGCTAGCCCTACGAATATCAGACACCACTACGTCAAGCCAAGAATCCAAGTAAGATTCCAAGGATCTTCCAAGATTTTTATCATTGGTTATTTTTGGGGGGGATTTAAAGATCTGCTCAAATACTCCAATAAATAGCTACTACTCCCTGAACTCTAAGAACAACTGTTGGAATTAATCACCAAATATTGCTTATGATGACATGTTCAGTCGCTCATCAGCACGTGTCTGGTTGTATACCTAGAGAAATGTCTGACTACTGCACTGGTGGACTTGGAATAGAGTAGAGTAAAGGTGTTTAGCTTGTTAATTGAGTTGTTTATCTCTAGTATAAGGGCTATTTTGATATAGTTTTGTTTATCGTATTATTATTCATTTATTATAATATAATAACGAATAATATTAAACTTTAATATGAAAAAAATAATCTATAAAATCAATTAATTATATAATATTAATATTAATCTCTTTTTGTTTTTTATTACTCTTCTAAGAGATAAATAATCTTTTTTTTATGAGAAATAATTTTAAAAATAAAGAAATTTTATTTTATTATATCTATTTTATAATAACTTCAAAAGACACAATAAAAATAATCTCTCTTTCAAATTTTCACTTCACCCTCCTGAAATAAGATTTGATTTTTTTGAATTAGGAAGGGCTAAGGGATAACTAGATTCTTGACAAGCTAAAAACGCCTCTAATGACATGTTATCCGTGTATGTGTGGTTTTTCTTGGCGTAAGGCTGTACAAAGGATGACGGGAAGCGGGGCGGAGTTCCTTTTTTTGTATGTATATACGAGTACGTGAAAGAAATATTTATACTCGTGCGGCCAGTACCGTATAAAGTAATCCGGTCAAGTCCAAACCCTTTTTGGGAATAAGGTCATTTCCTATTTCCTATTCCCGAATAGAATAATTTGTAAAGTGAATTGAAAACTTCAATTGATCAATCTACTTCTTAATCCATTTAATTAATCCATTCAATTATCTATTCAGAACCTTATTCCTAAAAGGGTTTAGACTTGAACACTTCTATTTTTATATATCTTATTCTCTTTTGAGAAAGTGATAAGTGATCAAATATACATATATATCTAACGTCTATCTCCCATTCACGATCCATACATCTCGAACTCTCTCCTCAAATATCTTTCAAACAATAAATTATAATCCGGCCGTGAAAATGAATAGTATCGATGTTACCACGGGAATGAATAAAAATCCGGAAGATAGACGCCCCTCAACGCACATCGCGCATTACAATGCTCCATCACATAATCCTACCGCTGCCCCTCACAAAGAACGACGTCCTTCTACTCACACGGCACATTACAATACTCCATTAGCCGATTCCAATCCTTATCCTCTTCATGACACAAATCCAAATCCACATCTAGAAATGTATCCCGATTCTCAACCTCCTTCCTACAATCCCAATCCCGATCCTAATCCCACCACATATGGAAAATCGCACCCTCAGAATCAAACTCCTCCGCAGTTTCAAAATCATCCTGAGCCGCAGTCACAGTCGCAGTGGCAGAATCAAACTCAGAATAGACCGGGAAACAAATATGAAAATCAACATCCGACTCCGTTGACTACGCTCCAGAAAGAACCGAGATTGGTGCATTGTCCCAGGTGTGGCGTAATGGAATACACGCAGGTGGAATGGGTTAGTGGAGGGACTACTGAGTGAGTTTTGGTTTTTCTTTCTTTTCTTTTCTTTTCTTTTTCTATCTATCTATCTCTCTTCGAAGAGGTACCCGTGACGGGGTAGTGGGAAAGGAAGAAAGTGGGGATAAGAATAAAACTAATCCAAATCCAAATCCATAGTATCTCAGCACTCCTCTGCTGTTTCTGTTTTTGTCTTCCGTGCGTTCCGTATCTTATGACGAGTTTTAAGGATGTTCATCATAAGTGTGGAAATTGTGGACTAGTGCTTGCTATTGTGAGTTTCTTCCTTTCTTTTCTTCTCCGAAGGGTGGAATTCAATGGTTTTTTTGAGATTTGAGATGGGTGCTTGAGTTTGAGCGTAATGTGATGTATGTAATGTGATGAATACAAGCTAATGCAATATTTTCCGGTTGGTAGTGGAAAAGAAGTGGAAGGACGGAGGTTACTGCTGCTGCTAGTGCGACGGCTGCTTCTGGTGGTGTTGGGGGCGTTGGGGGCGTTGGGGGTGCTGCGCAGAATTAAATGAAGAGATTTTATGGCGATAGGATGGTTATTTGGAGTTTGTTTTTGAGCTCTGACGGGAGCGGAAAGTTTACAGGTTCACAGGTTTATAGGTTGAGTGCGGTAGATACTGCTCAATTTATACCCAACTATGATTAATGGAGTAATTGAATCATCTACTTTCTCAGATTGCTTACTGCATAGATGGTATATAAACATAAAACAAATCCTTCGGCGGATCTGATTTAGTCAAGCTTAGGTCGTGCTGGAATTTTATGTTCGGGTATTAGGGGCCCTACTGACGTTCGAGGATTACCATTTGTTGTAGTTCTTAATGAGTCTGGTCTAAACTGGCCATGGGTGCGTTGTGTTGGAGAAGAGTCGATGTTTTCTAATATTCGAAAAGTAATTGTCACATTTATTGTCGTTTCATCCTGAGAATTCACAATTGTTTTCCCCCTCGTATTGCAATTGGTTCTATCTCAGAATTTAGATAATTTCTGTTAATATACTTGCTGCGATGCTATATCTAATGATCTTTTGAATATCATTCCTTTGAGATCAAACATATCATTTGTTAGATGTTTGTTAGTTTTTATTATATCTTGAAGAGATGTAATTTATATAAAATGGAAATTAGTAAATCCACTAATTTTAGTGAATGAATGTATTGGAATAGATTTCATTGTTCTCTATTAATCGGTAGTGGAATGTGATGCAGAAATAACTGTATGATTGTATTGGGTTTGGTGAATTGCTTGCCCCTCAATAAACTTAATCGAAGGCTCAATCCATCCAACATCCAATTTCTATCGCTCAAAATTCAATACCCGTCTATAAATACACCACCATATCATTCTCAATTTCGAGAAGGTAGGAAATTATTTTCGCCTAGTTTCTGCTCTGGTAGGGGTTTGTGATACAAGCGATGGAGATTTATTCATCCTCCAACCCTTTTCGAATCATTCTGTATTCTACTCTGAAGTCTTCATCTCATCTAGCACGTTTTTAATACTTATAAAATATAGTTTCTTTGCCGATAAAACTTCACTATTATCGTATCGACATCGTTATATTTATTATCATTATCACTTCATATTATGTTAGGATGATGGTGTTCGGTAGACGAACTTTTGCTCTTAGAAACTATCATCGTCATCAATTGAATATATGATGGCTATATTATTAATTGTTGAAATGTTTATACGGCTCTTGAGTAACACAGAGTCATATAATGAGAAGATTAGATGACAACATTACGCACAGAAAAGATTTATAAGGGAAGCTGCTGTCTATTTGTAGCCGTAAGATGCAGTTTAAGCGAGACTTTCGACGAGGCGGGTTAATACACAGTTGCTTCAATACCAAATGACATTAATTCACTTTGAATATACTCATAGTTTTGTGTTCTTTGAACTTGGAAGTTTAAAACGATGTATATGCCGATGCGTATGCATTAGGAACAACTTCATTCCTCAGCTAGCCTTGCGGATTTTAACCTACTTTTCTATTTATTTTGATCCATCTAGAACACTTTTCATGCTCGCTTTTAGACATGATAATAAGGTTGTCCAATCTTTAGATTAGACACCTATTTCCTTGTAGAGTCTTAAAGGTAGGATTGAGACATACTCGCTGTTGGAAGTGGCTCACTTATCCACCAATACCTTTAGTGCTGAAATCTTAATTCAATTATTCTATTCTAGAAAGTTCTGTTCATGAATAGCATACGTTATGCTTCTGGCATTCACTACACAATTGAAGGACGTGCCTGCCAATTCAACCTATTACTATTCAACTGATCCCCGAAACATCCTCAATTCTCAGAATCTTTAATATTTACTTGAAAGATCAATGTTAGACATCAACATTGGTGCTGATACTATTATGATGTGCAAGCTTATGTTGCTCTGAAAGCCATGTGAGCTCAGTGCCGCATCTGTAGCAAAGAAATGACGTGGATTTTAGGGTTTCTCGAGCTACTTCAGTACTTTGCTCCCATCTCATTTACGTCAAACATAATACACGATAGTTTATTGCTGCCGTTGAGTCCAGTATGCATCTCGTCCGGCAAACATCGAAGGATACTTCTTAATCCGGTACATAAGTTCAGAAGACCTTCCTCTAGCTACTTTCAAGTAACTGTGCTGGACTTTCCACGGAAGTTATCAACAGGTTTTCTATATTCTTTCTTGTAAGGTGCTTTCTTCGATAGATAGAAGAAGCTTCATTAACTTCTTCTAGTAGTGACTTTAAAAGCCAGGGTTTCAATTCCTGTTGCCTTCTGAGTTCATGCTCTAAGGACACAATCACAGAAAAGTATTCTTTTCTTGATTTTACGTATGCACTTCATACTTTCATGAACTTGGAGTATCCAATCTCTAATTCAATCCGCCTCCTCAACCCTTTATATCTATTTATCCTTCAACATAATTATTTTGTCCGCCAGACGCTCAACAATAGACCCTCTTCCGAACTAAATGTTTATATAAAACACATCTGAATCACCAGTATAAAGTACAATAGTAGTATTGAAATCTAGACAAAGATCCACGTGTATGTCCATCTATTTTTATCTTGACTTTTTATTTTAGAAAGATGAATTGAAGATATAAAAGTTCTCAATCGCGCGCCTCTATAGAAGATTAATGTAGAATATAAACAATAAACAATAAATAATAAATAATAACTACACAACACTCTAATTACTTCAAACATGACTTCAAATATAACTTCTAACACGATGAAACTTTTCATCAAGTAAAGCTTAAGACATATATAAAGAATATATAAAAACGAAATACACTTGATAAAAAATCAAGATAATAAATAATATTAATTAATATAATAAAAGATTTTACAAGATCTGAACTTCTAATAAAGTAATAAAGTTATTTATATAATAAGATTTTTCATTAGATAAATTAATATTTAAAATAAATAATTGATTTTAAATACTCAAGTAGATTATAAAAAATATGTGTTTTAGAGTTATTTATTTATTTATCTATTTATATTAATAAAAACCTAAATAATCAATCAATCATCATATTAAATATCGATATCAATTAAATAATCTCAAATCCCCATCTACTCAAATAATCTCAAATCCCCATCTACTCATATTGAAGTTAAAATACCTAGCTATCAACCTACCCACCTAGTAACGAAGTACCTACCAAACCAATATACAATACATTACATTTCATTCCTTCCGCATATAATTATGCACTCAACCAACTAAACGCACTGATTTAATAAGGCTTGCATGTGCAGCTCTGCTTTGTACTTATCATACGTGCGCAGATTGCTTGCATATACATATGTTTCCGATGATGCTGCAAAGCTCTGATGCGGGTGGCAAATACACTTACTTACTAGTACTGTACGGAGTACAAGCTTAGCTACCTACCCCGTAAGATAGGATCGTCATCGAAGGAAGGCTGGGTGGGTGGGTCAATGGTAAAACGCAAAATGCTAAAAACTCTTTGAAGAGATAGATATGTAGATAGATATAAGGTTAGTGATTTTGAGATTGAGATTGAGATTGAGATATTAGAGTAATAAAGATAAACTAATAATCTATTAGAGTTTTTATTTCCTGTGAGTATGATAAGATTAACTTTTATATTTTGAAATCCATCTTCTCGGTATTTAAGTTTTCCGATGTGATGAAGATGGAGATATATTATACTATACTATATGATACTTGTTTAGCGGCGAGTCCTGTTTTGAGGAGGTCCCGAATCCGAAAGGGATTTATATATTTGATTTTTTTACTCTGATGTGATGGTTTTTATGGGGTATTTTGGGTTTTGGGTTTTGGGTTTTGGGTTTTGGGTTTGGTCTGGTCTGTGGGAACTGTGGCGAATACTCCGGATTGTGTATGGATGCATGCTTGGTATCGTATCTAAAGCGGGTAGAACCTAGGCGGGCCGTGTTTGTATCGAGTGTGTTTGTATGTACTGTAGAACTAATTTCAACTCCGATGCTTGGATCAGTGGATAGATTTGTGGTAGAGGATTTGATTTGATATATTCATTGAGATTTATCTAGATAGCAGGTATTATCCGTGAATGTAGGTAGGTAGTGGTATATGGAATGATAGGGAAGTTTCCCTCCTATCTCCAAGTTTCAAAATGTCGGATAAAATGCTCCGTAGCGGTAATATGTATATATACCTACCTACCTACCTACGTTAGAATGTTTGTCATCATACGAACACGAATCGTCTCCATGGAAGCATTTGTCACTTGCGACATCTACTGTTATACTTTTATCCCCCGGAGATATCTAAATGTGATGATGTAGTGCATTCTTGGATCTCCCCGGAACCTTGACCACGGTGTTGTAGGCTGGTAGTTAGCACACAGCACCTAGGTATATGAGGTTGATATTTTCTGAGGCTGTGTTAAACTTTAGATTGAAGTATTCCGACTGGTCTAATTATGAATGCTACATAGGTCGGTACGGATAAATGCCTTATATCATCATCTAGGTACGGGGAGTATTGATTTTACTTTGATATCAAAAGGTCGAATGAAACATCACGGCTGATAAGATAGGGTGGATCATAAGTGGCTGGATTTATTCGATCACCATTTGATGGATGGATGTACACTGTAGGTAGGTGGGTGCATCCATGCTTATGATAAAAACTCAGTCGTACGATAACTTTTTGATCGACAAAGGGACTTTCTCCATACTCCGGACTGAAGAAGCAATCCAAATTTGAAACAATGTACCTCAAGTGGGGCCGTCGAGGATCTGTATGCTATAATTATCAAATATTCCCGGCGATTCTCCAGTTTTGAACTGCAGAGCGGAGGAAAGATTTCCATAAGAGAGATGTCTGATATACGAGTTTTTAGGAGGGAGCAGATATCTAGCACAATATGATTAGATATCAAGTCTGCACGAGAGTATGAAAGGAGACGTACCTAGAATGGCTTGGTATGACTTAGTAATATTACTAAGTATATTACTCCCCTGTGCAAGTTGGTAGAACCACAATTTTGCTCTGACTTCTTTTCCTTAGGAACGGAATGCAGCTACCTATGCTTTTCACCAAGACTACTAGGTCCTAGGTAGTACATACTTCGCTATATGAGTACTGTACACTTTCTGTCGTTCAAGGCGGAATTGAATTTATGGATTCATGTCTAGGGCAATCGCTGATCTTTGTAGATCATACACGGCATTGGGAACGAATGCTGAATGCTTGGAACTACCCTATTCCTCAGAGCAGGGATATCAGCCACCTGGAGATGGCTTACAATTTTTACCTTCTAGTCCAACTGTGGCTTTCGAGTTTACTTGCTCTGTACTCGAACGGCACAACACATCATGGACTGCCCAAGATACAAAAAGTATATGTCTTGTTCCTTGTTACATTGTAGTTCTAGCTTTATTTGAGACCAAGATTCATTCCCTGAGTTACCAAGGACAAAGTACTACATGTCAACCAGCTGGGTAGAGAACAGACAATTGAAGCTCTACGGAATACTCGAATGAAAAGTGGCAATACGAGTAGAATATATACGTACTCATATATGTATGTATGTACCTACAGCAGCTACAAAAAAGTGGACTTGTCTCCGCCTGTAGATAAACAATAAATGGGAGAACTTGGGGGGAAAATAGATTCCAAGGCAAAGGAAGGATAAGGGTTTTCATGTTTTCAATGTTTTCAATGTTTCCATAAATTATACCAATTAAAATGATGGGTTTCCCGAGGTGGCCCCTCCGTAAATCCCATAAAAAATGATTAAATTCCATCTTATCTAATATCTAATACGCAAAAACCCACATAATTCATCTCATTCGCCACTTCCGGTCTCGCCCAACCCAACCACAAATTGCTACGATCAAGTGAACCAACCACTGACCACTGACCACTGACCCACTGACCCACTGACCCACTGATCTCTGACCTCTGGACTCTGTATGTACATACATACCGAGCAAGTAGGTAAGTGGATCGTTCCCTTCGTTCACTAGGCGAATATTCCATTATTCGATTATTCAAACATTCAAACACTCACAACTTCAATTTCAACCTTCAATCAAACTTGCGCTGACCTGACATGAGGAGGAACGAGTGACGATTTTCACCTACATTCAGAATTCAGAATTCAGAATTCAGAATCAACTTCAGGATAGTCCCATCCTCTCCAAAAACGTAAATCCCCCTCAATCAATACAAACCCTCCATCATTCCTCAATTTCGCTCTCTATCGATATCGAGATTGTTTACTTTGTCAATACCACGATCTTCTGACTTCCAGCAAGAACACTCTATTTCAACTACCCTCATTCACTTTGCTTCACAAATTTATCTGGCTTCAAACTGGGAACGAATCAAGCGGGCAGCTATTCTTTATGTTGTAGGAAAAGCTTACATCTTGCAAACGATCGTGCGAACATCTCTCGATGCATATACGGACAAGACGAAGATAAATACATGAGGGTGTGAAAGGCTGGTTACGAACAAACACTCTTTCTACTAGAATAGATAGAAATAGCTTGTACGGAAAACTTTGGGCACGAACTGGTCACCCCAATAGAGGCGGACACTGTCAAGGTCAAAGAACTCCTTGCAATGCTGCCGGATCCTGTCGACAATGCCCAATTACCAAAGGACGTCAATATTCCATCAATGGGAGATATTTCCCGGTCCTCATCTCGGGCGCGAAATAAAGGTGGCACCACACCAATCCCCGTTTCCCCAACCTCAAAACCACGATTATGGGCATCCGACATCCCCAAGGGCTATTCAGCTTCATCTGCCCAAGGAGTATCATCGTGGAGCGCCAACTCAGACAAGCAACTGGGTAGCCCAGCAACATCTACTAACGATAGAGTATTTCCAATCAGAAGTGTCGTGAGTGTCGATACTACACAGACACCTTATACGTTTTCAGCTAGAGGCTCCGCTGCTAGTGAAATGAATGACTACTTTCCACGTCCTTCGAGTGTGACAAGTAAAGATGGAGGTAGGAGAAGTGTTACAGATTCGGATGGAAAGACAACCCCTCGCCAAAGAAGTCAGACGGAATCTGGCCCAGACCCGAGGAGAGCAGATCGCAAGTCCTCTACTTCCACAAGTCGCAGTGATCACAGAGGCAGTCGTTTGCAACAATTTCTCGACAATACATCTGATAGATCTGCTACTACACATGCTTCAAGCGCCCGAGGTACAGGAGATCTATCATCGATGGGGAATATGTCGGCTGGCGAAGATGATGGGGTTGGCGGGCTAGTAACCGCCAGATTCAAGCATATTGTGACTTCGGAAGGGCATGCCATCATTACTGGACGTGATGGAGATGTCTTGCAAACATGCGAGGATGAACCGATTCACATCCCTGGAGCTGTTCAAGGTTTTGGTTTACTAATCGCATTATCAGAACACGACGATGACCAGCTTTTGGTTCGTATTGTCAGTGAAAATTCTCAGCGCCTGATTGGATATACTCCCCAAGAGCTTTTTCGATTAAATAGCTTCCTGGACATTTTGAGCGAGGAACAGCAAGTGAGTCATTTAGGCGAACCCATTTTGAGAGCTTTTTACTTACCATGCTAGGAAAACCTTCTTGATCACATTGACTTTATTCGCGATGATGATGCCGATCCTGCATCAAATGGCCCAGAAGTTTTCACCGTCTCGATTCGGCATCCCAAAACTCGTAAATCTAGGAAACTATGGGTTGCTATGCACATAAACCCTGTTGACCCCGAAATGATCATTTGCGAGTTTGAGCTTGACGATGATCAACTGTACCCTCTCGTTCCCGAACAGGAGGAGACGCCAGAACCCCCAGAGGACACGCTCAACAGTAATCCAACAAAAGAGGAATTTGATGAGAGCACGATTAATACAAGCAAACCACTTCGGGTACTGAGGAATGCTCGCAAGCGTAAAGGCGAAGCCGCAGCTATGGAGGTCTTTAATATCATGTCTCAGGTGCAAGAACAGCTCGCCACAGCGCCAAATTTAGAGCTCTTTCTAAAAATTCTTGTAGGCGTGGTTAAAGAATTGACGGGTTTCCACCGAGTAATGATTTATCAATTTGATGCTTCGTATAATGGCCGGGTGGTTACAGAGCTTGTTGACCCCCGAGCGACCAAGGACTTTTATAAAGGACTCAATTTCCCGGCGTCAGATATCCCTAAGCAAGCTCGAGAATTATACAAAGTCAACAAAGTCCGACTTCTTTATGATAGAGATTTAGAAACGGCACGACTCGTTTGCCGTGGCATCGAGGAGCTTGAAAAACCTCTTGATCTGTCATATGCTTATCTTGTAAGTTCTTTACCACCAGACCTGAGTAGTCTTAAACCAGACATCCTCCAATCCCTACTAATATCTCATAGCGAGCGATGTCACCTATCCACATCAAATATCTCAGGAATATGGCAGTTCGATCGTCAATGTCTATTTCTATAAATGCTTTCGGCGAATTGTGGGGCTTGATCGCTTGCCACACATACGGTGTGAAAGGAATGCGAGTGTCTTTTCCTATTCGAAAGATGTGCCGGCTCGTCGGTGACACTGCATCAAGGAATATTGAGAGATTATCATACGCTTCACGACTCCAAGCTCGCAAGCTTATCAACACTGCACCAACAGAAGCTAATCCTTCTGGTTACATTATAGCATCATCTGACGACCTCTTGAAATTGTTCGATGCTGACTTTGGACTTCTCTCGATTCAAGGAGAGACGAAAATATTGGGCAAGGTCGACCAATCCCACGAGGCACTTGCCATGCTGGAATATATGCGCATGCGCAAGCTAAAAACTGTGATGACCTCGCAAGATGTCAAACAAGACTTTCCTGATCTTAGATACGCCCCAGGATTCAACGTTATTGCAGGTTTACTTTTGGTGCCATTGAGCTCAGAAGGGGATGACTTTATTGTCTTTTTCCGGTCTGGACAAATAAGAAACGTCAAATGGGCTGGTAATCCGTATGAAAAATTTATCAAGGAAGGTACTGAGGGATATTTGGAGCCCAGGAAAAGCTTCAAGACATGGAATGAAACTGTAGTTGGGAAATGCCGTGAATGGACGGAGGAACAGGTCGAGACCGCTGCTGTGCTCTGTCTTGTTTATGGAAAGTTTATCGAAGTATGTTCAATCCTTGTCACTGAGTTATCTTAGTTTTACTGACATCAAAATCTAGGTCTGGCGTCAAAAGGAAGCTGCATTGCAGAGCAGTCAGCTTACACGACTACTATTAGCAAATTCAGCCCATGAAGTCAGAACTCCCTTGAACGCCATCATAAATTACCTCGAGATTGCCCTCGAGGGTGCATTAGACCAAGAGACAAGAGAAAACCTAGCCAAATCACACTCTGCTTCTAAGTCATTAATTTATGTCATCAACGATTTGCTGGATTTGACAAAAACCGAGGAGGGCAAGGATTTGATCAAAGACGAAATTTTCGATCTTCCTGCCGCAATACGAGAGGCTACTGACTTGTTCAATGGCGATGTTAAGCGTAAGCGTATTGAATATGCCGTAGTTGAGCATCCTGGTGTTCCACAATTCGTGCATGGCGACCAAAGACGTGTCAGACAAGCAGTTGCTAATATCACAGCAAATGCTATTCAGCATACGTCAAACGGTTTTGTTCGCGTTGATATCTGGTTACAAGAAATAACAGATAACAAAGTGAACATTGAGATTGTGGTGGAAGACTCTGGTGCTGGCATGTCGAACCAAAAACTTGATACGCTTTTTCGAGATCTCGAGCAAGTTGATGGTGATCCTTTGTGTGATGATGTAGAGGGGAATGAAAAAGCCCTCGTCGATGGTAAGCGTACCATTGGTCTAGGTCTGGCAATGGTAGCTAGAATTGTCAGGAACATGGACGGTCAACTGCGATTGAAGTCGGAGGTGGGCAAAGGATCGCGATTTGTCATTCAATTACCTTTTTGGCTTCCTGATCTACAGAATTCTGGAAATCAGGAGAAGGCTGCATTCTTAAATACGGCATCTATCTCGCCCCCGATTGCGTCGCCACCTCCCGTAGGTACTGGTGAGGTGACTCTTGTTGAAAAAGCAAGCTCCGTCAGACCAAGTATCGATTCTTCAATCGTCCGCAGGCGAAGCGTAGAAGAGATTGCTAGTTTGCATAGCTTTAAAAGTAATAACAGCAGCAAAGCTAGCGCGAGAAGCGACGTGGATCGATTAATTGATGCTATCTCTGGCCCGATTGGCAATGGATCGGGGGAGCCTTTGCAACATGTTAGTAGCAGAGACCGACATAGTATTAACAGTGCACCTATGCCTTCAAGTTCGGGTCGACCTGAAGCTCTGAGGCGCTCGACGTCTTACCAAGCCCCTGATGATTTTAGATTACAGGACGCCCGTACCCCGGGAGCCGAGAGTATATGCGATAGCAGAACACCTATAAGAGCTGTTAGGATGCCGGATGAATTCTCGGAAAATACAAACGACATAAGTGCTTCTCTAGTTGCAGCAAAGGTGAAATTTAACCTCCAAACACCATCTTCACAAAACAAATCACGCAAAGTTGCACTTGCAGTTGATGAAACTGAACCTGCACCAGCGTCCACGTCACTCAATACAGAGCATTTGAAGGTTTTAGTCGCCGAGGATGATCCTGTCAATAGTCGCATTATCAATAAGAGGTTAACAAAAGGTGGTCATGAAGTCTACCACACCATAAATGGGGAAGAATGTGCAAGTGCTTATGGAGATAACGTCACTAACTCTTCTAAGTCGACCGCAACATCTTCATCGGCGGACACTCGTTTTGATGTAGTACTTATGGATATGCAAATGCCCATAGTTGATGGACTTACCTCGACAAAGATGATTCGATCGTTTGAAAAAATTCACCTTGACCTTTCCCCTCGAGCGAAGCTCAATGGTAGAGTACCTATATTTGCCGTTTCAGCTTCTCTGGTTGAACGTGAACGTCAGACATATATTGATGCTGGTTTTGATGGCTGGGTATTGAAACCCATCGACTTCAAACGTCTCAACGTATTACTCGAAGGGATCGTTAATAGCAAGGTTCGAGAATCATGCTTGTACCAACCAGGGGAATGGGAATGTGGAGGTTGGTTTCATAAAATGCAACCATCAGCATTACAATCTTTAACTGTACCCTCCAACGAAACGCCAGTCCAAAATCCTCCTGAAAAAGGACCTGAGGCTCTTCAGCCTGATAAGGATACACTCGACGGCGGTACTTCACCATCCAGGGATGATAAGAAAAGGCCATTGATATATGACGAGAGGCTTAATTCTACAAACGAGGCGCTCAATGCTACTACTGAAGTCGATGCGGGTCCTCATAATGATCTTTCAACCACAGCTGAAAGACCTGTGGCAGATGTTAGCAATGAAGAAGGTGCACCTACTATCAAGGAGCCTCTTATTGATGGTGTTGGTGAAAGCACTGAACCTGACATTGTGGGTACTGCAGTTGCTGGCACGGATGTTCAAATCGGTACAGAGAGCAATCCTAAAGAAGTTGAACAGGATGGTCAGCCAGCCGATGGTACTGAGATTGATGAGCCAACAGCAGAAAGTTCCACAGATTCTGAGCTTCCCAAGTCGACAGATGAGCCGGCTTGATAAGAGACCTTTGTCATTAATGGAATGATATTTTACTATTTTCTTTTTCGAGTTTTGTCTTAAAAATTATTTTCCCTAACGTCATGACTGATTGAACCATGAGTTTTGGCGGTTAGGAGTTTTACGCACATATACAGGGTGGCATACCCTTTGATTTCACAGATTGGAGCGGGAGTTTTTTTGGAGTACGACCGTACTGTGTACGAGATTTTTAGAGAGACTTATGATAATCTTTCATTTGTTATCATGCTTACAGGGAAGAATAACGGGAATGTAAGCTTCAAGGCTTCAAAAAGAAGCAAGGACACCACTCCGTACCTTTTTTAATGAAAGATTGCGAATTTGGTAAGCTACAAAAAGGAGGTTTTATTTATTGCATATCTGCATGGTTTGCGTGTTGAATTGAGCGAGCGATAAAATGACGCACGCGTTTGATTTTATGTATATTATTCTTTCTTAAAATTTTGATGGAAGACAATGGATGATGTGATGCGTAGGAAAGGATGGTTTAGTTGAAATGGCACACTTCGGGGAGTGATTCTGTGGGAGGGTAGAGGAATAGTGGGGGTGATGAAGGGAAAGTTTGTGGGAAAGGAGGAGAATAATGGAGGAGAAAAGAAGAATGGCGGAGAGAAGAAGGATAATGAAGGAGAGGAGAAAAGAAAAGAACAGAAAAAAAAAGAATAGTTTGCAAATCCATCTATCTGTCTCATTCTTTTTTTATCTTGAATTTTTGTTGAATTTTTGACGGGATGAGATGGATGGATGGATTTTGTAGTTGTTGATTTTTGATTTGATTTGATGTGATGTGTTGATTTGGTGGAGTGGAATGGATGTGGGAGTGGGAGGGGGAGTGGGAGTGGGAGTGAGGATGTGAGGAGAGTGGGAGTGAGGATGTGAGGAGAGAAGGATGGTAGAGGAAACGGAAGAATAGACAATTATCTGTGAAATGAAATCAAATAACCAAAATTTTTCCTTCCAAATGAACATAACATAACATCTTATGAGATTCTTAGAAGTTTAATTTTAATGTGTTGTTTTTATACTCGTAGATATATAGGTATTAAATAGATGTTTGTGGGGCTATTTTATTATATTTTATTGCATTTTATTAGGCATTGGTGACAGGAAAGGAATGATGTCAATGTTGCTTGTTAAAACTAAGTAACAAATTCACCGTATTCCATCCCTTTTCATCATCTTCTGCTCTGCTCTTTAATTAAAGATTCAATCCCATATCCCCAACACATATCCCTCCCCATCCCTCCCTACCTCCTCACTCCTGCCCCTCCTGCCCTCCTCCCCGCCATCCTCACAGCAAACTCCCCTTGGCATTCCTCTCCCGTACAAAATCTTCAATATACCCCGGTGTCTCAGCGACCCTACACTCTTCAGCTGCGATAGGCGTGCCGTATTGTAGATGTACGGGTATGGTACCGGTCCAGACGCGTTCGCGGAGGGAGGTTTGGAGATCGGCTTTGGGTCGGGGACCCCCGTCGGAGTTTGGAGGATGCGGTGAGGGGTGGATGAGGAGGATCTTGGGGAGGATGAGATTAGTTTGGGAGGGGGGGTTTGGGGAAAGGTGGGAGATTAATGGAAGGGAGGGGAGAAAAAGAAAAAGGGGAAAGATCAGAGATGGAAGGCTTGTCCGTTTGGTGGGTGAGTTGCGGCTGTTTTCAGCGGGCGGGGTGGACGGTGTTGGTTATCTTTTCATGGCCCACTGGTTGAGGTGTTAGTTAAGAGGTTGTTTTGGATAGGGGTTTGGATTTGGACTTGGATGGGGTGGGCGTGGTTTATGGGTGGAAGAGGGGTCTTAGGGGAAGGGTTTGCTTTGCGGAAGAAGGGGTCTGAGAAGAGGGGAATGGGGAGCAGGGATTAATGGAGGGATTGATGACGGGATAGATGAGGAGAATGATGGCGGGATTGATGATGGGATGAAGTGATATAAAAGAAGAGATGTAGAAGAATGAGGGAATAGGGAGTGGAGTACTGAATAGGGAGTGGAGTGAATAAACGTACTAATTTCTCATCTACATCCTCGACGACTTGTCCATATCCTTGGATAACTGCACTACGGTAATTGTAATCTGGATGTTTTCAGTCAGCCTTTCGTTTCCTTCTCTCCTTTCCACCTTTTCTTCCCCTGCTTCCATTATCCGGGTATGTGAACAAAGTCGAATGAATTCAAATGAATGGGCTCAACATAACACCACCACCCTCCAAAATTGAACAGACCAAGAATCAAAAAAACGAAAACGAAAACAAAAACGGAAATAGAAATAAAAATACGGGAAAAGAAAACAAAAAAGGGCAACCAACTCACTATGATTATAGGGCGCAAGTGCCAAAACCAATCCATCCAAACAAGTCGCCGCAACCGTCATAGGTAATCCTTTTTCCTCTTCATCATCATCATCATCTCCTCCTCCTCCTCCTTCTCCAGCACTCTTCCCCATTCTCATCAATCGACTACTTACATAGCCGTGAATGTATATATTTGCTCCTTCGCCGATATCTTCTTCATCAGGGTTTTGCGGGTTGTATTTACCTGCGAAACCTATCATGGGGAGGAGAGCGGGGAAGGGATCGGATGGGGAAGGGGTGTTGACTAGGAGGGAGGAGGGGTTAGTGGGTGGTTTGTGGTTGTGTTGGGGGGACTGTGGTTGGGATTGGGATGGCAAGGGGGGAATTGTAGAGAGGATATAATAAGCAAGTGAACGGGAGAGATTTGTAAATCACCATGATGACGAAGAATAAGACATAAAAATCGAACTTAAGTAGAACAGAACATGAAACAAAAAAGACCACATGAATGACCTAGGGGTAGAGCAAACACAAAAATACACAATAAAAAGAAACAATCCAAACCCACAAGAAACATGCAAAAACGGCGAACTATTTATAATACTATGAATAGTATGATGATCGTATTTTGCTATAATGTAGAAAAGAGAGTGGTTAGTTAGCTGGTAGTTGAATAATAGATTGGAAGGATCGATACTCGAGTTATATGGAGAACATGTATGGATGAGAGTGAGATGTAGGGGAAAGGAAAAGGAAAGGAATAGAGAAGGGTGATTGAGGAGTGGTGAATGATAGATGAGGAAAAAGGAAGAGTGACAGGAGGAAGTGATGAGAGTGCAGTGCAGTGATGGAAATCGACAATGGGAAATGGGGAAGAAGAGTAGGAGTATAAAAAAAAGGAGAGAAGGGGGAGCAAAAGGAAGAGAAGTAAAAATACCTAGATTTCTATATCTCTGCACGGTATTTCGTGGTGTTTTGGGGTATGTAGAGATTTCTGAATCGGACATGTTGAGTATGTATTTTTGGCGAGCGAGTAGGTAATAAATTTTTGGATATTCTCTGTCGTTGTCGCTGTCCTATTTGCTGTTGTTGTCGTATACAGTCGTATTCTCTCCTGACGTTAGAAACCTTATAGATCACCAATGTTCAATTTTCAACTTATCGCCTCTTTTCACTGACAGGTCGTCCTACTCGTACTTCCTTCTTCCCCAATTTCAAGTTCAAATTCAAATATAAATCTCAACTCTTAAATCTCAAATCTCAAATTTTTCCAAGACTCTCACTTCTATAAATCTACCTATCTATTCATTCCCACCCTTCTACCACCCTTCTTATATATCCCAACACTCTCTCTGTAATACATCGCACAGCCATTTAAACCCCGCAAATCCAGTCCAAAGCACACTTACTTACTTACTCGTACATCACGCAGGCAAGTGGGGAGCTAATTACCCCTTTTAGCAAGTCCATGCGGAAGTCCATGCGAAAACGCAAGCGAGAAGCATGTGAAAAACAGCCTAAGTTAACGATTTAGCAACAAGTTATTATCCCATCTACTCGACTACTCGAATAAAGTACCAGGACTCGAGTCATAATACATTCTCTAGCCTTAAAAACTTGATTGATAGTCTAACAATTGCATCACAAATCATAATTAGTACTTCCGGATTTCCGCACGTAGGTAGATCATGATCTCCAGATTCTTAAAGAAAGAAATTTCATGTAAGATCTTACAAGGCAAGATTACGAGAAATTCGTTGTCTGGCTAAACTAAGTCCACCAGTCCTACGGTTGTAATAATCTTACCGCAGAAAACTAGAGCATATCTAACCAGATACCTAGGTACATGCATGATATTATATCAAATTTAACAAAGGTAACCTATATTAATATAACATCAAATACCTATACAGTATTGGGTATCATCGTATGAAAACAAAAACCAACTGGCAATTTGCGCCTGCGCCATATACGCCATCCATCGCATCCCATCCCTTCATATGCAATCCCGTGACGAATTCGAGTATCCCATCACAACATTACGGAGTACAAGCTTCGTCACTCCAAAAACATTTATCCACTACTCCCTTTCCCAATCCCAAACATGATATGTCCATAAATATTCATCCCCATCCAATTCCCTATTTTCATGTGCATCATCTAGACTCGCCTGGAGCTCTTTCGCAAATTCCCAAATCTCATCTAATGTATATCTGCCACCATCTAAATCTGCTCGTAAACGATTCCAGAAGTCTTTATCTTCCAAACCATGCTTTTCATATTCGTACTTTGCTCTAAAGTAAGCATAGAATCTTTCTTTCTCCTCATCAGGGACATCATCAAAGCTAGGTGGTGCTTCTGGCGGTTCTGGCTCTGGCTCTGGCTCTGGCTCTGGCTCTGGTTCTGGTTCTGGTTCCGGTTCTGGTTCTGGTTCTGGTTCCGGTAAGGGAGATGGAGATGTGGAATCTCTTCTTTGGAATTGCGAAAAAATGCTGTTGCTGTAATTTTTTTTTAGAGAAAAGAAATGGAATAGAATTGAATAGTCGCCTACCTATTGGCGTCGTGGGGAGGGGCGTAATCTTCTAAGAATGGATCATTCCGTTGATCATCCCAGTCATCGATTCTTTGACTTCTATGTGAAATGGCAATAGATTCCTCTCGTTCTCCTTGTGTAATTTGTTGCATAGGTCTCGTCGGCCTTTTGGCACGTTCCGCTTCTAGCTCACGTCTGATCCTTTCAGCTTGTGGAAGTTTTCTGTACTCATTCCTTTTCATCTCAAGTTTAATCAAACGATATATCTCTGGATCATTCATCATGCGCCTTTCAACACCTTTATTATATGCTCTAATCTCTCGATCTTTCTCTTCATTTTCAACCTTTCGCGTCTCATCTTCTTCTTGTTCAGCACGTATTTTTTCTTGGGTACTTGCAAGGAGCTTCTCTCGCATTTCCGCCTCTTCTCTTTCGACGAGCCTCTGCCGACAATTTTTCAATAATTCATCTCGCAAAAGAGGGCGAAGTTCTCTCAATGGTTGCTTCGTCTGACCGCGATCCACGGGCTGGAATTCCTTGTTCTGTCTGTCAAGATTATCAAAAAGCTCAAGGATTATTTTAGTGATCTCAATCACCACTGATAAATCTTTCTTTGATAACGGTTCGTAGCTCCCATACGTAAGAATGGCGGTATTTAAGACTTTGAGGAATTTGCGAATGAGAACAAAGTAAAGATCCATCAAAAATTCACGTCGTCGATTCTCATAATGTTCAACAACACCTCCATGCAAAGGCTGTAACAAATTGTTTATCCTGTTCTTCAAGGCATCAATATTCTGATCAATGTCCAAATTCGCTTGAATTTGATCAACATCATTCTTCTCATCTATCGCATATTTAAGATCTCGATAATGTTCTCGAAGCTCCTCTAAAGATCTTTGGATCCTCTCACCCGATTTCGTTTTAACGCCGCGATCCCCAGGTGTTACTGTTTCCCATAGGCCATTAGCTTCTTTGCAACCAATGCGTTTCGATATCCTTTCAACATTTCGGAAAAAATCGAGGCCAATAATCCCTTTCCAAAGGGTAAGCTTTCGGCTAAGCTGTCGATAAGATTCTTCCCCAAAATCCGTACCATCATTGGCTTCCTCTCCAGCTTCCTCGGCAATATCTTCAGCTGCTTGTCTCAAGTCCTCTCCGACTTCTGCGGGTATCTCCTCTCTGCGTCTTGAGCGGGGTGAAGACTGAATCCTGTTGTTACGGATACCATTCGCATGGTTACTGCTAATTTTCCTCGCATTCTCTGCGTTCCTTAAGTGTTGTTTCCTAGAAGCCGGAGGTTTTGCTTTTGCTGGACTTTTGACAGGACTTTGACTCATGATCACGCCTGTTATGCCGTCCTCATCACCGTCTTCTTCTTCGTCCTCATTGTCATCTTTTCCCCTTTGCTGAGCACTTGTAGGACCATTCAAGGCACCACCTTCCTCTTCATCTCCCTCCCCCTCTCCCTCGTCGACTTCTTCAGCTCGCCGAGCGTTTTTACGAACGCTTTTGCTAACATTTGCCGGTTCGGGAAATGTTGCATCTGAATCTTCAGCCTCCTCATCCGATTCGTTGTTCGCCGGAGCCATAGGCTCATTTTGAGGAGTCGGTTCCCTATAGACCAAATTCTTGCGGGGGCGACCCCTACCTCTTTTAGGGACTATGGTATATGCTTTCTGTTTGGGGATGCCCTTCGTCATTGGCCTTTTACTTGCTCGCTTGGAGGGCGTGAGTTTATGATTGCCTTGAGCACCACCCTGGTCTTCAGCAACACCATAATCAAGAATATCGTCATCTCGTTTGCGCTTCCGTGGCGAAACATGTGGAGGTTCTGGGACATCTTCAGCTGTTCCTTTTCCTTTCCTAGTTGGTCGGCGAAGTTGTTTCTGAGGATGCTTCTCCGTAGTTTTTCTCGCGGAGAGGGATTTTCGCTGGTGATTTTCGAGTTCGTCCGTCATGTCTTCGGGCTCTAATCCGGATTGATTCGCAAGTAGCTGTGCATTCAATGCTTCTTCAATATCCCCTTCCTCTTCCTCTTCAACACTCTCTTCTTCCTCAAAATCTGCATCTGATTCTTGTTCGACTGACACGGGCTGTCGATGGCGGCTGAAGGGTGGAGCCTGCTTAAGTGCGACCTTCACCCTTCTTTGATCGCGCTTACTATGGATAATGTCATTAACGAGGTTTGTCGATTCAGCATCCCCGCGCTTCGCTGCCGCTAATAATAAATAGTTAGATGTAATTGCATAATTATTATGGAATACTCTTACCTGCTTCTTGTAGTCTAGTCCTTGGCATTGTTACCGAGCTTGTTTGAAAGAAAAGCCGTCCTCGAAAGTTTGCGCAAATATTTTTGTAGAGGTGTTCTCGAGGGAACTTACTCTCGAATGGGCAGATTTTGAGACTAGTGTAGAAAAGCCATACAGGTAAATAGATCAATTAGACTTCCGTGTGCCTTTCATCCATTCATTGAATGTGAAGATTAAACAAAAAGGTCAACATTTGGATGTTTGAAGATAATCTGATATGGGGTCAGAATGCGGCAGTACTTTAACAAACAGAGCTAAAGGTTTAAACCAATCAGAGGTCAATATCGATATGGACAAGGATACAGCTATTTGATATCATGATGCTTTTTTGTTGGCTGTAGCTTTCTTTGCCTAGCTTACCCCATGAAAAACATCTCCAACTCAAACGTTTCGAATCTATATCTTCATCACATCAACAACAAATGTTGAAGATGGCTTCACAACAAAAGAATCAAAATGTCTCTGCGCAAACTGATTTATCACGAAGTTTACCAATTTTAGATTCATCACGACCTCATACTTTCATAAAGCCTATAAAGAGAATCCATGAAGGTCACGATGTGCCCCGCTTCCTCATATCAAAAGCATATACCGATATTGGCGTGTTTGTTATGCAACTCAATATTGCTATGTGTCCTAGGAAATCATCTGATATAGATCAAAAAGCTCAGACCTGGACGTTAGATACTTCCCTAGAACTATCGGAGCCTGTTAAGAAACTACAGGAATTATTAGAAGATATCGATGCTATCATTGATGAAGCACCACCTGATACAGGACCAAGAAGATTTGGAAATGTTAGCTTTCGAAAGTGGTATGAAATACTGGAAACACGAGCCAGGGATCTGTTGAAGCAATATTTACCAGCTGAAGTTCTTGAATTTGGGGGAAGTTCTCCTGATGACGAGGTATCGGCTTTGGATGAACTTAGTTCTTATTTGTTGGGTGGATTTGGGAGTGCGCAAAGACTGGATTATGGAACTGGTCATGAACTTAGCTTTTTAGCGTTTTTAGGATGTATTTGGAAGTTGGGTGGATTCACAAAAACATCTTCAAATCGAGGCGAGTTAGAGAGAAGTATCGTTATAGGTGTTATAGAGCCGTGTGTTTATCCTCCCTCACTTGTAGTACAGCACATGCTAATATATCCATCAGCTATTTACGTGTAATCCGTCGGCTTATCCTCACATATACTCTAGAACCAGCTGGATCTCATGGTGTATGGGGACTAGATGATCATTCATTTCTACCATATATATTTGGGTCATCCCAATATTGTCCAGCTATTACTGATGATGAAGATATGCCAGTAGAAGGATCTTTACCAGAAGCTTCAAACCCAGGAGATGTGGCTAAGAAGTTGACAGTTGATCGAGAAAGGAAGAACAATATGTATTTCTCGGCAATTGGTTTCATTAATGATGTGAAAACTGGACCATTTTGGGAACATAGCCCAATTCTTTTTGATATTTCTGGAGTGCGATCAGGATGGGGAAAAATAAATAAGGTCAGTTTCATTCTTTGACAGCAATAGTCACTTCTAATACTTTCAGGGGATGATCAAAATGTACAATGCAGAAGTACTATCGAAATTTCCGGTGGTACAACATTTCCCGTTCGGATCATTATTTAGTTGGGATCAAGACCCTCATGCTGTGTCAAGTCCTCAAACAGTACACACAGCAAATCAGCCCATAGGTTCAGGAGGGACACCTACATCCCGAGCAGCACCACAAGAAGGTACAAGAGCACCCTGGGCTAACACACCACAAACTCAAGGTATGCAACCTACAGCTGCACCATGGGCAAATACAGCAGCAGGGGCTATGCCTTCCACAAGACGAAATATACCACCTACATCCTCAACGACTTTTACAGGATCAACACCTTCCTCTGGGCCAACATTTACAACAAGGCAAGCACGGGCGAATAATGCAGCAGCAACATCAACAAACCCATCACATACTGATAATGGTTCAACACGTGCGCCTTGGGCAAAGTGAATAGAGGATAGGATAATTCTTGAAGCTCAAGGGCAAAGGATACAAATAGTAGCAAAGATGATATTTCAGGGGAATTTGGCGTCCATACATGGATGGATGGATATACTCCGTAGATTTGTGCATGAAAAAGCGTCAATCATTAATCATACGTTCCCAAGGCTTCATTGATTTATGTGGGGATAATGAACAAACTATTTGAAGTTTGGGCTGCGCATGGTCCCGTGCAGTGGCACATTTTACCTAGGTACTTTTAGTGTGGCAATCGGGTGTTACCTAATTGAACCCCCGAGTGGGCTTTTTCTTTTTACGTTTGATATATACCTAGGTAGGTATCCATACTGAGTAAGCAGTGTCGGTATAACCAGTGGGTGCACCTTACGAAATTGAAACATTTTAGAATGAGAAAGATGAATGTCGGGATGTTCATTTTATTGTTGGCTGTGGTGTGGGGATAGGGGATGGATGGAGGGATGGATGTGGTGTGTGTTTTGACTGTTGTGTGTAAGGAAGGAAGAAAGGTGTGGTGATTCGGGAGAAGATTTAGAAGAGGGATAGGAGATGGTGAGCAGAGGAGGGAGGAGCAGAGGAGAATAGAATAGAGATGATTCAAATTTTACATTTCATAGTGTCCAAAAGACTCTGTCTGTAGATTCGAGAAGTGTGAATTGTTGGAACCATGATTAGTTAGGTAGGTAGGTAATCATCTTACCCAAGTTACAATAAATATCCTGTGAGAAGAATATATACGATATGATATAAATGAAGATCCAACCACTATATTATTCTATATTATTCCCAATTTCTATCATCTTTCATCTTTCATCTTTCTTCTTTCTTCGATCCTCACGCTGGGGCTATGTAGTACTTGCTTCCCAAATCCCACAAGTGACTGAGTGAGTGCCTTGTAGATATTAATCGTAAGAAGAGAAGAGTTAAAAAGCGAGCGACCTCCTATCGGTACTTGATTATCCTTACTTATTTTATTCTATGCGACATATGTAGGTTACCTAACCGCACAAAGATAGTGCAGTGCAATAAATAGCTTGCATACTCGAGTATATTCTATGTAATATGGTTATTCAAATGTGACGTGAAACATCCGTCATTTAACATTTTTACCACCTACTTAGACACAACTATGTATCTATTGTCTTTATTTGCGAGCTAGGTAGTTTTCGGCTTTCTCATCTTGTAGATTTGATTTGATTTGATTTTTTGATGGATTTCTTTTTGGTTGGATAGTTCAAGGTAGGTTGAAGATCCTTGAGGTGCATGATTTTGTAGATGGGTTGAATGTAACGGTTTGATATGAGGGAACTGTGGGAGTTTCTTTCCGATGATTTATTTTTAGGTGTGAGTGACATTCTAGATTGGTCGGAAAATTGAATGACTAGGTAGGAGGTAGGGAGGGTATGTATGATATGATAACTGGATGGATACATTTTTATATTTTGAATGGATTTATCGTAGATTTATAAGATTTATTATATCGACCAGTTAGATTTGGGGAAATTTCAATAATTACCTACCTACCTACCTACCTACCTACCTACCTGAGTAGATTGATTTGATCTTTCGGCCGATATTTCTTCCTTCTTCATTTCCATTGGCGATAAGAGGGATTGGATGATGTGTGTCCAGGTGTGGCAGTATGGCATGTGCATGTGCATGTGCATGTGCCCATTCCTTTTTTATTTTCTAGAGAAAGAAGGTTTGACTCGAGTTTTTTGTATCAAATCACACACCAGCAAGCAAATGAGATGTTGGCTCTTGACTCTTGACTCTTGACTCTTGATTCATCTTATCTTTGAATATCATTTGGATCATCTACGCTAATCCAATCCAAGCCAACCTCCAGCGAACCGAAGCTTTCGAGCTTTCTCCCTACTTCTACTCTGTCTCAACAACAACAACAACAACCACAACATCAACCACCACCACATCAACCACAATCACAACAACACATCAAACTTCTTTCAACCCCCTTATCACCCCTCCATCTATCAATTCCTTCCATTTCATCTTCCTCTTCCATCTTCTCATCAAAATTCATCCACAAATAAATCACTTTAGGGTCAAACCATCTCTCCAAAATTAAAAACCACCAAAGCCAAAATCCACCAGAACCAATTTATCACATCTTCATAATTTTAAATTGGATCATCGAGGTCTCATAATCTCATTCTCCTTTTCGATACTTTGATACTTTGATACCAAAATAAAAATTTAAATAACTTCATACAAGGGGGTTCCACTCTTGGAAAATCTATCAAAATGCCAGGCGTTCGTAAGTGAAATCTTTTCCATTTCCATCTGTCTTCTTGTTCGATCCGTCGTCGTCCTTCTTTCATTCATTCGTTCATTCGTTCATTCGTTCATTCATTCATTCATTCCTTCATTCATACATTCATTCTATTAAGACGACTTTATTGTTTTCTTGCATTTGTCCTTCATTCTTCGTCCTTCGTTTTCTATCTTTTAAAGCTTCTTTCAATTTCTATTGTATTCAAATCCCAAAAAATAGTGTCGACGTTTGATTTCTTTCTATTGACTCTACTATAATACCATAATTCTATCCATCACCTTATAAATCACATATTTCAAAATGGGTACTTACTTTCCACGAATTTCACTACATCATGTTTTTCTATATATCTGTTTCTATAAACTTATCATCTGCGCGCAATAACTAACAATACTTCTTACAACAGCACCAAAAGCTTTAGAGACTCTCAAGGCCAAGTTCAAGGCTCTTTTCAAGGGAAAGAAATCCAAGAAGGCTGAAGAACCAACCGCTGGCGCAGAAACTGATGCCGCAGCTCCACCAACTGCAAACTCCGCTGTTGATCCAAACGACGATGGTACTGCACGTATGTTTACAAATCCTAAATTCATACCTTCACACATATACTAATAAAATCCCTTGAACAGCAGAAGTAACAGCCACCGAACACAACAATGCTGAACACCAAGACCCAACTACCGCAGAACAAACCTCAGCTGTAGCCGAACCGGCCAATGCGAACGAGACTGGTGAGCCTCCATATATAATCGGAACCTTGGTTAAAGCTCAGAGTACTGATACTGAAATGGCAGCACCAGAAGCTTCCAAGGTCGAAGATCCGATTAAGACTGAGCCAAGCGCACCAATAGTCTCTGCTACTGCTCCTCAACTTTAAATGGCATCTTTTCGATATCGATAACGCCGAGTTATACATATATATGAAATATATAACACAGCGAGATGACCAATTTTCCTACTTTATATTTGAAGTACACGTACATTTGATTTCGAATTCGTCACTTGTTATGGGAAATACCTAAATACCGATACCACTGATACCATGGTGGAAGATGGAGTGGAGGTGCATGTTGTAATGGCAGAGATGCGCTGGTGTGTGTGGATGGATAATATAAGTCTCCTACCCACCATGCTTACTAAAGCATGGTTGAGGATCAGAGTCAGAGCCGTCAAAACAGGATAATAATGTGTTATCATGTTTCCTTTGTGTTTTCTTTACTCTTTTATGTCTCTAAATTTTCCTCGATATTTTCATTTTTGTGAGAGTTAATTTTTCGTGGACTTGGAACGTGTTTGCTTGTTAACAAAAGAAAGCAACATATTCTAATTCATGCAGAAGTTGAATTTCTAAAAATGGGAAAATCAATAAGACGTGGATTTTTTTTTAACTTGATTTCTTACTTTTATTTTAGTTTACTTTGCTTTGCTTACAGTTTCTAATTGTACATGGACGGGCGCGTAAGCGGAACGAATGGTCATATACCCCTTTATACCCTAAGTACCTGGTTCTAGTTATGGTTGTGGAGGAGAGGAGAGGAGTGAAGGAAGCGAGATATTTGTTTATAGGAATCTTGAATCTTGAGTCTTGAATCTTGAACTTTTTTGGTTTTTGTTCGGCGGGTGGGCAGGGGTGACGTGAGTGTAAATGTGAGTGTAAATGTGAGTGTGAGTGTGAGTGTGAATCAGTATATGTATAAATATAAGTGATTTATATCTATACAAGTATACGATCTCTAGATATAATCTTAATTTATTTTATCTTGTATCATCTATTTAATCATTCATTATATCACATTACATCACAACTTTTCATTTAAAAAAAGCCCTCTACTAGAATAATATATTTCAAACTCTCATTTCTATAGTATAAATTCATTTATTTATTCATCTATTTTCTTCCTCGTCATATCTATACCTATAACTATACCTAATATATCATATCTAAACCCAACTTACATACCCCGCCCGTTTACCTTCTTAATCCTCATCTGCATATCTCCTCCTCCCACCTCCCACCTCCCCCTCCCTCCCTCCCTCTCCTTCCGTCTTTCCCCACCCTCCAACACCCGCCCATCCGATCATAAATGCGGCACCCCCGCACTCGCCAGCCCCAAATTAACAATACTAACCACACCCTCTCCCAAAATCAATCCACTAGCCAATACCACAATTGGAGTCTCCTCTCTCTTTCTATACGAACGCCAGTATAAATTAATGAATCCACCTATTGCACGAGCGAGAGTAAAGGCTGGAGTATTATACATGCCTATTTTTATTTGAATTAGTATTTATTAAAAAAACGAAAAAAGAATGTGGAGAAGGAAGAAAGAAAGAAAGAAAGAAAGAAAGAAAGAGAAATTAAGAATAAGACATACCAACAGCCACCGCAATACCTCCAGGAATATAAGAATGCCATTTCTTTCCCGTAGCATAAATTCTTAATAACGTAGTTCCTGTAAAGATAACTGCAGCACCAAATGCCCACTCAGCAGCCATATGTGGTAATCCCTTCCCGGTAACCAATCTCGCCGTGAAAATCCACACATATCCAGTGGGAACCTGGAATAGATCTCCGGGAACCTGATATACATTTGTATAAAGTTTATAGATCAATGCGCTTACTACAGCACCAACTGCACTTCCGATGATTTGGCCCCAGAATTGCGCGTTTGGTGCTGCACCTAAAAGATGTCCTGTTTTGAGATCTTGCATCAAATCACCGGCTTGGAGAGCGCCAGCTTCGGAAACTGCTCCTGCGATGAGGTTTATAAGGATAGAGTTTTTGTTGGATTGAGGAATGATAAGGGCGAAGAATAGTTGAGCTAGTTTAGAAATTCCAGAGACAGGGTTGAGGTCAGTTTCTCCCAAGGCTCGAACACCCATGATGGAGAGGACGAGGGCAATTAAAACGGCGACGATGGTAGCGTATAGGGGAACTAGATCACCAAATACAACGCGGATGCTGAATACACAGAAAACAATGGAGAGGATAAGACCAATCCAGACAGTCTGAGAATTGACGAGATGTTCTGGAGGGGCATCGGGTTCTGGTAGATCTTTCACTTCGGTCTGTATATTACTACCTGAAAGTAATGATATATCACCACTTGATGCATGTTCACCCCGACGATCGCTGTTTATAGGAGCATATCCCGTGGTGGATCGTGGTATTGTAATTGATAAAAGACCCCTCCAATCACGTGTGTTGATCTTTTTTTGAGCCTCATTGATATAATGTCCGCCATTCCTTATCAAAGGGGTAAAAGCGATGTATCCAAGACTGATAACTGAATCGGCCAACATTATAGCTAGTGAGATCCAAACAATCCAACCTTTGCTTCCCGTCTCCCAATCACTAACTGGTCCAGGAGCCCAGCCCCTATATTTGGCTAGAGGAGAAAGTATTCCCCAACCAAGGAATGCTCCAAGGAGCATATGTGTAGTTGTCGCCGGACCCATAATAATCCCCTGTCCAACATATGCAAGGGATGGATTCAAAGTCCATAACCAATTTTGAGCAATTGCAGTACCAAAAATTGGTAACTTCCGTAAAATGGGAAAGAAATAAGTTGCCAGAGTGTAAAACCCTGATATCCCGAACGAGACTAATAACAGCTTAACCTTTGATTTCCAGCTGCTTCCCTCAGCCTTGGTAACCTCTTCTACGTCGGCCGCAGTCTCATCTGTATAACTTCTAGTCTCTCTTTCGTCTATTTCATCAACGTTCCCGGAAGTCAAGATGGGCGGCTCGCCTTCACTAGTCTCCTTTCCATGTAAAACGCCAATCATCAACGCAGTCGCTGTCCCAGATGGAAACTTCAGTTTCTCCCTAATGATAACCTGTCGTCTCAATGGAACCGCGAATACCACCCCGAAAAAGCATAACCCCAATGACCAAAGTATAAGTTTCCAAGTACTCAAGAATATCGGTCCCTGCTCTTCTGATTTCAACATATAATTCAACGCCGGCATAACACCAACAAATCCACAGCCCAAAGGCATCGTTCCCATTGATCCAGCTACCGTCTGCACCAAGACATTTTCCACCGGAGTAAATGGTAAATCAAGATGTTTCGATAAGGTCTTGAAGAATGCAAATCCAATAAGTGAAGCAGGCATGGCCATAGAAGAGACCCAGCCTGTCTGCAGACCAAAATACATATTGGAAAAACATATTATCAATCCAACGCCCAAACCAACGAGTATTCCCCGTACTGTGAAATTCTGCCCTTCTCCCGCATGCGCAGCTATGAATCTTCGTTGCTCGCTTCGTCTGCGCTGCAATGCAAGATCATCGTCTTCGGATGTGCGGGTGGATATTGATTGGTAGTCGACGGGAGACTGCATTGTGCCTCTATCGGGCGCCATTGTTGTTGTGAAGTCTAAAATCTTGATTGAAATGAATCGGTTGATAGATATATATACATGAAAGCGATATTGCTGTCGTCTTAAAGATCACATTAGGTGGGACAAATGAATAGTACAGTCATGGTCGGGTGGTCACTTATAAATTTGTCAGTCAAAAGGTCATCATTGATGCCTTTTTCGCTGACCAATGCTGGGATGTACGATTACTCCGTACAAGGTTGAGATAAGCATTATATTTCGTCATGAAGAATATTTCCTAACTGAGTTTAGACTGAAGCTTATCTCCAAGATATCTCCGAACGGAGATCCAGCAAACAAAGGATAGATTTTAGCAAATTGTCCAGAGTTGCAATGACTAATCAAAATGATTTGCTGACGCGAAACTACCAAGAAGATCCCCAAAAAAAGCTGAAGATGCAATACATAGGATTAATGTTTAATATTTCGGTAACGAAGGATGTAAGGTCAGGTCAAGGTTCAAAAGGTCACACCAAGCAATGTAGATCATTTTAAGGTTCTACCTTATTTGGACTACGGGCACAGAATGTGCTAAATAGTTCCGACAGGTATCGAATTTCTACATCAAGTTTCTACCCCGGCGAAAGCCATACATGTAAAGACTAATCTCCTCTCACATATGTAATATCTACCTCATTGCGGACGGTTTCATGATACCCTCCGGCTCAACACCGCATTTCCCCATTCACGTTCGCCAACAAAACAAGTCATCTCATTTTCCATGTTTGAGAATTGACAGCCTCCTCCCCATTGAACTTCCAGTCCACACCAATATTCAAGGCTCTTGAATAATCATCCGCAACCAGATATTCTAACTCTCCACTAATCTGCTCGCCTGATTTATGCTCCTTCGATTGTTCCCTAATATTGTCGATGAGCAACACACCTTGTTTCCAATGTGTCACCTTGGCTTTAGGGCCTGTTGTGAATGCTACACCCTTCTTTCCCTCCTTTGCCCACTCCTCGGCCTTTGCATTCACCGGAACTTCATCTGTTCGCGTGGGCAAGAAGAAACTATCAAACCAAATCATGAAGCCATCCAATGCATCAATGTCTTGAGTAAGCTTTGTCTCCCACTTTCTCCTGAAAGTAAGATCTTTAACAGTGGTTGTGTGCAAGCTCAATTGCAAGAATGGAAAAGATTCGCCACAGATCGTACTAGCTGGCATATCAAGTACTTGAGCATCCTCATGGATTCCGGCTTGCATTGCTTTCATGTCAAATCCATAAACGCCTCTCCAGAAATCAATGTGGTCGGCCACATAATCCGGATCAGCCACAGGAGCAACCCACATGTTCATGTGACTTGGAACCATTAATCCATCAGGCTTCAGGTATTTGTCTCGAGCCCAGATGACACTGTCGAGCATGGCTTCATACAACAAGCAATAACCCATCCATTCGCTGACAATAATATCCACATGTTCGACAGGGAGATTGACCTCTTCAACTTTACCCTTGAGTAAAGTGATTTTATCCGCGAAGCCGTTGTTGAAAATGTTCTCACGGGCTTTCTCAATGATATCCGAATTATCAACACCAATCACTCGAGCTGCACCGGCTTTAGCACAGAACATGCTGAGAATACCTGTGCCGCAGCCTACATCTAAAACAGTTTTTCCTGCGAAGAGAGACTTGTTATTATAGATGAAGTCACGATAGGCATCGGTGCGAACAGTATCTTTCAACATAGTCTCATGGATATCTGAAACGCGTTAGTTAGGCCGTATTGGACGTGGCGGATATCTGACCGTTGTATGAATAAGAAGTAAAGTAATGGCTATCATCATCTCGCTTTTCTTCCTTTTTGGTTGCAGATGGGCCTGCAGATTTGTTCCAGCGCTCATCCAGAGTTTCATTGACAGTGTTTCTGTAATTTTCAAATTGCGATTGAATCCTTCTGAGCTCTTCCTCTAATTCGGCTACACGCGTGACCAGGGGTCCAGATTCGACCTCCTTGCCATTTTCTGCGCCGGTATTTGGTTCGACAACATCAGGAAGGTCATCAAGGCAGAAAAGAAAAGCATCATCCTCCAAAACTGGTTTAAGATATTTTTCATCTTCTAAGTCGGCCTTGGATATACTCTGAGAAGGCTTTTCACCATTTTGAGTTTTGGATCTTAGGTAATTGGTAAGTTTGATACTGCCGTAGAAGTCCAGACCTAGGTTTTGTCTGACTTCTAGAAAATCAAAGCCGTATTTCTCTTTGCAATGTTGAATCATTGCAAGCATATCGGAGAAGACTTCATCATCTAATAATGATACAAATTGATTTTGTTCTTCCTCTTCAGGCTCAGCATCTTCCCATCCTTCATCATCCTTCAAATCAAGGATATCAGATGCCTCAGAACTACCGGAATCAGATGGAGCATACTTTTCGGTATCTGGGACTTGGCCAGACATTTTGTATAATTTGGTACTGAGTTTTTAGGCTTTCGTTAGAAGATAATAACAATGCTGATTTTGGAAGAATAACGAAATATCAAATGCAAATCTTCAATTCCAACCAACTAGGAAAATGTCTAGTTTTTTTCATGTGGGATATGGATTTTTTTTAAACCATTCACTATCAGCACGTGCTTTTTTGTACGATAAGAATTGAGTATGAAAGTGGCAATGCAATGCAAAGGAGTGAGGATGAGACAGGTAAGTTATAGAAACCTATACATTACCAGATATGAATCTGTTTAGTATGCAAATTCAACATTGTTCATCTCAAGAAGAGGTTGAGTGGAGAAGAAAATGTAAGGATACCTACAATTTGAAGCCTCATATATCTCTTATCAAAATCTCGATGATAGAACTTTTGGTTGCTGGGGAAATCGACCAGGGTGATGCGCTTAAACCTCGGTTAAACTCCTCAATATTAATAGACAACTCCTGTAAGGTTCATAGGAAGTGGAAGGAAGGTCCTGGGATGAAATCATATTATGATAGCATACAAAATCAATAAGGCTTTCAACTACATATTATAATTGACATGCTATTGACAGATGATCTCATTCATGCTCATGCCAATTTCACAAGTTATACGGAAAATCCTTGTTGAATGCCAGCACATCGAACTTTGATCAGCCACCGTAAACACCTGAAGAGAAGCTGAAGATAACCACAAACAAGTTGACCTCGAGCACGAAGATGTCTTTTTTATTCGGGCGAAGGCCGCGCCCAAACACGGTGGATTTATCAAAGCAGGCCAAGGACTTGATACTGAGGCTCGATGGCCCTGGAGGAGCTGCAAAGGTATGCTTTAGGCGCATTAGAAGGAGCAGTGAATTATGGATGAGCTAACGAATGGACAGGCGGAGGAGCTGGCGAAGGCTCTATCTCAGATGAAGTTCATTTTGCAAGGGACACAGGGTAATTTATGCAAACAGGTCAATTTATTGTCACTTACTGACTGCTCCTTAGAAATCGAAAGCACCCCCGAGCAAGTCCACCAGCTTGTAACTGGAATGATTCAGGAAGATTTACTTTACCTCCTTGCCATAAATCTTTACCGTCTCCCTTTCGAATCAAGAAAAGATGCTCAGGTTATATTTTCTTACGTCCTACGGTTCCGTCCCGCGACAGCATCACCGAAGAGTGAACCTATGGCGCTTAGTTATGTTATAAATAATAGACCGGAGGTACTGGTTGAGCTATGTAACGGTTACGAGCATAAGGAAAGTGCTACACCTGCTGGGACAGTTCTTCGAGAGGTTTTGAAGAGTGATGCTGCAGCAGCCATCATTCTGTACAATGATATTAAGGAAGGAGATGTTAGCACAAAAGGCTTGACTGCTATACAACCAGAAATCAAGCAGACTGGAGAGGGAGTTTTTTGGAAATTCTTTAATTGGATTGACCAAGGATCATTCGAGGTTGGAGCAGATGCTTTCACAACTTTTAGAGTAGGCAATGCAGTCACGTTGGAATGAATAAAGCTAATGCAGGCACAGGAACTGTTGACCAAGCACAAACAAATCGTAGCACAATATTTGGCTACCAATTTCGACCTGTTTTTCGATAAGTACAACAATATTTTAGTCCAATCAGCAAGTTATGTTACCAAAAGACAGTCAATAAAACTTTTGGGTGAGATTCTTTTGGATCGAGCCAACTATACAGTTATGACAGCATATGTTGATCGAGGAGAGCATTTAAAGATATGCATGAATCTTCTTCGGGATGAGAGAAAGATGGTGCAATATGAAGGATTTCATGTTTTTAAAGTCTTCGTGGCGAATCCACATAAATCCATGGCTGTACAGAGAATACTGCTCAATAATCGAGAAAGATTATTGAATTTCTTGAAACATTTCTTAGAAGATCGTACAGAGGATGAACAATTCATTGATGAGAGGGAGTTCTTGATCAAGCAGATAGAGAGAATGCCACCACAACCTGTTGAGCCGGCACAAAAGCCTGCACTATTAATGGGACGTTAAGAGGGAGAAGTTAGAGAAGTTTATAGACAGTGATGAGATGAGACATATGGGCAGGCACTGATGGCTGGATACGACATGAACATAATCATAATCGGAGTTGGGAGCATTAAGGTTTTGAATGAATGGAATAGGGAGCAATCATTGTAAACAGCAAAGGCGTTTTAAATCGTGGACGTTCATAAATTACAAACATCATGAAGTCTCAAATAAAGGATCAAATCAAATAGAATACTACCTAGTATGTTCATAGATAAGTTGCAGTTGTTATATGGATTCTGTTTGCATTGGAGGAGAGGAGAAGGAAAAAAGGCTGATATTCGAGGCGAATTGATCTAAACCAAGTTAAAACTAGCGTGATATCCCAGTAACTTGTCAGCCTTGCCTTTCGCGAATCGCATCCAATTCAAACGCGACTGCCAATATTAAACCAAACCACAATTCTGCATCAACAGTTTCACACGAGAAACAAATGGAGAAGTCACAAATTCAAATTTAAACATTATCTAGCCCCATTTATTGAAACTCAATTTAGCGCCAATTCATACTGGTAATCCTCAAGATGCAGGCGCAATACCGTTCCTATCAACAAGGGACTCCTTCACGAGCATCTCATGCTGGTGGTAATAGAAGAGGTATAGGTATGTATGATCTTACTATATGTTTTGCGCGCTGCCATCTCACATGCATTAGTTTCTTTCTTAACAACTTATACTTTGCGATTAATCTACCATTCTTTCACTCGGCCATTCATACGGCCAGAACTTTGCTATGCATTGCTTAAAACTTGCACAGTCATACATTTGTATTCTTGGACTCAACTAATGCGCAATTGTAGCACCTGCGGCCGCTGCACAAACTAGAGAACAAATGTCGCAACAGCAATATCAACAGCAGCAACAGCAGCTTCTAAAGCAAAAAGAAGCGGCAAAGAAACGAGCGAGCGAACCTACAGATAAAAATATACCAGATGGTGTAGAGGATGTGATTATTGGAGATGGTGTGCAGAGATATAGAGAGCTGAGGGATATTGAGAGGAGGTTAGATGCGACAATGACGAGAAAGAGATTGGACATTCGGGAAAATGTGGACAGGAATGTTAAGGTTTGTTATCGAAGGTATGGAAAATCCGAGCAACGCTGATTGTCTATAGAGACATCGAACTTTGAGAATTTGGATCAGTAATACGGTCGAAGATCAGCCTTGGCAATCGGATAATACTCTGGATGTGGATGCTTTTGATTTTAGCACGAATATGGACTCTTCGTTCCGGGTCAAGATCGAGGGAAGATTACTGGATGACGATGAGGATGATAGTGATGAAAGTGACGACGAAGATGCAACTGAGGAAGATGGAGCCGATTCTATGGATGTGGATAAGAAGAAGAAGACCAAGGGTCCGGGAAGACTTTACAAATTGTCACATTTCTTTAAATCTATGACAGTTGACTTCGACCGAAATCAACGAACAAAAGATGGAGCAGATCAGAGCGTCGAGTGGAAGAAACCTAGCGTTGCGCCAAATTCCAATAGCCTGCCGGCAGCTGCAGACTTTGACCAATTGGAATTCAAGAGGTCAGGCGATGAAAATTGCAATATTGTCATTAACCTGGTTCGCGATGAGACACCCGAGAGATTTCAATTAAGTCCTGTTCTCGCAGCTATCTTAGATACTAATGTTGGTACTCGTGAGGAAGTCACAATGGGTATTTGGAGTTATATCAAAGCTATGGGACTTGCAGACGATGACGAGAAGAGAACTTTTGAGCTTGACGAGAGACTTAAGCCGGTATGCTGATTATTTAGTCCCTCTAATTGTACCGAACTAACACAACATAGCTTTTCTCAGGTCGAGAAAAAGGATATTGGCCCCAACTTGGTGATGCCATCATATCTCACACAACAATTCTTCAGCCAGTGCGACTTCACTACACCGTCCGTGTAGATAAAGAATTCCACGAAAATCCTCAACCAACCATCTACGATGTCCAAGTAACTGTTGAGGACCCTCTGAAAGCCGCCCTCGAAGCCGCCACCAGAAACCCCGCTTACGCTGACAATCTCCTTGAACTTTCAACTCTAGATAAACAGCTGGCGGTCATTGTCCGAGCAATTGCCAATTCCAAATCAAAACAGTCATTCTTTGAAGGTCTTTCCAAAAATCCTACAGAGTTTATTAGGAAATGGGTTAGTTCCCAAAAGAGAGATTTGGAGATCATTGCTGGGGATGGAATGAGAGGTGGTGGAGAAGATGCTACGAGTGATGAATGGAGAAAGGGTGGTGCGGATAGTGTTTGGGGAAGTAATAATGTGAAGGAACTTGCTGCTTTGATGATTAGTACGGGTAAAGTCAGGACAGTATAGGTTAGGTTAGGAAGGTAAGGGATCGAGATAGAGGGTTCGGTTTTAACTATGATATCAAGATGATTGGAGGGAGTTAGGATTCAACGGAATGAAAAGATGTTCTGTTTGTGTGTAATAATTATAATACGCATAAAGTTGGGATCGGCAAAGATAGTGGATTAAAATGATAAAAGAGAATATATATCAGCAAGGGCAAAAGCTTTTACATTCAACCAATAGTGACACTGTGAGAATATGCAATTGCTTCAAGGAGATCCGGAGCCATTGGTCATTAGGTAAAATTGATTGGTAATACTCCTAGCTACCCCTCCCTGTTCGTACGTCACATTGCAGCCGAGCTCAACCCCTCATTCAAGCCGTTGCCTATTGCTTTATAATAACAACAACAACACATCTATTCTTCCTTCTCTCCTTCCTCCCTTTCTTTTATAAAAGTTCATAAACATACAAATGAAGAGATCTCTATCCCTTCCATCCCTGATAAAAAATTCAAGATTCTCTTCCTCGACAACCTTTTCCCGTTCTTCCTCACTCCTACAGACGAGGATAGAGGTTCAGAAGATTAACCATTCTTTGAATATAGTAAACTCGGGTCTTTTGCAAATTCAATCTCAATCTCAACTTCAATCTCGACTCACAAACAAATCCTTCACAGCTTCATACACGCAATCTCAAATTCGTAGTTACACAAACACCACCCCCAAAAACCCATCAAAAATGTCCACCTCCCAACCCCAAGCACCCCCCTCCTTCAAAAAAGGAAACACAGCACTGATCACAGGCGGCGCCTCTGGGATCGGTCTCAGTCTCGCGGAAACATGTCTCAAATATGGTATGAATGTTATAGTAGTAGATAATAATGGGGATGAGTTGGGGAAGGCACAAATGTATTTGTCGGGGTTGATTACGGGTGAGGGGGAAGGGGAACAACAGGTTGTGGGGTTGAATGTGGATGTGGGGAATTTGGAGGAGTGGGATGCGGTGAAGGAGACGGTGGAGGGGGAGTTTGATGGTGGGTTTTGATTTTGTTTATTTTCTTTTCTTTTCTTTTCTTTTGGAAGGGGTGCGGGGTTTTGCGGTTTGGAGTGAGCGGGGATGGGGATGGGGATGGGGACGGGGATGTTGGTGTTGGTTGTAGTGATATCGGTATGGTATTACTAATTGAGCAGCAAGAGAAGAGAGAAGAAAAAACCAAATCACACACCCACTAACATCCCCCCAGGAAAACTCCACCTCCTCGCCCTCAACGCTGGCATGTCCCAACGCGGCACAATCGGCACCCCCACCTCGCCAGCCTACTTCCAGAAAATCCTATCCGTAAACCTCTTCGGTGTTCTAAACGGCCTAAACACTCTCCTCCCCTTCATAACATCCCACTCCTCCCCCTCCTCTATAATCATTACAGGAAGTAAACAAGGAATTACCAATCCCCCAGGAAATCCCGCATATAATATGTCCAAATCCGCCGTCAAAACACTCGCGGAGCATTTATCCTGGGATTTGAGAGAGAAAAAGGAGAAATTTGTACACCTTTTGATTCCGGGGTGGGCGTATACGGGATTAGCGGGTAGTGGGTCTGCGTTTGTTGTTAAGGAGAATGGAGGGGAGACAGAGGTTCAGAGAGCGGGATTGGAAAATAAACCAAAGGGTGCTTGGTCTGGTGATCAGGTTGTGGAGTATTTACTGGGGAAAATGAATGAGGATGTTTTTTATGTGGTTTGTCCGGATGGGGAGGTCACGGAGGAAATGGATCGGAAGAGGATAGCCTGGGGTGCGGGGGATTTGGTTCATGGGAGACAGCCGTTGAGTAGGTGGAGGGAGGAGTATAAGGGGGAGTTTGAGGAGTTTATGAAGAGGGATTTGTAGGGATTTGTAGGGATGGGCTTGGAGAAGGGGTGGTTGAGATGGTGGATAGATAGTAGCCAGAAGATTATAAGGCCAATTTTGAAGAATTGTTACTACCCTCCCATGAATTTAATTCGAGTATGAGTCTCAAGTATAAAATGAATTTATCTTTGTATGTATGACGTGACGCGTATATGCATTAAACGATCATGTAGATACCATTCCAACCAATATAAATCTCAATAGAGTGAGTATATATACCATGCAAATCCGTAAATATCTGCTCCAAGTGCCACTTTCCCAACGACAGTAAACGCCTCGCTTATAATACAACAGCAAAAAACAGACAAATAATATTAATTCACTAAACCCGCCCAAGGTATCCTATCCTATCCCTCAAACATCACATTCCCTCCCCTCTTCTTCCTCTCCACCTCCATCTCAACTAACCACAACCTCTCCCTCTCCCCCATCACGCCCATTCAAAAAATTAACCTCCTCATCACCCTCCTTCCCCTTAGGAGCCCTAGGAATCTCTTTATCCCTCAATATCCTCTCATCTTCCAACTGTCCTTTCCTCGGTTCTCCTTTTCGTCTCTCGGAAGATACTTGTTCTTTATCATCCCCTGCATTTCCATCCACATTTTTCCTCGCGAGCATCTCTCGCTCTGCCGCGCCTACCCCTTCAAATGCGGCATTCGCGCGCCATGTTTTGCGTTCACGCATTACTTTTACGCGACCCTTAAACCCCAATCCCGCACCATGCTTTTTGTCATCCATTATTTTCCAGACTTGGAGGATGATGGCCCAGCCATGTGTGATTCTCTCTTCTATTTCTTTTCTTTCTGTAGGGTTTGATGCTAGTTGATTTACATCGCGTTGGCCTTGGAGGATTCGGGCTCGTCGGATGAAGGCGGTGGGTTGTTTGCTTTTTACTAGTTCTTTGTGCACGCCTTTTAATGTGTAGCCGAAGGGTCCTATGATGGCACTTATATCCTTCAATACGAATCCGGTAAGACCCATTCCTAATCCTTTTACAAGTCCTAACGCTCCGTGATCCCGAGCTCCTGTGTAAGGTTGCACTACCAAACCTGTTACACCATCGTAAATTCCAAAGATAAATTCTTCTCCAGCTGCCTTCAATCCGCTCTTCATACCTGTAATTCGAGTTGGACGACGCACTGTAGTATCTCCATATAGACGAGGAGCATTGTGAAACCCTTGAGCGAGGGCTAGTGCTAAATCCATGGGTGCGCGAGCTACTGCTTCTGCTGTTTTCCCAAAACCATAACCAATCTCTTTAGCTACTGCTTCGGCTTCATTTGTAGTTGATTCACGTGAGAGCATAGATTGATCGTCAATGTTATTAGCAGCTTGTAAATTTTGTTCTTCACGATTAGCTTGGCTGTATTGGCGAGTTGGTTCACCGCTTGTGGTATGATTCGCCATGCCAGCATTGCATGATGGATCCAAGGCTGCCTCGGGACTCGTGTTTTGTGCTTGTGGCGGTAAATTCGTGCTTTCAGTATTTTTGTTTGGGTCACCGTTCTCCTTTTGATGACTCTCCTCTTGTATGGTCTGATTGTTGAGTGTAGTACTATCGCCACTCTTTCGAGAATATGCTTTCTTCTCATTCAGAGTGCTTCCACTTCCACTTTTTCGTATTTCTTCGGATTTCCTCTTCTTCCTTTCTTCATGCATACTTCTCCTTTTTATCGTCTTTCTAACTTTGAATGGTATACCACCAACACCAGTAGCAATCCCCGTAACCGTACCTGTAACAGCTGTTGTGACGCCACTAATAGGCTCACCCGGTCCTTCGAAATCATTCCACTCATGATGTCTAATGAGTCTTAATTGTTTCCAAGTAATTTGCTTTCTCTCAACCAGCAATTCCGCAGCCAAAGCACTTAATCGTAAATTAGTACCTTTCATGGTCCAAACCGCCACTCGATCTTCCAGAATGGAACAACGCATAGAATGTTCGCCTCGAAGAGTAAGACTTCGATGGAATGATTTGACTGCATTTTCTGCACCATCACCTTCAGCTTCAATATCCTTGGCAATTTTCTCTACTGCTTCTCTTGCCTTATCCGTCAAACACTGCTTGATACCTTCAGCTAATTTATCAGCTGTTAATTCCTTGTATGGAACGGGATCTGCTCCAGCTCCTGAGCTACCAATCATAGATCCCCAGAATTGTTGATCTCCAAAGAATGGAACAATCATGGTTGGCTTTCCACATTTAAGACCAATAGCTGTAGTTCCAGCACCGCCATGATGTACCACCGCCTTAACCCTCGGAAAGAGCCAATCATGGGGTGTATTTTCGAGCATAAACACATTATCGGGTGTATTGTCACCACCAAGGCCACCCCATCCTTTTGATACCAATGCCCTTACTCCAGCTTTCTTTACGGCCTGGAAAATCATTTCTGTAAATTTATCAGGATCATCAACAACGATAGAACCAAAACCAATATAGACTGGTGGCTCTCCATCTTCAAGAAATTTGGTAAGATCATCCGGTGGTGTGAATGTATTTGCGAGATCAAGAAAAACGAAACCAGCAACATCAATTTCTGGTCCCCAATCTTTTGGTTTTGGTACGAGTCCAGGTGACCAGAGGTACGTATAAGGAACTTTTAACCGATAAAGCTGACCTGGGGCCCATAATGTTGACACCGGTTCCAGACCTAAAGTCTTTACTCTGAAATTGTTGACTAGATCACCAAGACCTTGCCAAGTCATCATTTCCACCAATGGGTATGACATAAAGTTCGTGTATCCTGGATCCACATTTGTTTTCTTGATATTGGCCAAAGGATGTGGAAATGCTTGCGTGGGAGTATATGGGAATGTGAACATGAGATGAAGAGGTACACCTAGTCGTTCGGCGCAATGAACGTGTGCAAAACTTGGAGGATTTGCAATAATAGCGTCTGCGACAAATGGTGCTCTATCTCCCATCATCTTAAGATTTTTAACATTTTTCTCTTCGTCTGTAGCATTGATGCAAGCTCTCCAGAAGCCTTCAAACATCTCTGCCATCTGTTCCCTTCGTCTCCCCACTTCTCCTTTCTTAAGAGTATCCATCGTCGGTATCATTCCCGGATTCTTAACCATGAACGCCATAAGTTCTGCAGGATCCCCACCAACAGAGAAAAATTCCAAACCGGAATCTTTCTGAACAAAATCTCGGAACGCGGGATGTGTTGCTATTCTCACCCTATGGCCATACTCCTTCAAACACTTTCCCAATTTCAAAAATGGTTGTATATCGCCACGACTTCCAATAACCATTACAACAATATTCAACTTAGGTCTGGGCAAATCTGAAGCGACTGTGTCGTCCGATGGAATTCTCGAGAGTTTACCTCTTTGACGTCTTACAAGATTCGCCTCTGGTGACTCGCCTGCCATATTATCATTCCCGACTTTATTGAAGAAGGTGGCACCTAAAGCTTTAGCAAGATATCCTCTATTACTGGTCTCATTGACACTGATATTTAATCGTCCATCTCTCTTCGAGACCCTTCCCTTGGTGTTGAAATCTTCATTTCCAACCTGAAATTTATTATATTGTTTCCTGCCACCCGTATCTGTATTTTTCCTCCCTGGCATTTGTGTCCTTTTCTTCTTTTCTGCTGGAATATCTTCCTCGTCCTCACTGCTGCTGCTACTTGTAGAATCGTCGTCCTTAGAAACAGGTCCTTTACTCCAAATCGCTTCATTCAACATTGACGTATTCGTTTGACCTCTCCTGTAAGCTGGCGCCAGTAGAGAGGATTTCCTCGCTGCTTGGGGTCTTTCGGTTTGCCATAATTTCGTAGGTGCAAGGTTGGGCCGTTCTGTTTCTTGATGTACATTGTTCGGGGTATTCTCAGTAGAGATGTATGATTCCGTGGCGGATATTGGTATTGACTGTGATGGGGTTTGTGCAGCCCCATTTGCCATCGCAGGTCCGTTGTTAGCAGTCATATCTGTTGCTGCTTGTGACATTATATATTAAGTATTAGAGATACAAAAGAAGCTTGTGAGAGTAGTAAAAATAGAACTCTTCAAGAGATTCAAACAGCCATCAACAAAATAGAAGTGGTTGATAGCGCGAAATCAAAAGTGAAAATATGAAGTAGGTAGGTTAGTGAATAATAATAAAGCAAAGGGATGAGAATATCAGATATGCGTTATCAAGTGTTACAACCCGAAGTGCCCGATCGCACACCAGTTAGCAAATGAAACGCCCTCTTTTCTCCCGGTACGGTATCAAAAACATCTGGATGCTCCAGTGGAATGACTCAAATCATTCAACATAATACCAAAAGAGAAAGAACTGGAGAAAAAGGTCCGGGGGGTTGAACTGATGGTTACCTTAAGGCTTAATTAAGCCTTGGACACTTGCCATATCGTGGCTTAGCATAGCCAAAAGAGGCTAGATCTGGACACATAAATTGCCAAAGGAGAATCAAGAATCATCAGATCAAGCGGGTGTTGTGTGCCCAGCCTAGAGATGTCGAAAAGGGAAGTGAAAAGAGAAAAAAAGTATCATGTCGTCATGATTCATTCCATCAACTCCCGGCTCTCGATAAATTAGATCCGTGCTAAGCGATTTCGGAAATCAGCCACACAACCTTGATTTAACTCCCTTGCTACCCTGTCCTTGGCTGTTCCTGACCGGCCGGCACTTTTTAATGGAAAAACAACATCAGATGATCTGATCTATGTTCTCATCCTCAATAACGTCATGTTTGGATTATTATACATATACATGTATGTACCTATGTACCCATGAATGCTGAGGACAAAATGATAAAAATCTAGAACACTTTGGAATGTTCCACCACATCTAAGCAATTTCATTTCTAGCTCAACAATCTGAGGCTGATGACCTCGACTACACCCAAAGGACCAATCAGAAGAATAGATCTGATGAATTGATTACCTAGTATTGCAATCCAAACCAGTCAAACTCTACATCTTATCTGCATCTGCATCACAACATTTCCACATCCATCCTCATACAGCATGGGCAATGTAGCGAATAATCTAATAAATCTATAAAAAGATAACATTATTTTTGTAACAATATTTGTAACAATATTCATAACAAAAGTCCCTCCGAAAACTCCTCATCAATTCATCCATCCCTTAAGCACCGCCTTATTCCTCGTCCTCCAATCTCCCATCAGAGCTTCGCGTCTGCCACATCCTCATCTCAGCATTACGAGCTCTAACACCATCAATCCAGCTCTGTTCATCATCACCATTTTCCCTACCACCATAAAGACCTTGAAACCCATCATCAGACATTCCTGCTGGTGAACCGGATCTCTGTCTTATCCAGCGAGCATCAGGTTCATGCATCCATCGCTGAGCAGAATCTCGATCGAAAGGATCACTTGGTCGACCTAGAGTAGCAACTAGAGGTTCTGCAATGTGATCTCTCAATCGAGCCATAGATCGAGTCGTGGGCGCAGTATAGGATGGGTGATATTGGGACTGATGCCGAGCTTCGGGTAAATGGGCAGGAGTTTGAGGTTGAGATGCTGCGGGAAGGGAATCGTTGTACACTGAGTATCCTCTAGATGGAGTATATGTTCGTGGACCTGTATCACTACCTCTTCTGCGGGGTGGCTGGGGTCTTGTACGACGACGTGGTGATGGAGATGGTGAAGGGGGAGGAGATTTACGTGAAGGTGATCGGGATATGGGACTCGAGAATAGGCGTGCAGCAGCTCTGACGATAGGATTTAATCGTCGACGCCCACCTGACTAGTGCACAAGGAGGTTTAGAAGGAGCAAACGTGTAAATATAAAAGTGAACTCACAGGTGGACTCGATGCTTGTCTCTCGTCATGCTCTCGAATTAGTTGACTAATGATGGAGCTTGAGATAGAGATATCTCTTGAGGGGCTTACTGAAGGACTCCCTTGAAAGCTTCTAATGATGCTTGCAGGTGAAGGCCCGCTTTGATTTCCACCTGGCGAAGAACTTGGAAGTGATTCTGCCCTCGAGACCGACCTAGAAACGGTTGAAAATGGTGGTGGCAGACGCAATTCTTGGGAACGATTAAAGGAAGATGTGGTGGATATTACGGATCGCTCTGGGATTAAAACAAGACTATGGACGTCCATTTCTTCGTCGCGAATAAGTCGATCAGGATTCGATTCGTTTTCAGTTTCATTTGATTGCGCTGATACTTCCCGATCCGAAGAAGGATGCTCTTGACTACGAATGGAACTTGCAAACGACGGTATCCGAGAACTCTGCAAGGAACTTCCACGCAATTCTTGACGAAGATTAAGGCTTTCCGATGGCCGTGGTCGGCTATCGGTCGTTGACGAAGATAATGCCCTTTCTTGTTCGTAAGCAACGCTAGATCTTTCCGAGTCGTCAAATGAAAAGCTGTTAGCTTGGTGTCTCAATGTTCGAGGCTGACGTGTTGAATGGGGATGAGGGCTGGGTCCAGGGCGTCGAGCTGGCTGGGTAAACATAAAATCCGGAGTGTTATGAGTAGCTACACGAGAGACAACCCTGGGAGTTAAACTAGCTGTGGACTACAAGATGCGGGAGTTAGTCAACCCCCCGAAAGAGCCTTTGCAACACTCCAGGCGGATTTGAAGAACGAAGGTATACTTACACGTAGCTCCGGTGAGCTGGATGCATTTTGTGCAAGGAACAAAGGTGAGCGTGGTAACCTTGTACGAGCTTGTAACCTCTGTGCTGCCGGCGGTTGGAGATGAGGAGTGGTTGAGGAATCTTCTGGTTCTAAAAGAAATTAGTGATTTTGCTATATCTTGATTATTTCATGTCTTGTGTAGCGTCAAATGTGCGAAGCTCTTAAACTGTGGTGTCACTATCATATAGAGTAAAGCCCTACCGAAAGGTGAAGATCCTCGACTTTGATCACTTTCTTGCTGACTAGGACTTTCGACAAATCCACCGTAGTCAAAATTGTCTTTGGAAGGCGAAGAGAGCCGTCTAGTACCCAAATTCTCGAAGGATTCTTCGCCCGCTTCAAGCTCTGCCGACTCCTGGCTACTTTGAGCGTCCTGCATCTCATCCATTATCCTTCCTCGCCTCGCGTCTAACCATTCTTCAAATGTTTCCGTATTTTTGGCATTGTGTAACTTATCTGACGCTATCAATACCGAAGAGTAATCTACAGAATGGTTGTTTGTGATTGTGCCATCGGAAGAGCGAGGGGATGGGTTTGTCCAATCGAAAATATCAAAACCTTGAGCATGAGCAGGAATTTGCAAAACACATTCCAATGGCAGAGGGGATTCAAGTCTAGGAAACTTATAAGCCTCATCTGGTTTTTGATTAGTCTGATTTGCGAAATGACTTCCGTCGGTGCTTGGTATAGCATTAGCAGATGGGCCATGGGCTCTGGTTCTTGGGCTGATGGATCTTATTGGTAAAATGATCTGTGAGTGAGGCGTGGCTTGTGGAATATTCCCAGGCTGCAGCTTCGCTCGGCGTTTTGCGCGTCTGTCATAGTCCCTAATATCGCCCAAACCAATGGTTATGAGGGATGGGGTCAGTCGAATCATGACTGTACTAGTGACTGGAGATCACAATTAAGGATGGAACAAGATCACAAAGGATATGCCATGCAACTCTTAAAGAGAAAGCATTTATTCACATCGGATGAAGATTTTTAGGCACTTCACTGGAAGAGGAAAGAACATTGATATAACCACTGTGTGAAAGGTAACAGAATATGGGTCATATTTGGGCCTCTTGATCCACCTTTCGTTGCATTGGGAAAGAACGAACAAGAATAAAGTCAGCCATTTGGAAGAACATGATTACACCCTGAAGCTACTGAGACTTTGGGATAGCAATAAAGTATAGCAAATAATTGAGCATGGATGACAAGATGGTACAGCAGTGTTGAGATATTTTATGGTCTGATATTAGATCACCAGAAAACAGCCCCTCTGGCTTCAAGCAAGAGGCCAGCTCAAAAAGATAATTTTTCTATGAGCGGAAATAACCTCATACACAAGTCAACTAGATTCGAGAACGGTTGGTGAAAGGTTTATGTTATCAAACCAGAATATTTTTAATATGTTTCCGAATTGATGAATATGCAACCAAGCTTTGATTGAGACAACTTATGGTGTTGATTTGGCATAATGCGTAACCTAAGCTACGGCAGCAGTGAGAAACATGAAATAAAGACACGAGGTAGGTAGGTAGTTTCAGGAGATCACAATGGTGGTGGTACACCTCATTTGTGAAGTCAAATACCAAATGGGATTAAAGGGCATGCACATGCAAGTCATGATGATGAAATTGGCTGAGCGTGGCCTTTGAGCAAGTCCGTTGTTACCGTTGTATCGTCCGTATCGTATCGTATCGTATCGTATCGTATCGTATCGTATCGTACTTGAGTACCGACCGTAGAGTCTTATTAATAATAATAATAATAATATTACAAGTCGGACAAGTCGGACAATGTCGTACCTGAATTTTCAACCTTGGGAGGAGGTGGAGGTGGTGGTGGTGGTCGTCGTGGTGTGGGTGTTTGATGGGTGTTTGGTGGGTGGCTTTAGAGCGGCGTTCAATGCATATAGGAAACATATTCCGTTCCGTACCCTACTGGAACAAACTTTGCAGAACGATCAACGCGAGAGACATATTTGATTAGATGATCTATCTCACAGGTAGGTGTGTGTATATCATCATTCGATCGTTGTCGGATGGATTTTCCGATGACTAAGAGATTTTGTTTGCCGAAATGCCACCAAATATATGATCAGCTGGGTGATGTATTCACACCCAAACTTTATAAATTTGGCCCATTAACAATTCCACTTTATTGACAGACATGAATTCTCTTGTTCAGATGATGGATAATGGATAATGGATAATGGACAAATGGACAAATGGACAAATGGATACTAGCTAATGCATACGAGATGTACCGAATCTATGCAACTGGAAGCCATTGGCACCCCTATACATAATTGTTTGGCATTTTTAACCAGACAAGGTGTAGCCAAATATAGCTTTTCCCCAATGATTTATTCCTCAGCCTCTTTATTTAGTCCACCCGTCTACTGCATTGCACACATAGGCAGCTAAGCTATAGGTAGACATCTATACGGAGTACGGAGCAACAACATCCATCATACTTTGCTCTTGCTATCTATCACTGTACCATACCAGAACTCAAATCGGGAAAACTCGAAAACTTACATCTTCTTCCTCTTATTATTGTTAAATGGTCGACCGGTACATATAATATACCTTTGTTTACCTTTCCCTCGCTCGCTCGCTCACTCACTCGCTCACTCACTACAGCAGCGGTAGTCATCTTGAATGAATGGGACACTAGAAGATCTTGTTAGGAGTTCATTTCGTTTATAATTAATTAGTGTTCTCTTTTACAACTCGACTACTTGAATGAATACCTAATCCCAATCCCTAGTAGTGAACATTGATTCAACACAACCAATCAGTCTTTCCAGTCTTCCGAATCTAAGCCGTCTGGAAGTTCAATTTAAAAAAGAAGAGGACATTATTCTGACTGTTTTCTTCGTAATTGTCTATCTTTGGATCCCCCCGGCAAAAAGAACAACTGAGAAATTTAAATCAATTGCAACACACCTACCTACCTTACCCAGACAAGGTACGCGCACCAAAGCCACAACTGTATACGCAGATCAAAGTACCGTTCAGTGACTTGTCCTACGTATACATATCGATTCCAGATCCCCAAAAAAGATAGGGATAGGGTCACCAAGACTCACGCACATTCAAAGCCTCGTTACTTGTTCCTCTACTTCGGTGGAAATTTTAAATTATTCTTCTTCTTCATATTATTATTATTTTTAATTTCCCTCATTCGCTCGCTCGCTCGCTCACTCACTTACTCACTCACTCACTCATCCACTTCCTTCTTTCCTTCTTTCCTTTCCTCACCTTTCCAATCCTATCATCTGCTAGAACAGCCAGGATCGACCTTCATAATATTAGCAGCATTGGGATGATATAGGCTAAGAGCAATTTCGCTGCTTGACGGCCATTTCACCGCACGACTGTACCGGTAAACTAGCAACCAAAGAAAGAGTGCCAATATGGAGAACGATTTATCCCTATCTCAATCCTTCGGTGGCTTACGGATAGCTAATCCTGATGATGCATCATCCGGCACATCGACTGTCGAAGCTTCGAATGATCGCAATGACGAACACACAAATGACGAACCTGCATTCGTCCCAGCCCAAGCCGCAGATTTGACCCCTTCGGAAACTAGAGACGCGCGGAAAACCCCAGATTCCCAAACCCAATCAAAACGACATTCCTTATTCAATATCCTCCGACGCGGCTCACCCAGCGACCCTTCTTCAAACTCGACGCCATCCCCAGAACTTCCACAAACGTCAGATCCGAAACGCCCAAATTCACGTTCAGCCTCAAGTAGTGGTGAATCTATAAAGGTACAGGCGCAGCAAGAGCCTTTGCCGAGGCCTGTAGGAGCAAAGGCATATCGACAGTCGATGCCCATGAATCACCAATCTCAACAGCAACAAGCATTTCCCCCATATCAACCACATCCCATGCAGAACGGATCTCGAGCGTACCCACCTCCGGGCGCCGGCAGGCCAATGTCAGGTGTCTACGCAGCGCAACCCCCTCCAAACGCAATACCAAATAGAGATCACGGATCATATCGAGTGAGGAGCGAATCTTCGAATGCTTCAATACATAGTGGAGTATTGTCAAGGAGTGATTCAAGGTCGGCAGCCACAGCAATGCAGGCAGGAGTGCCTTCGAGAGAAGGAAGTCACAGAGATCGAGCATACAATAAGAATCTTAACATGCCACCAGGTAACGGGCCCGTGCCACCAAGGAGAGGTTCGAGGGGAGTGGGTGGAGGCTACGATAATCCGGCACATCCCAAGTCTGCTGCTGGCACACATTATGACACCGAGGGAAATGTGGTCACCGCTGAAGAGTGGAAAGTAAGAGGTGCCGCAGTAGGCGTTCGTGAAGAGATTGATGCGGACGGGAAGGTGCACCTGAAGCAGGTGAGGAAGGGAGTGCAAGATTTCATTTTTGGGCGTACATTAGGAGAGGGCTCATACAGCACCGTATTATTTGCAACGGACCGCCAGACACTGATAGATCATGCCGTCAAGATCCTGGACAAGAAGCATATAATTAAGGAGAAAAAAATTAAATATGTAAATATAGAGAAAGATACTCTAAACCGATTATCGGATCATCCAGGTAAGAAAGAAACCCCACGCCCCTGGCAACCTCAATGACTGCGTTCAAGTATCGTTCTCTTGTTTCCCATATGTCCCATCGGAGCGCGTGTTTGTTCTAATAAATTACATAGGTATCATCCGATTATTCTTCACGTTCCAGGATAGCGCGTGTTTATATTACGTCCTCGAGTATGCCAGCGGTGGAGAATTGTTAGGAGTATTAAAAAAGACGGGGTCGTTTGATGTGGAGTGCACGAGGTTCTACGGCGCTCAACTTCTCGAGGCAATAGATGCTATGCACCAGAAGGGAGTGATACATCGAGATCTGAAGCCGGAAAATGTTTTATTGGATGAGAAAATGCACATCAAGATCACAGATTTTGGAACTGCTAAACTACTCCCGGCTCCTGGATCGACTCCAAAGTCATATGACATAGCCAACAATGGGGAAGAAGAATCAACAAGGGCGAGTTCGTTTGTTGGGACGGCCGAGTACGTCAGCCCGGAGTTATTGACGGACAAGAACGCTTGCAAAGCAAGTGATTTATGGGCTTATGGGTGTATCATATACCAACTCTTGGCTGGACGACCTCCTTTCAAAGCTGCTAATGAATACCTAACCTTTCAAAAGATCGTCAGTTTGGAGTACGAGTTTCCCCCAGGATTTCCCCCTGCCGCCAGAGACCTTGTCGAAAGGCTCCTCGTTCTTGACCCTCAAAGGAGATTATCGATTGAGCACATCAAAAATCACGAATTCTTCGACGGAATGAGATTTAATCGGGATTTGTGGAAAGTGAAAGCTCCCAGGTTAAAGCCTTATGTTGCACCTGCACAAGAACCTCATTTGATCATGCTCAATAATCTTTCAACCACACCTCCAACATCACGCGCACCAGCACAACTTACTACGTCCAATGGTAACTCGAGACCACAGCCTAGGATAATCACCGAACTTCCTCCACCAACTCAGCTCGACATTGAATGGTCGCCCGTGTTAACACGAAGTAACGAGCGTATTTTGAAATTGGGGAATTTAATGGTTTTATCCTCGCCATTGCCCCATAGTCCTAGCTCGAAGAATGGCGAAGATGTCCCTGAAAAGAAAGGAGGATTCGCCAGATTCTTCGGGGGTTCGACAACCAAGAAAAGAGCAAGGCTTGTGATGGTCACGTCTAGCGCGAGAATCATTCTAGCTGCTGCTGGTGGCGATGAAAAGAAGACAAAAATGGAGATATCCTTGTTAGCCTCTGATTGCTCATGGCGAACGCAATCAGATTCTAAGGGACAATCCGTGTGGTGCGTGGACACAGTAAGTTAGTTCACGTCCAATAACTCATTTAATACTGATCACAACTAGCGTGGAACACATTATACCTTCGAAGACACCAAAACTTCGGTAACCTCCAATGATCCTGCGAAAACATCGGCACAAGAATGGATTGAAGCTATTGAAAAAGCCAAGGATATGGCTCTATCGCAAAATATGGTTGGCTCTTACAACAGCGATACTGGTTTCGATATGTCATCCGCCGCCACAAGTCCCACCAGCACTATCCATGGAACAAGCATCTATCAAGACAACTTTGGCCCCAGTGACCGATCGGGTCGGCATCATCTAACCAAGAGTCAGGCCAGTCTAGGAGGAGAAGACGCTTTTGGAGACTCTAGAAAGAAGTCCCACCGTTTCAGTAAAAGACAGTCAAAGAATGGACTTTCAACGCCCTTTTAATGGTTATCCGTGCGGCTACAGAACAAGATTGATCGAGCCTTCAAGTCGTTCAGACTTGGGAAGCATTTACGCCCGCAAACGCAGACTGCTGCTGCACGGCACTTCTAGAAGGACATACGTCCATAAATCATACCCATTTCTCACACATCAAATGATGTTATTTTCAATCATTTTCCAGTTATTGGTCGGCATTTGCTAGCGTGGCGCAAGGTTTCGGGATTTTTTATTTGATTGGTGCATCTGAAATGCAGCACTTCATAGCATTCCTTCCTTGGGTCATTGGGGTAGAGGAGAATTTAACGACTTGACATGACTTTTTTGTTACTTTTATTTTTCGTTGTAGCCAAATTACCCAGCTGCTTACATTTCTCCCGCAAAATTTTCCTTCAAGTTCGTCATACATCACTCGTTTCTTCTCCAAAATTCCGTCGGGATGGAGTAACATCATCGACGCTTATATACTTGTATTTGTGAAGCAAGCAGAGATAAAACTGACCCGAGAGATCAAGTATGACAAGAATATCTTTTATTAGCTCATACATCTCAGGAGGCTTGCTTGCTCGCTAACGATTAGCCTATCGCAATTTTTTTGACATGACGAATATTTGGACTTGACTTTTTGCTTCTAATTTTTCCCTTTGTTTTTGGTGGCAGAATTCTATTTAAGGTTCAGGGCGGATGGAGATGGGACGGGGAAAGATCTTTTCAATAATTATATTAGCTACTTAGCTTACTTACACTTACTATGGATATGGACAGGTAGTGTTGTTTTAGTTTTTGGGAATCATTCGGAATGCGGGATTGGGATCGCGCGTTTTCCGAAAATCTTTCCCTGGCCTTGGGAAATGAAACAGAGAAGATGTGCGGGGAGTTGGTGGTGAGGGTGGGTATGGTGATTATAGAGCGTCGGGAGGAGGATGTTGAAATGGGAAAGCCAAGATATTATGGCAGGGCTTTCGGGGTGAATTTGAATGGATTGGGAAGGAAGGCGAGAAATATAAATGCAGATGCAGATGTAAGAGAAGACTCCGGAGGACAGATAAGAGAGAGTTGGAAAATAAGAGAAGAGAAAAGAAGAGATTATCAAGGCAATTGATTGTACATTAGAGATTTCTACTTCATCTACCGGTTTTTTTTCGGCTGGAAGGCGACAAATAAAGAAAGAAGGGGGAAGGGAAGGAGAATCTATGGATTTGGTGCTGGTGTTGGTGTTGGTATTGGTGTTAGTTACTTGTGCGGTGATGGATAAGGTGGATGCATGGATGCATGGATGTACAGGGCAGGGCAGGGCATTGGGGTGGATAAGTGCTAGGATTAGGAAGAAGAATAAGAATAAGAATAAGAAGAAGATTAAGAAGAATAATCAGATAGATAAATAAGAAGATAAGATGGTTGAATATATAGTAGTAGTAGTAGTAGTATTATCGTGCTCTGGTCTGGTCCTGCGATCTCACTCCCATTCATTAATTGATTGATTGATGTAAGATTAGAAAAGTTGATATTGGGTTGATTTGTGCTGGTGTTTTGTGTTGATTCTTTTGGGGAGGCAGGGAGGAGAGGAGAACGGCGTTGTAAAATGACTTTTCGGGGAATGATGGTTCTTGTTTTATTGGTATCGTGGTTTTGAGTAGCAAGGAGATTAGAGGGTGGGTTTTGGATTTGGTGATTTGGTTTTGGTTGAGTTTTGTAGTTTGATTGATTGCGGGTGAGTTGGATGTTGGGGTTTGAGCTGATATTTGATAGGATAGGTGAGGTGGTTGGTTGGTTTATAAATGGTATATATAGAAAATAAATTAGAATATAAAATATAAAATATAAAATATAAAATATAAAATATAAAATATAAAATATAAAATATAAAATATAAAATATAAAATATAAAATATAAAATATAAAATATAAAATATAAAATATAAAATATAAAATATAAAATATAAAATATAAAATATAAAATATAAAATATAAAATATAAAATATAATTTATATTTATACTTTGTGATTTTCCTTTAATATTTATATGAATGTTTCATTTTTGTTATTAGTAGTAATATCAGAGAACTAACATTCAGCATTAGGGAATGGAAGTTAGAGGATAGGAATTGAAGTTGTGAAGTTGGATTTGAAGTCAGAGTTGACGTTAGATGAATAGTAAAGAATGTGAGGGAAGAGTGACTGGAATTAGTTTGTATAAAAGTTAGAGGATGAGGCTTAAAAACTTGAAGCTCAGATAAATATGAAGATTCATACAATTATAAGAAGTAAAATCAGGCTTTTTTTTTTATAGATTTTTAATCTGCTTCTATATTCTCCTCTCCTTTTTGGATTATAGACGACCATGTAAAGCGAACCAGCGCTCGGTGCAGCTATATCGAAACATGGAAACATGGAAACAAATAAATTCAAAAACTTTTGAGTAATAGGAGAACATTTCAGCATGTTCCATCCACACTTCCACATGTATCGCACTCCCTATCACGACATCAGACCTGCTACATAACCCCTATTGGCCGGCTCGGCGTTCACTGCTGCTACTATGCTGACCACTAGTACTGCCACGCCTATTATTGGTAGTATCTTCATGCTGATATTGGCTACCTGTTGCTGAGGGGTGTGATGAGGTCCATTCTTGTGTATCTGGATTGTAAAGAGGGATGTGAGGGGCAGGTATGGACCCGAAAGAGGTATCACCAGCGTATGAAGTGACAAACGACGCATTCGATTGCTGGAAATCGTACTGCTCACCCGGCTGGCCAGTATGGGCTGTTGTTTCTAGCAATAGTGGAGGGGGGTTACTCTGATAAGTGGGTGCAGGCTGTTGATATTGTTGTTCTTCGGTGTACTTAGAGAAGTTTGGAGTAGCGTTTGCCTCGCCTGGTTGAAGTTGACGCTGGGCCTTTAAAAGGTACCGTTTCATGGAATTTTCGGTTTGAAATTCGACACGTGGATATTGGGGCTGTGGATGAATTTGTTGTGATTGAGACTGTGGAGCATCTTCTGGTCGATTGGGGAGATGTCCAGTTCGTGAAGACTGTACTCCCTCATATTCGCAGGTCCCCTCCAGGTAGGCTTGTCTGCACTTGTTATTATCGTTTAGGTGCCCGATTTTCCAATTTGGCACACCGGGATCCGCCCATTCATTGCAACCTCCACAATGTCCCATATCATACAATGACCTATTAACTCTAGGCACAGGAAGTTCTTCCTCTCGGAACCCGGATGTCAACAAGTGCATTTCCACGGTTTCAGCATCATGAACCTCCCCGTAGCCCCAATACGCGGTCGGTTCGTCCACGGTGCTGTCAATGCCATGATCTGACATAACTTCTGGTTCGCAAAATACTAAGGCGCGTAATATAGTAATTCCTTCTGTGGTTCTTCGAATATTGGAATGAAATTAATCGATGGTAACGGTTTTTAGACTCGATATGTGTTTGTATGAAATTTTCGAAGGCTTTAAGGCCAGAATATACTGTTTGATCTTCTGTATTGGGATACTTCGGTGTGGATATAATGGATATCTTCTTAATGTAGGTGTGTAGGTGTGGCAGATGTGGATGTGTAAGTGTATGAATGTGTGGAGGGCTGAATGTAAGTAAGTATATAGAGCTTAGTTCTAGAAGGGGAAGTGCGGTCCTTTTATACATGTTTGCAAGCTGGAAATTGGTGCTCAAAGTGACTGGAAAAGCCCGCCAAAAGATAAAATATGAATAGTAGATGTGGTAAATAGATATTATACAAGTGAGTTTCACCATACATGACTGCAAGGATGAGCTGGAAAAGAGAAAAAGAAGTATTCACAGTTAAAGAATGTAGTCAATATCATCATTCACAGATTTGGGGCATATATAACTGTCAAAATGAATCACGGATAGTGGAAGTTCATATTCATGATGTGGAAATGTGGATATGTGAGTATTACTCCTATGAGTTCTTTAGAAATAACCGTGGAATGACTCGAAAATGACTGAAAACAGATTACTCCGTCACTGATACCATTCACTTGATGAGAAAATACTAAATGTAAATTTATTTCACAGGCACTTGCGGGAAATAACTGTTATATTAATGCTTTAAGTCAAATATATGTGACTTTGATATATATTAGGAATATACACATGAAGTTTGAGAAAAATGCAAATTTGACTTTTGTTACCCTTTCAGGATTATAGTAACTTTACTTTCTCATCTTCCATGAATCATCTCGACATAGCTCAGGGCTTGTAGCGTAGACAGAAAATCCTAATACTTCCTTGTGCTCATTCATTAATGGCCCTGAATAATAGACTCCGCTCCCCTCTCCCCACCCGCATGAACCGAACTTTGCACATTTCCTCTCACTAAAAGTGGAAAATAACTCTCAACGATCATTCTCAATATTTCTACGTCACAGCACTTTAAATTTCTCATCAACAACTCCACGTTTTAAGAAGAGTTGGCATTGAACATATACTGATGAGGTGATGTTCGGATTTTAATAAGTGATCCAACATTGGATTTTATTAAGAGGGTAATAGTTTGATTGGTAGACGGTGTCGTTTCCTTGTGGGTATGACGGAGGCGAAGGATTGGCGATGTGTCGTTATGGTGGTGACAAGGATCAGATCAAAGGGTGAGGGAGGTAACTGGAATCCAGCTTGGGCAGATGCACGGAGAAGGAGAGGAGATGCGGGTGAAGTTGGGGGAAAACGGGTGTTCGAGGACACCGAGGAGGCTGGGGAAGCTGGCAGGTTTGATGGGCAAGAAAAGTTGGGAAAAGTCATTGACCCCGAAGAATACATTTCGCCGCTTACGGTAAGCCTGTGGTGTTGTGCCAGTTTGTGTGTAGTTTTATGGGTAGATATTTTGAATTGAGGGCATCTGTGGGCGGGAATGTGTGGTATGAAAAGTTGCAAAGTTGAAATGTTTAAATGGGAGATCACTCGAATCATCCGCTGGCCGAGGAAATATTTGTCACAAATTTCCATTGCTCTTTGCTTGGTCTCGGTGTAGATCTCTACAACTCCTTTGCAGAGCTCACTCGCTTTTGCTTGACTGCCTCACTTGAGAATAATTGGGCTGCAATTTACACTGCTCCTTAAGTCCAGGTCAAAGCTTATCCAAGAATTTCGTCGGAGGTTTCAGGTTATCTCAACAGATTTTTGGACGAGACAGAAGTCTCGAACTTCGGGTAGTAGTAGGAAGGAGAGCGGCAGCATTGCTGGTGTATCGCTCATACGCCGCATCGAATATGGAGGTTCCGCGAAATTGTCCGATGTAGTTATGCCAGGATTGACTTTGAAGCTTGAGATATTGCTAGCTAAAGTGCGGAAGTATAGCACATTAGGATATCTTACCCAATTGGAACATAGAAATGATCTTGTAAGTTTTCACCCACATTTTGCCGATCCATAGAAACATGGATTCCTTGTTTTTGGAGTGTATCCGTAATTCTTATTCCTGATAACTCAAGTATTTGGGGACTTCCAATTAAATCTGCACATAAGATTAACCTTTCTTCTTCTTTCTTTTTGGCATTAGCAATAGTTCGATTCGTGTTTTCCACCCCGGAGGATTTATTTTTCCATAAGTGCCAGTAATCACTTTCAGATTCGGGGTTTTGAGACAGACAAGTAATATGCATTCGCTGCAGACTTCTCTTCTACTATTCAGATCCAAACCCAAAGGATTGAGATATTCTCCTCATGCATCTCTCGGATCACTTTTCACTCCCAATCCAAGAGCTTCGGAAGTCCTAGGCCATGGTTCATCTATTGATCCCATAGATATCCGGAAACGTGTTGAGTATTGCCCATTATCACCATGAATACTTGGAACGATGCTTCCATCTTCAAAGCTGTTAAACAATGCGAGCGGTACCACAAAGTGTTTAAATCATTTGAAATTGGGTCAAACGCTTCCCTTGACCAAGTCGCATTTTCAAGCTTGCGCCAGTTTATTGATACTATATTTGGAGGCATGTGTCCAATGTAGAAAGTTTATAGAGCTGGAACCCCACAGCTGTTTGTCTTGTGAATAAACGACGACTTATTAGCTGTTTGCGTTCACGTTTGAAAGCTGTCAAGGACTACATTCGTGAAGGAAGAAGATATTATACTGACCAGCGATACAGTGATACAATTCCAATCGTACACAGGACCACCGTACATGACTGTATATATACCTGAGGCGAGTAAATTTGTGTCATTTGAGTGGCCGTTACTCAGACGAGCTGCTATTGTTAGGCCTCCTGGGACGTTACCCCAACAATGCTAGATCGGATCGGTTTTTTCCTTGACACGGAAAATCTTCTTTCACTCACATATAGTCATAACTCTGAGCTGACTTAGAAGTGATAGCAATGGAGAGGGGTGTTTGGATGAAAAATATATTAAGCAGCAATCGTATGTTTGTCATTGTATTAAACTTAAATACAGCGTGTGAGTATACAAATTGATCCAACTTCAGGAAACTGATACTTGGCGTAGGTCAGATTCAGATGTAGCATTGCAATATGCTATGTGACCAAGAAATGCTGGTCTGCAGTCTGCTCGCTGAGAGTGTACACCATTTCATGCAGGATATTGACCCCTAAAACGCTCTTCGAGTCACCCATTGTCTTTGTTGTTCGTGACCTGATAACTACTACAGGCTCAATACGAATTTGATGTAGAACCTATGATCATCATCGAAGTCATTGGTTACATAAAGATTATATCCAAAATAAAAAAATCGATATGGGATTTTACATACAGCACTAAGTTGAACGGTGAGACTATTCATTGGCTGAAAACATTTAGTGTCAAATTGTTCGAAAGGCTGATCCACAGCCTCGATATGACTCAGCTTTATTGGTCGTACAACATTCAATTTTGACTCACGAAATTCATTGCCCGTCGTCCCGACCCCGCCAAATTATATATTCCACTGGAGACTCCTTCCAAACATCTTCAGACTTTCCATAACTCAAACACAAAAAAATATGGATTTCCCAAAAGAGGAAGAAGAAGTTCTCAGGAAGTGGAAGGAGATTAAAGCTTTCGAGCGACAACTCGAGTAAGTCAACTTGCATACACAATAATTGAAAACGAGATCAATATGTCCTGACCTTGTTTCGTTCCTTTATAGGCTTTCTGAAGGGAAGCCTCGATATACATTTTACGATGGACCTCCTTTTGCAACTGGTTTGCCTCACTTTGGTCACTTACTCGCATCCACCATCAAGGATACTATTACCCGATATTGGTCAATGAAAGGATATCATGTTGAGAGACGTTTCGGATGGGACACACATGGCTTGCCGATTGAACACGAGATTGACAAAAAGTTTGGTATTTCTGGAAAAGATGCTGTCATGAAGATGGGTCTCGCGAAATACAACGAGGAGTGTAGAGCTATTGTTATGCGATACTCGTCGGAATGGCGCACAACAATTGACAGGTTAGGCCGTTGGATTGATTTTGATAATGACTATAAGGTAAGTTTTCATAGGAACAATCGACATCTTCTGGCTGACAACCTTAGACTATGGACCCAAAATTCATGGAATCAGAATGGTGGGTTTTCAGCGAGATCTTTAAGAAAGGATCTGTCTACCAAGGTTACCGAGTTATGCCATACTCGACAGTTCTCACCACAGCTTTGAGTAATTTCGAAGCGAATCAAAATTACCAAGATGTCACTGATCCGGCGGTTATTGTATCTTTCCCATTGTTGAAGGACCCTTCCACATGCCTCCTGGCATGGACAACTACTCCTTGGACACTTCCGTCGCACACTGGTTTAGCCGCGCATCCAGATTTCGAGTACGTGAAAATTCACGACGAAGCATCGGGAAAGAACTATATCCTGTTAGAAAAATTACTCAGTACACTTTACAAGGATCCGAAGAAGGCTAAGTTTAAGATTGTGGAAAAGATCAAGGGTAGTGACATGCTTGGTTGGCAATATGAGCCGCTTTTCGACTATTTCTATGAAGAATTTAAGGACTATGGTTTCAGAGTCTTCAACGCTACTTACGTCACCGACGACAGTGGTGTTGGTATTGTTCACCAAGCGCCAGCTTTTGGAGAGGAAGATTACAATGTTGCAATGGAGAATGGCGTCATCGACGAAAAGCGACCAGCTCCATGTCCAATCAACGAGACCGGCCACTTCACTGAACAAGTTCGAGATTTTGCAGGTCAACATGTTAAGGCAGCCGACAAAGCTATCATTAAATACTTGAAGGGCACTGGAAGGCTAGTTGGTGAATCAACCATCAAGCATAGTTATCCTATGTGTCCACGATCGGACACCCCCTTGATCTACAGAGTTGTTCCTTCTTGGTTCATTAGAATTCCTGAAATTGTTCCTGCTATGTTGAAGAATATCGAAGGATCCCACTGGACTCCCTCGTTTGTCAAGGAAAAGCGATTCGCCAGTTGGATCGAAAATGCCCGTGACTGGAACGTTTCGAGAAACAGGTATTGGGGTACTCCAATCCCCATCTGGGTCAGTGATGATTACGAGGAGAAGGTATGTATTAGTAGTATCGCCGAGTTGAAGGAACTCAGTGGCTACGAAGGCGAGATAACCGACCTCCATCGTGACAAGATCGACCACATCACCATTCCTAGTAAGATGGGCAAGGGCCAGCTGAAACGAATTGAGGAGGTCTTTGATTGCTGGTTCGAGTCTGGCAGTATGCCATATTCCAGTCAACATTATCCTTTCGAGAACAAGGACAAGTTCGAGCAATCCTTCCCTGGTGATTTCATTGCTGAAGGTCTTGATCAAACCAGAGGATGGTTCTACACCCTTCTTGTCCTGGGTACACACTTATTTGGGGTTTCACCTTTCAAAAACTGTGTTGTCAACGGAATTGTGCTTGCTGAAGATGGCAAGAAAATGTCAAAACGTCTGAAGAACTATCCTGACCCTGCTATTGTCATGAACAAATATGGTTCTGATGCTTTGCGCTTATATCTCATCAATTCCCCAGTTGTAAGAGCCGAGCCATTGCGTTTTAAGGAAGCTGGAGTGAAAGAAGTTGTAAGCAAGGTCCTTCTGCCTTTGTGGAACAGTTACAAGTTTTTTGAGGGACAGGTGGCACTATTGAAGAAGATGGAGAATGTAGATTATGTCTTTGATCCTTCTGCCGAGGCTACTAACACTAATGTTATGGATCGATGGATTCTTGCTAGTTGTCAAAGTCTTCTTAAGTTTGTAAATCAAGAGATGGCAGGTGAGTTTACCCTCGAAAACCTCCTTTGGTGACTTCTAGCTAATAGATTAAGGTTACCGACTTTACACTGTCGTTCCTCGATTATTGGATCTCATCGATAACACCACAAATTGGTACATTCGTTTCAATCGTAGACGTCTAAAGGGTGAATATGGTCTAGATGACACTAAGCATGCCCTTAACACGCTCTTCGAGGTTCTATTTACCCTAACAAGAGGACTCGCACCATTCACACCATTTCTCACAGACAACATTTATCAACGTCTGTTACCTCACATTCCCAATGAGTTACAAGCTGAGGATCCACGAAGTGTACATTTCTTGGCCTTCCCTGATGTAAGAGAAGAGCTCTTCGATGTAGAGGTTGAGCGTCGTGTGGGTCGTATGCAACGTGTCATTGAGTTAGGCAGAGTTTCCAGAGAGCGCCGCACAATTGGTCTTAAGACTCCTCTCAAAACTTTGATTGTCATCCATCATGACCCAGTTTATCTGGAAGATGTTCGTTCTCTGGAAGGCTATATCACTGAGGAACTCAATATCAGAGAACTCGTCCTCACCTCAGATGAAGCCAAGTACAACGTGCAATACAGTGTCAATGCCGACTGGCCAGTCCTTGGAAAGAAGTTGAAGAAGGAAGTGCAGAAGGTCAAGAAGGCTTTGCCAGGGTTGACAAGCGAACAGGTTCACAACTACGTACTAGAGAAATCCATCATTGTCGATGGTATCAAGCTCGAAGAAGGAGATTTGGTTGTTAAGCGGGGTCTTAAGGATGATGAATCCTCCAAGAACCTTGAGACTAACACAGACGAGGATGTTCTTACTATCTTAGATGTGGAGCTCCATGCAGACCTGGCCGACGAGGCATTGGGACGAGAAATCATCAATCGTGTACAAAGATTGCGCAAGAAGGCTGGTCTTCAACCAACGGATGACATTAAAATGGAGTACAAGGTCTTAGAAGATCCTTCTAGCATCGGTTTGCGTGAAGCTTTCACGAGTCAAGCACAGGCAATTGAGAAGGCCTTGCGAAGACCTCTGCATGAAGCTAAAGGAAATGCAGCAGCAGAAAGTATCATTTTGGAGGAGGATCAGGAGATTCAAAAGGCCACATTTTCGCTTAGATTGTTGAAGTTATGATATTGATGTTTCATAGACATGTTGTCGGGCATCAGAAGGCATTCTAGATAGTTGCCCTTATGGCATTTACAGTAGAATTTTTTATGAAATCCTAAAAGTCATTGCAAGAATAGTTCATAAATCTTTTTATTTGCTTGGGACATTGCCAGGTGACTACGCAGCAGATGAGGTTTGGAGGATACCAAACGAGATGTAGAAACACTGCAACTGTGGAACATGCAGTTGAACAAGGCCGCCAGCTACGGCTTTCCACCGATTTTAACTTCCCAGGAGAACAATCCCATCTACTTCTTCTTTGCAGCAACCTAATAAATATAAGTTATGAGCAACAAAAATATAGATATTACGAAAGGGCTAATTTAGACGTACGAGATAACAATCTTTCAGTCTCATAAATTCAGTCAGGCATTTATCTTTATGCACGGAATTGTAATCTGCTACGATGCATTTGCCGTATACAGATGCCTGTTTTGGAGGTGTTAATAGATGGTGCGGAGTTGGGGAGGATTTTCATGGAGTAGAGGCCGTGGAGGGGTGAGGGTATGGAGGGTTTGAGTAGATAGAGGGGTTGAACGGATGGAGAGGCAAAGGGTGAAGGGTGAAGTTGTGGAGGGAATGAATGAAGATATACCTCAGTAGAACATTTGGCAACTGCTTGTGCAAATTTCTCGATAGGTCTTGTTCGAGTAGGCATGGTTGGTGAGGATCTGGGTTTAGATTATTTGAGTTGTTGTTCGAGTTTGGGGATAGTGAAAGTAGTCAGGTGATAAGGCGTTGTTGAGGTGGCCCGTTGAGGTTAGTGAAGTAGTACCTTAGTGACGGAATTGAGGACTAGAAATCGACACTTGTACGGATATGTCCGGATGGTCCTCGAGCCATTGGTCATTGTTGATGCGCAAAGTATGACTTGTAACAATCCCATGATTAGTCATCGAGACCATGACATCTTATCGATTTAACTGGGGATGAGATAAGAATATGTTCGCTAGACCTGTCTGTTCGACAAGGGGTCTAGGCTTCTAGCTCCATTAGCGTTGAATAGTTCTGCACCAAAAAATCAACCGGTAAAAGTTAAAACTTTGTCGCGTCCTTCATTCAATTCATTTATCAATTCCACCAAAGTCGCGAAATCATGTTCCACTCCTCTTCAGCGCGCTGCGAAAATTCACATTCACATTCACATTCACAATCAGGTTCAAATTCACGTTCAAGTTCAAGTTCACGTTCAAATTCACAATTCACAATTCACATTCACAATTCACAGTTCACGATTCAAAGAGCTTTAAGAAAAGTTGTGCAGTTCTCATTCTCATTCTCATAATAATTGCTGTATACCCTTGCTGTACCTTACCTAGTACTCTTCCTGTACCTTGCTTCTCGCTTTCATTGCTGTTTATCGCCGATCCGCGATAACTGTATGTACAAATAATTAACAAAACTACTTTCTCACGTATATGCCTTTTGATAAGGTCCCATGTCTCCTTTGTCACTTCCGTCCGCACGCGACGGTCCAGTCAGTTGGTCAACCACAACTGACGAACCTTATTATACTGATGATGGTATGCCTTGAGAGATTCAATTCAATCTGAATATACATAGTAATTAATGCTAATGTCTGATAGATTTGCTTATTCTGCATGACATCGTTGTCCGCGCACAACATATCCTACCCACTCTGCTTCCGCGCGATAGACTACCCACCAATGCCCTCTTTAGATCTTACTATGAAATTCTCCCCCGAGTAGGCATTGATACCGACCATGATAATCGATATGCCAGGATTTTGTTCAAAATTGGCGCCCTGCGAGATTTCAATGGCACACTTTTCGAAAAATTCGAGGAAGTTTTGTCGCAAAGAGGTATCACCCTTGAATTCGATACCGATCGGCATGAATATCTACGAAGTAGCAAAGCTACTTCTCCAGATGTCGCAGATTATAAGGAAAGCGACACTCTCTATAATGATGAGAATGAACTACCATTACCACGACGCAATTCCGAGACGGGAGTCTTGGATATGGAAAATGCAGCTCAAGCACAAGCTCAAGCGCTTGAGCCAAAACATAAAAGGAATAAATCGTTCTCTCCTCTACCTCTCGGGCCAGCCACACCCGCCAAAATGAATGAGCTAAAGAGCTTTATATCAGAAGCTACACGCGCAGTATCACCGGAACCTCTCCCGGAACCTACACCGCAACCACCTAGAACCACGCAAAGAGGACGTGAAGAGCGTGGCGTGAATAATGTTAGAAATTGGCTAGAAGCCAGTGAGTATGACCCACCTCGCAGACATGGCAGATCAGTTTCGACACATGGCAGTATTCGGTCGATAAATCGACACCCAGAGAAAGGTGCTCAGAGGGGTCGCCCATCGGGTCGAATCCCCCTTCACAAGGTTACAAACGAACATCAAGATACAAGCGACGAGTTGACCACAACCTCAGAAGCCGAAGAACAATATGACTCGAACGACGTTGTCGAAACTAAGGTATCTGTTGGATGGATGGAAGAAAGAGCGGATGTTGTGTCCAAGCATTATTTTGAAGAATTTATTATCAAAAAACTCTATGCATGGCGTGATCAAGCAAAGGCAAGTCTAGCACGCAAAGCACACCTGGACGCCATCGCGTCGAAACACGACAATCACGCCCTCCAAGATCAGGCATTCTCCACCTGGCTCGAAATGACTCGGGAAAAAATGGAGATGAAACGACAGGTTCAAGAAGCTCGGGAAGTCGCTGAAAGGGCTCAGCAAGCTCATTTGGAAGCCCAGCAGAAACTTCGGGAAGTGGAGGAGCGATATGCGAAACTCGAAAGAAGAGTTGAGAAAGCCAGAGACCGCCACCTCAAGCATAAAGCTTTCACTCACTGGGCAGCGATCACTCGCGAAAAAGTGGAAATAACCGAAGTCGCACAGAGACAGATTCTTAGATCACGAATGTTCACTGCTTGGAAGACTCAAACGGAAGAGAATGAGAAGAAAAATAAGGAAAACGAGGAAAAAGCTCGAAAATTCCAGTTAAGAAAGTTTTTCGGCAAATTGAAAGCAAAGAAAGAGGAAATTGATGAGAAATCGAATATGGCTGCTCAAGTGTCCAAGGGTAACCTTCTTGGGCGAGTATTTTCGAAAATGGCCCAGGAGAAAAAGGTGGTAGAATTTACCCAACGAATCGACGAAAAGAATAAGCAACGGGCTTTATCAACATGGGTGGGAAAGGCACAAGCTGTGAGCGAAGCCACTCAGCTAGCGGAGGATGAGAGATTACTCAATGTGGTTACGAAAAGCATGGATAGCTGGAAAGAGAAAACGGAAACGCAAGTCGTACTTAACGACAGAGCTGAGCGTGCAGCCAAGGCAAAACAACTGGGAAGTGCTTTCAAGAAATGGCGTCTTGAGGCTCAAACAGCACCCGCCGAAAAGAAAGTAGTGGCTAGTCACAATGTAAGCTTGTTGAAAGGCTCCCTGTCGATTTGGAAGCTTCGCGCCGAGCAAGAGAAACAAGCCACAGCGATTGATCATGACAAGATTGTACGTGAAGCATTCACTGAGTGGCGACATCAGACTAGGCTGAAAAGACTGAGAGCCATTTCCGATGACCGCGCTGTCGCGAAAGCCTCTAAAACCTGGAGATTGGAGACGAAATGTGCAGTTTTACAAAGAGAGAAGAAGGAAGAAACTAAATCTGCATGCTTAGAAGTCTGGTTTGACAGGTCCCAAGACACACGGAGTAGGCGTTGGGAACGCGAAGAGATTGCTCGACGACATGACAACAAAACTGTCGCAGCCTCCGTCCTTAGACGATGGTATGTAAAAATGAATGATCGCGCCGAGATTGAAGCCCAAGCCTCGGACTTTCAAGCTCCACGAATTCTAGGTCAATGTCTCGATTCTATGCGCGCGCAGCTCCAGCGGATCGTCAAACTAAACAAGGTGGCTCGCGCTGCCAATAAGTTCTTCGTGATGAGGAGCGCTCTGAATAAGTGGAGAGAAGCAACACAGAAATCGAAACGAGAAAAGCGTAAAACTGCGTATATTCAAGTTCGAAGGAACAGAAAACTTTATTTAGCAGCAGATATGTTTTCGCGTTGGCGACAAAAGGCGCAAGAGAAAATGGCACTGAACGAACGGGCACGTCAGTTTGCCCAAGGTAAAACATTCATCATAGGAATGAACTCGTTTGATCGGTGGAGGGCTCGTACGGAAGAAGTGGCCGAATTAGAACCTCTTTGGAAAGAAATGGTGATGAGGAAATTCTTCAATAGGTGGAAAGATCGTACCGAGTCATTACAGGTATTGAACATCGAAGCAACGTTGGACTTTCAAGAACGTCGGCAGAGCGATGCCCTTCGAAAATGGAGCTTGCGGACGATTCAAGCAAGAGCTATGGCAAACACTGCGAAAGAAGTGCACGATAAGAATACAAGGAAAGGACACAGAAAGATGTTTAACTACTGGCGACAGCGAACCGCGCAGCAACGTCCCTTCGTGGACATAAATTCACCTCCGGGGACTGATACAGCGGAGAACTGGTCAGATTTCGGGGAAGAAGTTGATATGGATGAAATCACGAAGAGGCTTTACGAAAAGGATCCTCCGCGTAGAACGACGGTCCCAATCAAACCTCCATTGAATCCAGTCACCCCAAAACCAGGGTACATGGCAACGCCATCTCGAAGATCGCAAAGAGTTCTTGCTGCATCGGCGCGATTTCATTCAACTACGCCAAGGGCGCCATTGACCACACCACTTGAGCGAGAGTTAAGAAAGGGAATTTATGGGTCATCCATGCCCTTTTCCAAAAGAGGACGGAGTACATTAGGAATGGATAGAGGATTTCCAGACATCCCTGAAGGATAATATGAATTAATGACTTGTGTATATTGGATACGGAGCATTGCGACGGCGTTAGGGAATGATTTACTGCGGGAAAAAGAAGGATTACTGTTTCATCACAGGGAATGGAACACAGGGACAAGATGGAGTTTACATTGGAAACATGGGTATATGTTTTAGCATGGTGTTTTAGCGATTGCATACTTAGATGATTGCATATGCTTGCATACTTAACTGGTTGGATACCCACAAATGTTGTGGTATGGAGTATTGGTTATCTGGCGTTTTCCTCCAGCATATGGCCATCTGGAGAGAGGGACTTACATCCACATCGACTCGGTAATCGGATTTACAATTGGCTTCTCTCAATTGAGAACACTCCCACTTTGGAGCGGGGAACTTCCTTCATGGATCTTATATCCATGGGGCATGTAAGAACCTCTCATTTGTTTAGTTGTCTTAAGTAGATTAGAATTATCACACCTAGATACTTTCAATAAGATAATTATCAAAGAAGACAATTCTTAAATGTTCGAGTGATGGCTGTAAAACTGCATGACCATGACATAAAATCAGAATGATATGGTGGTAGAACTATGTCCCTGCGTACAGAGTAGATCATGGCTGATTTCTTGTCTCGGAACCGCACAATCTATTCATCCAGGCGAGAGCTCCAAGTCTACATGAAGACTTGTACAACAATCGGGAATCACCATCACCGACGAATACTTTCCGACTTCTTCTAATCCTTTGACATCGGAATCTACTCGTATTGAGAAAACTACCCATGCCATTTTACTGAAAATATGCTCCGAATGCGCTCTGGTATATAGTATGAGAGCAGTGCTTCCTGGAAAGGCACAGGCCAAGCTTCAAGCTGTCTGTACTGGTTATTGGGCCAACAGGAGGCTCATAGTGAGTCTGAATCAAATCGCAGACAGTCTGCATTATATTCTTTTTTACCTTACTAAGATTATACAGGCCTATGTCACAGGAAATGCTTTCGTTATACTTACTGGCGCTGACACGATCCTACAAACGATATACGACGACGACGACACTCAACTCGAGGCTATCGCGCTAGACGAAGCCAGCGGGAAGATTGCAACATGCGCGGGTTCTAATATAAGGGTTTATAAGCCATACGGGCAGGATGAAGGGGCGCTGAAGGTTAGCATTGCACAACCTTAGCTTGCTGGCCTTTTTAGAATGCGGCGCTGAACAAATTTAGTGGTCTCTACAACATAGCATTTCAATCGACGAGAGTGGGAAAGATACAGCAAACACACTGTCATGGGGAATAGCGGAAGAACTGTTGGTGGGGAGCTCATGGCTTACTTTATTCTCGACAATAGATGCGCCGGTTGTAGTTTGGAAACAACAACTTGCGAACCCGGCCAAGTTCGCAAACTTCTCGTATGATTCGGCATTCATCGCGTCTAGTGGAAAGTACGATAGGCTCGTGAAGATATGGAGGAGACTGTCGTTCGGGAATGATGACACAAGATTCGACTTCACCTACCTACCGCATCCGCGAACTGTCACAAATATGCACTGGAGAAGGCCGTTTCACATCGACCAAACAATTGATAATGTTCTGTATACGGTGTGTGCGGACAATGTTCTGAGGATCTGGGCGCCGAGCGATGTTCATTCATTACAAAGTCTACAGCTGTGGGGTCAGATCGACTTACATGAATCCATACAACCGAGAGGATTGGACGGGAACAGGGCGTCGAAGCTAAGGTTTGCATTTATCATCGATGGAAAAGATTTTACGGTTGCTACAGAACATGCAGTACAGGAGAGGGCAGCGACCGACTCGGAGGATGACCATGCCCTAGCGCATTTGATCGAGGTTGCGAATCGTAATCCGGAAATTTGCGTTGTACTGGATGAACATGGGCATCTATCTGCATGGGGCCTGGAAAATGTTGGGTCTAAAATAAAGCAACAGACGAATATTTTTAACATTGCACATATTGATGGTGTGGAATTGTCTTTCCCAACGGAACTGGCCGATGATACAAGCTATGTTCAGCTCTATAATTTCTGCAACCAGTCTGGCGGGAATCTCAATGTTCTAGTCCATCATTTTGATGGTAAAATTGAGTTTTTTGAGACCAATGTAGCCAATTTGTTTGATTCTTCACCAAGAACGCATCGCCTCATATCGAAAGCACTGTGGACGGGCCATTCAGGTCCTGTCAAGAAAATTGTGCGTAATGTTAGTGGACGAGCAGTAGTATCTCGCACAGATGGCAATGAAAGTATAGTTTGGAAGCATATGGAACACGCGGGTGGAACCTCAGTATTTCGTCAAAGCATTATCTCACAAACTGAGCACGTCCATAGGATATGTGTTATGAGAAAGGGAAAATTCGTGATATATTTACATCACGATCATATTACCCTGTGGGATACGAGACATCCCGCGGCGGTCAAACTAGCAGACTGTAAATTTTCTGTCATGGGGAAGCCATTGTGCATACTCATGCTACCTGAAGTCAATAAGGAGGGTCCTGTCGCTCATGTCGCTACAATTACTTCGAAGATGAAAGGTATTGTTTGGGAGGTCCAGCTGCCTCAAAGAAGGGGAAGTCTTCAGATCAATGGGGACCACCAAGAGGCTTCCATTCGTGAATTCTGTAAATTTGACCTTGGAGATAATGACGATCTAGCATATGTTTTACCAGTAGATCCAGCTGGATCTCCTCCTGTCATCTCCGGATTTTTGGACACTTTTGCGAGAGATATTGCTATCTCCTATACTTATTCTGGACTTTTAAGGTCTTGGACCGCCCGGATTGACTTCGAAAAGGAAAAGGTTGATTGGCTACAGACTTGTTCGGTAGACACAGGTATCAGCGAGCCTGCTTTAGCTAGTGGAAGCTCTATACGGAAAGCTGCACTCGTGAACTCAACTAGATCTGAGTTAACAATATGGGACGTCCGAGGTGCCCGCCTTGAGTATTCTCAGGACTATGAATCCCAGGATACAATCCAGGATCTGGATTGGACTTCAACTCCAGACGACCAATCTATTCTTGCTGTAGGCTTTCGTTATCGAGTTGTATTATTAGCTCAAATGCGATACGATTATTTGGATAAAGGACCAGCATGGGCAACAATTCGAGAAGTTAATATTCGAGATTTGACACCCCACCCAATTGGTGATTCAACCTGGTTAGGAGGTGGTAACTTCATCGTTGGGGCAGGTAATCAGTTGTTCGTTTATGATAAGGAGGTCGACTCTTCAGCATCAATAGTTTTACCTTACCGCAAAACTCCTTGGGACCTCTTCGACATCGTTTCTAGACTAAATGGCCCGCTTCCGGTTTATCATCCACAATTCTTGAGCCAATACATACTTGCCGGCAAGAATTTATTAGTGCAGCATATTTTGTTAGCACTATACAAGGTCCTTAAATATTACATTGAGGGTGAAGCAATCGACTCGCACCTCGGAATGAACATAGAAGATTTCTACATTAGCTCAGACAATGTATCTTCAGCTAGTAAAGGAATTAGATCTGCATTTGATGGCATTTCCGACTATGACGATGTGGAGACAGTTACGGAAGACGTTGCTGCTTCCATAACCGAGAGATTGACGCAGATTGCGCTGCCTCAGCTTTCGAGACAGGAACAAATTCACCTGGCTGATATTGTTGAATGTGTCGGTATTGTTGAACGCCAGCGTAGATCTATGGATGACAATGCTGCAAGATTTATGCTATTCTTTAGGCAGCATGTCTTGCGTCGTGGTCGTGCCAATGAACTTAGTCTGTCTTGGAGAGAGATTAATTGGGCATACCATAGTAATAGTCAGGATATCCTGGCAGATATGGTCTCACGACAATTCCATGGAAGGATGCTTTGGGAACATGCACGGGAGAGTGGTATCTTTATGTGGATGACGGATGCAAATGCTCTGGTATGTAGTTATTTTGTATTGAAATTTGAGGAAGCTAACAAAGAACAGAAAGCTCAATTTGAAGTCATTGCGCGGAATGAATACACAAAGAGCGATCTTAAAAACCCTATAGATTGCAGTTTGTATTATCTTGCGCTGAAGAAAAAGGCGGTACTTCAAGGTCTATGGCGCATGGCTGCGTGGAATCGTGAACAAGGGGCTACGTCAAGACTCCTAGCGAATAATTTTTCCGAAAAGAAGTGGCGGACTGCTGCAATGAAGAATGCCTATGCTTTGCTTGGGAAGCGTCGATTTGGTGAGTAATGCTTTGCTGGTCTTATTTGATCCATGCTAACCATGTTTAGAATATGCTGCGGCTTTCTTCTTATTGGCAGATTGTCTCAAAGATGCCATCAATGTGATTCTGAGTCAACTCAAAGATCTTCAACTTGCGATAGCAGTCACCCGTGTATATGAGGGTGAGCACGGTCCTGTTCTCAAAGAACTTCTTGAAGAAAAGGTTCTACCGTTAGCTGCCCAGGAAGGTAACCGATGGCTTGCATCGTGGGCTTTCTGGATGCTGCATCGTCGTGATATGGCTGTGCGAGCCTTGATCGTAAGAATCCGTACAATTTATTTGCCAGACTTGATCCAAATACTAACAATATCGTTCTAGTCGCCAGTTTATACTCTTCTTGAAAGCCCACAATCACCTGATCTCCAAGCAAAACTTTTCCTAACCGATGATCCTGCTCTAGTTGTTCTTTACTCGCAGCTTCGTCAAAAGACCTTACAGACCCTACGTGGCGCATCCAAAGTCACTCCAAAGGTCGAATGGGCGTTCGTATTGCACAATTCAAGACTATATGATCGCATGGGTTGTGATTTATTGGCATTAGATTTGGTGAGGAATTGGGAGTTCATGCTCCCAACCAAACTAGACTTTAAGAGCTTCGATGGAGAAATAAATCCCAGAAAGATGTTGAGAAGAAGGAGCTCGCTAGTAGTAGCCGACTTGCCTATTAGTGGAATTGGACCTGCAGCCGCGGATACAAAAGAAGCAATAGCTATACATGGCCAAACTCATAAGCCGCCACCAACTGTGTTCGAAGAACCGGAGGCTAATAGTCTGTTGGATAGTTTCGGTTTTTAGTCTTGAGGGTTCACATTTTTCATGGCGTTGTACTTTAGCTTTGTGTTGCATACCCCTACCTGGTCTTGGGGTGATATTTTGGGCTTGGACAATAAGGGACTTATGGTATATCGTAATGCATAGCGTCTGGATGGGGAAATCCGGTGTTGTGAGTCTACGGTACCAGCGCACTGCTACCGGCCGGCCGGATTTCACCCGGAATTTTTATCAATACTATTCTATTCAATCTTTATTAATAAATTAACATTTCATTATTTTGATATAAAATTTTGATATATTTGAGATCTATATATATACTTTTATTTTAAAAAAAAATTATTTTAATATTTTAATTCTAATTTTCAATATTTAGTATATTATTTATTAGTTATAATATAAACTTTTATTTTATTTAATATATTAATCTTTAATTTATAAAATAATTTATTATTTAATGTATTTTATATTATTTGTAAATAATTCTTTAGTTTTTATTTAATTGTCGGCTTGTCGATATTATAATCTTGTTATACACGAGGTTTACTCAGTGAGTGATGGAAAATGAGAAACTCACTTAAATGAGTCGCGATCCTGACAATCTGATTGGTCTAAAATACCCCGGTAAATAATCTAACAAAAAGCTTGATATAAGCCTTATAATCTTAAACAAATCTAACTTAGAGCTTTTTTCAACTCAACTTAATTGAAATCATTTAATTTATTCAATTCAATTTTATTCATTCAACTTTGAAATCATTCAATTTATTTAATTCAATTTTATTCATTCAATTTTTCTTATTCAATTTAAAATAATAATAATAATAATAATAATAATAATAATAATAATAATAATAATAATAATAATAATAATAATAATAATAATAATAATAATAATAATAATAATAATAATAATAATAATAATAATAATAATAATAATAATAATAATAATAATAATAATAATAATAATAATAATAATAATAATAATAATAATAATAATAATAATAATAATAATAATAATAATAATAATAATAATAAATAATATAAAATATTATTATTATTATAAATAATAATGTTAAATTATATTATAATTATTATTTTAAATATAATAATTTAATTTTCAATTATCAAAAACAAATTGATATTCTGTTTACATTTTGATATATATTTAATATTTAAATTTTCATTAAACTGTCTCAAAAGTTAGAGGTCCGGGGGCGCAGACCCTGGTATATTTTATATTATTGAAAATGTTAGAAAACATTTCAAAAATATATACTTATAGATATTACTAAATATATTTTATAAGATTTAGATTAGGATTATAAAAAGATCAGTCTTGAATTAAAGAAATACTCTTTTTTTAAATTATATTTTTATTTTATAAATAATATATATAAAAGTATTATTTTATATAAATTAATATCCTAGATCTAATCCTTCAAAAATAAATTAAACTTTTATTTTAAGTATCTTTAAATATGAATTTGTATTATATTTGAACTTTTGAATATAAAATCTATATTTATAATATAAAGATTATTTTTTCTAATATTATAAAAGTCTTTTTATATTATAATTTTTATATTCTCCTTTAAAGAATAAGTTTGAATTATATTCTGATTTCATTTTTGAATAGAAAAATAAAAGATCTTTCTTTTTTGTTTTACAAAATATTCATTCGATTAAAAGATTAAGTTTTATTTCTTTATTGTTAATCTCTTATAGATTAAATATCAAGCTAGTCTTTTAAAAGTATATTCTTTTATAAATTCAAATCTTTTTTTAATTCTCTAATTGTTTATATTATATTCTTTAAGAATCCTTTTTATAATATCTTTTTTATAATTAAAATTATAAACTATTATAATCTTCTAATATATATTATAGACCTTGTATAAAGGACGATCACGTGATTCCAATTGATTGATAATTCCTATCGGTGAATTGATAGTCTATATATATATTTTCAAATTCACTCTTTTTAATATAATATTATAATCATTTTAAAAAAGAAAGTATATAATTATTTAATTATTATATAAATATTTTGTATATATATATAGATGTTCTTTACAAATTATAATTCTTAAATTATAGATTCTAAAGAATATAATTGATTTTGTTTATTTAATTCTTATAAAACTCTTATATATTATATTATCTACAATTCATTTATATAATCTGATCATCTAATGATTTTCTAAATAATATTTCAATTCAATAATATTTTCTTAAATAAACTTTTTCAAATATTTTATTTAAAAGAAGAAGATTTATTTCGATTTAATCAATAAAGATAAAATCTTCTTTAGAAATATATTAATATCTTTATTATATATCAAACTTTATTTTCTATATAATCTGAATAATTTTTGTAAATTTATACTGAAGAGTTTGTCACGATTCACGGTTTTCTTTATAGTAGTATTATTGACGTCGGTGATTTATAGGCCGACTACAAGAGGGATATGATTTAACCATTGTTTTCGGAGGTCCTGATTACCTAAACCTAGAACCTCAGGATTCCTAGAATAAGTATTCTAGGTAATCATAATAGAATAAAACAAGTATCTTATCTAATTGATTGTAATAGGATTATCACCCTAAAGGATATTATATCCTAGGGCTATAATTCCTAAAGGGAAAGCTTTTGGGACAAATATTCCAGGAAAGGAAAGGCTTTGGGATATGAGAGGTCTCAGGATCAATCATGTGATATACTAGCTCTGCTAGCCAGCTAACAGAGCTAGCATTACAGGAATACTAACCATATTAGCCAGCTAGCATAGCTAGTATAGAAAAAGAGATTAGTATATAATCAGAATAGTTTTATAGTTTAAGAGCTTCATACTTAACTTAATTATCAATTAATTCATCTACATTCCAATTGATCTAGTAACGTATTCATCTTCGAGTAGATAACTAATGATTATTAGCCTTAACCCACAACTACCAACCAGACGAAACCCTGAGGCAGCCGCTGCCCCAACCAGATCGTTACAGAGCTCTCTCAATCCCTTCAAACAATTCAATCAATTTTCAAAGAAAATATAGAAGATATAGAATTGAAAAACATTATAATTGATTGAAAAAAGAATAATAAAAAGAAAATATCAATCTATATAATCGAAACTTTTAATACTCCAATCGATAATTTCAATCCTTTATTACAATTACAAAATTTGTATTCAATAATCTCAAATTTACAACAATCTTTACAAAACCAAAAGGAAAAGAATCATCGATTAAGAATTATAACAATAACAAATTTTATAATAAAATAACCTCTTTCCGAACTTCAAATAATATTTATACAAATATTCAAATCAACAATAATATTCAAAACTTCCTTCATTCTCTCAATTGAATATAATGAGATCTCATTTAAACAAATTAAACAATTTCAAAATCAAAGAAAAAACTAATCGATCATCTAATACAATAAACCAGATCTTTTAAATGATTCTTTTTTCGTTTTCGAAAATAAAAATTCATATAAGAATTAGAATCCCCGTTTTTCAAAAAATTGATTTAATCAATTCAAATCGTATTCATACACTATTAATTATTTGAATCAAAACTTTTATACTTCAAAATTTATTAATCTGATTATCAAATTAAACGATAATATTGAATTTAAAACTAGTTTATAATAATTACTAATTCAAAAACAATTTGAATTATATATTATATTATTTACAAACAAAGTTCAATAATATATATATATAATCGATCAAATCAAATCAAAAGTACAAATATATTATTATATTTTTTATATCTAAATATTTTGATTAATTATTTTCGAATTAATCAATCAATTTATTATAATCTATCGAAATCTGATTAAAATCAATTATATTTATATTTAGTATAAATTATAAATCATATTCAATACAATTTATTATAAGAACTTTTTAGAATAATATAAGAAATTCCAATTATTAATTATTTAAATAAAGATTATAAACAATAAAACTCTATTCCGAAATCTTGAACAAAAGATCTTCAATTTTCTTTCAAAAACTATAATTTTATATTATAAGAATTATCAAACTATAAAATAATTTGTAACAAAATTTATCGAAATGAACAAAATAAAAATCTTTATACAAAAATAAAACTAATATTGTTTAAAATATAAAGTCTTTATTTCTATTTACAAATCTATCTTTAATAATATCAATATAAGAGTTCTGGAATCTACTCACCGCACACTAAGCGAAATCACACCAAAATCAACGATTTTTTCAACTTTTTAAACCCTTGTTATCTTTATAAAATAATAAAATAAATATATAAAAATTGATATATACATAGATAATTCATTCAAATATAATAAAAATTTAACAAAATATTTTTTATTATTTTTGTTTCAAAGTTATATATATTTAAGATTGAAAAAACAAAAAAGTTTAAAAAAAATCGTTTATTTTATATAAGGAAAAGTTCAAAAAAGTATTACACAAATGAAATTTTAATATTTTTTAAATTTAAATGGATATAACTTTAAAACAAAAATAATTAAAAATAAATTGTAAATTTTTTCAATATCCTTTTGTAGTTAATTATAATATTTGAAAATTTTATTTAATTCAATTCAATATTGAAAAAGTTATTTGATATTTTATTTTATATAAGAAAATATGAGTTTTGCAGGGATTTTGTCACGAATTTAAATGGTGTGCGGTGAGTAGATTTCAGAATTCTTACAATTATCCTTTTAAAGTTTTAACAATTTTATTCTCGGAAATTCAACATTTCTGAAATCATCTCCATTACGAAATCTATTTATTGATTATATAAACCCTTTCCAATCAATATTTATATTTAATAATTATTTTAATCATTCAAACTTTTTATTTTCTTCTTCAAAAGAATATATACAAATATTCTATTCTAAAAGCTTTAATGAAATTGAAATTATCAAAAAAGAAAAAGAATATTATAATATTAACAATAATTTAAAATATAAAATTATAAAGAAAATATAATAAATAAATAAAAAATATTTAAATCAAAATATTTAAACTTTATCTCTATTTTAAATATTATATAAAATATAAGATTTCTTGATTTAATCAAATTAATAAGAAAAGAAGTATTAATTCTTCTATATATTCTTTCCAAAAACAAATATATTTATAAATTAAAAACATTTATCGATTTAAAAACAAATAGATTTATCTTTATCAATAATATATTTTTTATCTATTTATTTTCTATATTCAAACTCAAAATGATACTTCTTTTAACTTTAATCGAGATTAAAGACTACAATAATATACAAAATTGTATTATTATATA